CCCTCTCTATCTTCTTATTCAACTAATATGAAACTTATTCATCTTTTAAGCTCCTTCTCCATGAAACTTGAATTATCATCAATTTCATCTCTCTCTCTCTCTCTCTCTCTCTCTCTTTCTTTCTTTCTTTCTCTCTCATTCGGGAGTAAATTCGTATTTGACCGATTTTTCGGTTTATCATCATTCTCACTCTTCTTTAACTTTAATTTTCTCCATTAAAAATCTACTTCTCATTATTATATTTCTATCGTAATTGTGTATCTTTAAATTTCTTCTTAATTGTAATTAGTTTTTCTTCCTTTCTAATTAATAATCAACTAATTAAACTCTTTGTTATCCATTGGTTACCTTTGTGTCTTCTTATCTTTTCCTATGTAATTTCGGGTCAATTTACCTTTTTTACCTTCTTCATTGTTTGTTATTGTTTTTCTTTCTGTAAACTTGGATTAATTACTATTAATTCCTTTTGTTAATCAATTTACCGGATTAAAAATCAATTGTGTCTTCTACTTTTACATGATTACAAGGAATAATAATTAATCTCAATTGTCAACAATTAAAAAAAAAGAAAGGATTTCATTCCAACTGAACTGAGTAAGTTTATGCTCTTTGGTGTATAATTCAATGTGGGATTTGTATTGTTTGTCTATTTGTGTGGATTGTGTCATTCAACTGACTATGTGATTTATTTTAATTATCAACTTGTTGCAATAAACTGATTGTTTCTGTAAATGATTAGTTTTTATTGTGTTCTAGTGTTAATTGAAATTAACTGGACAGAAACAGTTGACAAAATGAATTACATCTTACATACATTTGTATTATTCATATATTGATTTGATCTATTGATTATGTTAGTGTGGTCATTCAACCATTGACCAGGTAAATATCTCGTCATAATGTAACTTTCAAAGGAAAGTACATTAAGATTTGATTATTACTACTTTTTGTTGACATTTTTTTCCTGTGGGTTCTTATCGAGTTACAGAAAACTCTCATTCAATGGATAATCAAATGATGATGATGGAGATGGAGATAAACATTGACCGGATGTTAGCAAGAGCAAAGTGTTTAATTGATTGTCATGGAATTTATTAGAGTAAAATTCTGAGAAGATGAAAGTCACCTGAATCTTTTTTTTCCGAGAAAAAGATTCAGGGGATTCTCTCTTTCTCTCTCAATATTTTCATGTGTTTTATCCTCTTGGTGTGCAAAGGATGATGATCAAAAATAAGAAAACAAAGAGGAGGAGGAAATGCATCTCTAATGTGATGTTAAGTGCATCATTTATTTGGAATAAAAGAAAAAAAAAGACACGAAATGGTTACAGGGGAAGTGATAGGTGATGATGATGATGATAGGAATTATCATGAAAAAGAAGATGTGAAAAGGAAATGGAAATAAGATGAGCTTTTCCTTTACCAAATCTCACCTTTCATCCTGAGAAACGTTAACTAGACATTTATATTGGTTCAGAGGAACTGAAACCTTTTTTCTATGGAATTTTCATCTTCAATTTATCTTCTCACCATTTCTCATCATCATTTTTACCGTTTAGTGTGTGTCAGAGAAAGAGTAACGATAATAACCAGTTAGCTTTCCAGGGAGTCCAAAAAGTATTCATCATGAAGCCCCGTCAATCATTGGATATAAAATTGAGATTATTCTTATGTTGAAACTTGAAACATTTTGGTGATTTACTCACAATAAGATAATCATTTTCTCCTTCATCTTTTCAATCATAATGAATTCAGTTTTCTGTCTTTTCTCTTGACGATTCACTGAAATATACACTTGATACTTTGTGTATTCATCGATTTTCCTATTTACCATGAAAGAGGAAAATATGGAATCAGGTATTTCAATAGATTCAATAGATTCATTGACTTCGACATCATCGTCATCATCATCTTATCATCTTGTTCATCATCATCATGTCAATAAAGACATTTCCATCATCATCATTGCATCATCAAGTATTCTTACCATTGTTATCACATTTAGATCAGAATTTTAGTTTTTTTTCTTTCGATTATTCAATTTCATTGTTCTTGTTATGGTTACGATTAATGATCAATTAAATTGCTGATCAGCTAATTAACAGGTTAAAACTTTCACTTAATTTGCATTTGTTGAACTTTTATTATTAATTAATTTATTTTGCTCCAGGTTTTAACCATCTGAGCGCCATGTTAATTTTATTCAATTGTTGCTTCGAGTTAATTGTAATTGTCCTCAATTCTAATTCTAATTCAGTTTCAGTTTTTTTTCATAATTATCATCATCATCATCATCATCACCCTCTTCCTCTTCCTATGGTTGATTGCAAAGCATTTCTGTCAATCTTATTTTTTATCATTCATTACATTAGATTTTATCAAATATTAACAATAACAATTAGGTCAAACAATCAAAAAATTATCGTTGATAGTTATCAACATATAGTATGATTTTTTTGCTTGTGAATCAAATTGCTAGCGAAATTTGCAATATCATCAACTAATTGTTACTAAACATATAATATAATTAATTAGTTGATTAAACATGTTTAATAATCTGGTACAATATACACTTACTAATTGTTATTTACTTGCTTTTGGCTTTGATTGTTAATATTAACGGTGATCAACCTGTTGATTAATTGTTACCAGCTTGAAGTAAATTATTTTTACTAGTTAAATCATCTGTTAATTATTGATTACCATCAAATTGTCAACTAAATAATAGTTTAATTCAGTTGCTTAGTCTTTGCCATGTTTACAATCAACAAAAAAAAATATCACATTACCTTTAAATCAGAGCCAATTGTATAATGACCACTTAATTGTACTTTTAACACGCGATATTTGATTAAATTTGTACTAATTAGATCAACTTTTAAGCTAAATTTTCACGACAATCAGAAAGGAAATAGGAAATGGCCGATTTTTCAAATTCTATTGGAAAATGTAACTTCAACAATTCGAGTTTTTTTCTTCCTCTATTAATATTTCTAAAAGTATCACTAATTATTCATTATTATCAAATTTTCTTTCAATATCATCAATTTGTAGTAGAAACTATTCACAGAACTCAGTAGATGATTGAACTTTTGTTGAGAAAAAATCGATTTTCAAAGTTAAATCTAAATCAAAAGCAATAATTTACTACTTCATTTCCGTGCAAACAATTTAAATCAACATTAACTTGTTTTTTTATCATCTTCATCCTCATCTTATCATCATCTGTCCTCTTTTGCCTCATCTTTAGGTCAAATATCAATATTATCCATCAGATTGACCATAAATAATCATATAAATGGACAAATAAAACTTTGGGTTAATCTGTTTGTTTACTGTTGATCAATTGTTTGTTTTGATCCAATTTAGTTATGGTTAATTACAACAATCAGGCTAATTGCGATGAAATATATTAATTTAAAATTATGCATGAAAATTTTTTTATCAGTCATTGAACTAATTGATTACGTTGCTACTTTAAACAGTTGATTAGGAAAATAAAAGCAATCAAATTATCCTTTGATTGTTTAATTGTTGTTACGTATTAATAGTAAACCTTATCAATACAATTAGATTAATTTAATTCCCATAATGATGTAATATTTTGATCATCATTGAATAAGCAGATGAAGAAAAACAAAGTTTACAATTGAAAACAATGTTAAGTTAAACAACAACAATTTGTTAATTGTTTACGTTTGTATTGATATGTCTGTTGTTTACATTGACAATTAACAATTGTGTCTCCTCTTAACATTATATAATTTAATTTCATTTTGTATGTTAAGGTTAAATCGTAGGCTGTTGATTAACAATGAATGCAATTTAGAAATGATTTAATGATTTAATCTTGAATCATCATCGTCAACATAATCATCAAAATTAATTGTCAATAATAAACAGATAATTAAATCAACATCATCAATCTGTTTGTCTTGATTGTTGGTTATTTGGTTACAAGGTTTTCATTGAATATCGATCAATCAATTGTAGATTTGTTGTTGTTTTCTAAACGATTATAATTATAATTGTTAACAATTTAGGTTGACCTGACACTTGACCGAATGGTTGAAATTAGTTGTTGATTTGTTAATCAAGACAAACATTGAAAGTTAATTCACATTACAATCAATTGATTATCGTTATATTGACGGTTACAACTATTGAGGAAAAATTAAATTACTTTTACTTGAAGAAAAATAAATTAATCAACAAATTGATTGTTGAAAATTTCAACTAATCAACCACACCTTGATTACTTGATTGTAACTGTTGTTGATTAAAATTGGCCATGAAAATTAAAATTAATTGAACTTTAAACATTGATAATCGTCAATATCTCAAAGTAAGATTATAAAATTAAAGTTTAAAAAGGTTAATTGTGCTAATTAATTTTAATTGTTATCAAACTTTGATTGTTTTTACATAATATTATTAACTTCCTGGTTAATTATGGTTTCATTTAATACAATTAACTGATTATCATGATGGTTTCTCATCTATTGTCTAATTACCGTTAACTCAATCCAATCAACAATTATTATTATTAACTAAATTAACCATGTAAACAATAATGTTACAAATCAATATTGAATTTGTTGATTGTTATTAAAATTAACAGTATAATTTAAGGATAGGATATAATTTAAAAGTAAACAAGGAAATGAATGATGATTAAACTGAATTTAAAAATCAGACAAATTATCAATCAATTGTTAATTTACTTATTAACAACCTGGGAATATCTTGTTTACTCAATCAATCATGATACATTTAAATTATATACACAATATATTATGATTAGTTAATTGTAATACATGTATAGTTAAGCTAAATCATGATCAGTATCATCATTGGATTGTTACTTACCTTAAATGTTATCAATTTATACGTAATTAGATTGATTAAACCTTTTTGGACAATCAATCTGGTTTGATTGTTATTTTCAAATTATCGAAATCAAATTAAATTGTCAAGGTGAATGATGGAGAAATCAACTAATGAAATTTTATCAAGTTTAATAAGTTTTACCTTAGTTTCTGTTGTTATTATCCATATTCAGAATAAATTTTAATGTCTTATTGTCGTTTCTTTTTTCGTTCATAAATTCTTATGGGAATTCAGTTTTCCAGGGTTAACCATGATGGATGAGTTATCTTTCAAGGTTGAATGGTGAAAAGTTAGAATCTACATGAGATGGAGAGAGAGAGAGAGAGACAATGGTGTGATCAGATGAAGATAAAGTTAAATTGCATTGGAGGTTAAGATCAATCAAACATGATAACTATAAACATTGACTAATTACCTGAACTTTTCTGTCTCTAACTTTTATCAGGTTTAATCATTAATTAGAGTTTTAAATTTAGCTCTTATGCCAAATATAATCATCATGAGCGGTGGATTGAAATGCTTAAACACTAATTCATGTCTCATCTTAACCATTATCTGGAAATTAAATTGTAAAAGAAATTAGCAAATTAAAAGAGTCCAATTAGTGAGTTAAAGTAAAAGATAGTTCAATATCACAGGAACGGATAAAAATCCAAATCCGAATGCATGAAGAGATGATGAGGATGATCTGAGAAGAGAAATAGAGAAGATAAAACAATCAATATTATACAATTCTTTAATAATAATGAGCAAGAGATGATGATGAAGATGCTGATGATGATGATACTGGAGATTTGGGTGAGAGAGATGGCAAAGGTATTCCTTACCCTTGCTGAATCAATCTCACTTGAATGATCTTAATCAAGTTGATTGCTTTTCGATTCTCGGTGAACCAAACAACCATTTTCTACTCATCAATCAAATCAACATTTGCCCAGATTTTCATCGTTAAATCATTGGTAGTAAATATCATTATATTAGAAAGAGAGAGAGAGAAAAAGTAACGACGTAAGAGCAAAAAGAAGAAAATTAAATCAAACAACAACAATCAACTAAATAGAAACAAACACAAAATGTATAAAATGTAATCTAATTTGATAGAATTACCCTGAAAACACCGAGAGAATGAAAAAGAACCAGAAAATTATCCGGCTTACCTTTTCTATTTGGAAGATCACGTAATTCGATATATCTGAATTACATAATTAGACACAGATAATTATTAATAGTAGTAAAGAGAACTCAAATTTTCTTTTAAACCATAATTGAATCAATTGTAACAATCAATGAAGATCAACTTACAGAAAATGAAAACTTGCTTCCTTTGAGAAAAATTTATCAGCTGATTTTGATTCTCCCCCTTCCAATTTAAAAGGGAAAACAATATTGATTCGTTGATTAAACTGTTCATATCATTTTTATCAATTTCCTTTGTTTACAATCATCATATTTAAATATGCAATTCAATTAATCAATTTTCTCGCAGATCTTTGTTACATTTTCTCAGTCTCTACAGTGTAGTTAACCTTTCAACCCTTCCATGCTTTGCTTTCCATGTACATGTAACCATATTCACTTACCTGTTAATCAATTTTAATTTTTTTTCTCTTCTTTACCTTTCCTGACTCTCTCTCTCTCTCTCTCTCTCTCTCTCGTCCTCCATCTTCCTTTCATAATCCACTCTACCTGGTATGTATTTACATTTGATTTGGTCTCTATTGACTCAATCCTTTTCTTGGACACAATTTGACATCCTTAATTGTATTGGCGTAATTGGATTAAATTAATTGTTTTGTTTTTCTATGAATGGATTTGATTTGATTTGATATTCTGTTCAATTATCTGATTGGTTTAATTGTCATTTTCTCACCAATGGTCAAGACCACTAAAAGTTGAGATTAATCGACTTCGTAAAAAAGGTGCAATTAGACCAGGAATTAATTCCTCCGCTGTTTGCGGTCGATGTTTAACCGAATTAGGTTATATACTAAATCGAGGTGCTTTTTGTCCCATTTGTCGGAAAAAGGTTTGCAAAAGTTGTCGCTTTTTCGCTGACAAAGAAAATCCGATCGATGGTCATCAATGGGTTTGCATTGTTTGTAGTAAACAAATGTAAGTTTTTAATTAATCGAAAATGATCATTAAGGTTAACAACAATTAGAATCTTATTATTAAAAGTTTCCTGTTTATCTTTTCATATTGAGACAATTTAAATGGTTTCTCTTTGGGTGGAATTGATTATCCCTCGAATCAACAATTAAATCAACAACTAATTTCATGAGAAAAAGGTTTGATTGTTGATAACCAGCCTAAAATCAAACCTTAATCTTATATATCAGCCTTGTGATTAATTTAAATTGTTCACTAATTGTTATTAACAAATCATTTCTGTTTTCACATCAGATAGCGATTAACATTTAATTGTTGACAAATTGTTGAGGCTGATTTAGTTAACCAACCCTTATTTTATTTTAACGTTAGCTTGATTGTTAATTAGGGTTTCTAATGATAATTGTCAAGGTCAATTCAGTTTTAATGATCATTTGATCATGATGATGATTTAATTGTCAGAATTAGGTTAATCATAAATCAACAGTATTTAAATTATTCCGTTAATTTAATCACATGATAAACTTGTTTAGTATCACACAAATAAGATAAATAATGTCAAAGTTAATTGTAAACAATTAAAATTGAAGGATCAGTATTGATTTAATCTAATTGTCTTTAATTGTCAATCTGTAAATCAACTTTGACAACATTGAAACAATTTAACAATCGATCCAATTGATTGTTTTAAGATATCAACTGACAAAATCAAATCAAATTAATCAAGGGAAAATTAAATTAACTTTCACTTTTCTTTTGCATGTATTTCAAAAACAATCAACAATCAAATCATATTAATTATCAAATTAAATTGATAACAATCAACGATGGACAATATTGATTACATTGAATCAATTTTAATCACCATTTTAAATAATTCATTGGGTTACAATAAACTCCTTGGTGATTAATTATCATTAAATCATTTAATAGTTAATTTAAGAGAGTTAAATTGTTAATACTCTTGGTTAATTGTTATTATCTTTTCCACACCTTAATTATCAACATAATCAACACACTTACACATTTATAATTAACCCTTGGGCTCAAAGATATTTAAGATTTTAACTCATAATAATCAACGTAATCACTAATTGATTAAGGTTTGGCTAAGAACTGGTTTTAATTATCAACAATTGATTCAAAAATCTTAAATTAATTCAATAATTTCATTGGTTTTTACACTTTTAATTAACTTAAACAATTAGTTCAACACAGCATCTTCAATATGGTTAACATTAATTCATTGATTAACAAGTTAATTGCTGGTTAACCAATTGGTGTTGTTATTGTTTAAAATGTATCGTAATCAATTCAAATCAAAGGTTATGAGTTAACCAAATCAATAGGATACGATTAATTGTTAATTGATATGATAATAAAAACTACAATCACAATTAACTGCAATTGTTGCTTACAAAATGCAATTGGATGCTAATTAAAAACATTAGTAACACAAATAAATTAGTCCTTTTTGATTGCAAGTTTTCAGTTAAAATTTAAGGTAAATCAATAAATTGTTTGGCTACATGCAAATAAGATTGTAATGATTAATTTATGGTTAGTTAAATTGTTTGATTGCATGTGAAAGTGAAGTTGATCTTTTGTTTTTACTTCTTGTATTCATAACAATCAATTTAAATCGATGAGAATCAAGAAGCTTTTTTCCAATTTGATTAACCATTAATGTTTCACATTTGATTGTTAATTGTGTTCTCTCAGGCAATTTAAAGCAGTTTCTGGTGAATGGATGAAGGAATTGACTCGTTCGGCCAGTGAGAAAATCCGATCACCATCAACGAGCGTTTTTGCCACTGCCACTGAAAATTTGGGTCGATCACTTAAATATTCATTTCGATCAGGTAAATATCTAATTGTTAATCCTTGATAATTGTTGCTAATTGTTATCCTAATACGGTGTTTATTGTTTTTTCTTACCTTTCAGGTTTCCTTAAACAAAATAACAATCAACAAAACGAGGGTGGCCTTTCAATTAACAGTAAACTTGGTTCAAACAGTGAATCTCAATTAAATTCACCTTCCCTTTCAAATCAACAATTAAATAGTAGTGATCATTTTGTTGGCGTCGGTGGTGGCGGTGGACGTGTAGGTGGAAGCGTTATTTGTCTTGATCAAACAAGTAACCTTGCTGGTGACAATATCAGTAGTAATTATAGAAGATTTTATCGAAGTCGAGGTCAACTACCGCCTAAACTTCCGCCGACGGTAAATACAACAAGTTGTGTCGGAGATTCAGTTTCTAAATCACCTCCATCGGATGGAAGTGGAAGTCAAGAGACATCGCCAAAACCTCCGTTAAGTCCAGTAGTTAAAGCTTATCAGGCTGCCGTTGATCTTGTGGCCACTGATACTAGTCGAACCATGTTAAATACTGCTCCTGGTGAGAGAAAAATGGTTTATCGTAAGGTGTCCAATAGATTGTTGGACAGTTCATCGTCAGAAGAGGAGGAAGAAGATGATCTAAGGCCGTCAAGCCATTCACGAGCTTCCAGTGAATCAACACCTTCACCTCGAACGCCAAATAGTTGTAAAATTTTAAGCGGAATTTCAGCTAACCAAGCAACTGCATTTAAATTTCCACCCCTTTCACCTGTGCCAAGTCGATCAACACTTCGAACTGAAAAGCCACTTGAACGTATTCCAATGGAACATCAATCATCTGATGAATTTTCCGCTACTCCACTTAGTTCATTTCGGTCCAGATCAACTTCAAGTGAAACACCAGATGAGACCAGTACAAGCGGTGGTGGAGGCTCTAGTAGTGGCGGTGGTAGTAGTGGATCAAAAGTATTAACACCAGAAAATGGATCTCGAAATCGTCGTATTAGTCCGCTGCGAAAACAACGAGCCATAGCTGAAGAGCTTCAAGCTGACCTGCCAGGGAAACTTGCCTTGTCGTGTCAAATAAACACCAGTGGAATTGATTCATCTCTTGTCGGTTTCACGGGAAACGATTACTCAACGATTATCAATCCATCACCAAATGTTGTACCTTCGATGGGAAACAATAACAACGCTGAAAATTTGATTCGCCGTGATCATAGTGGTGGTATCGATTCAGGAATTGAGTGTGGTGGTGGAGGTGGAAATCATGGTAACAATAGAAGTAGGAAAGGATCATCATGGACATCGTGGTATCACAAGGATAAACCTGCCACTTCAGAAATGCCCACGGAAATTTCATCTCCCTCATCGATTGGATCGAGTAAAAAATCATCAAAAGTATCCACAGTTTCTGGAACACCATTAGCGACATATTCACGATTCAACCAAATTCTGGCTAATAATAACTCACATTGTAATAGTACAACAAACACTGTTGGTGCCTCAAGTCGATCTCCCGTTTTGACCTCATCTCAACCTTCAGTTTACAATATTGAAAGATCACTAGTTAACAGTGGAGAAGCCGAAGATGACAGTGAATCCGAGGCAACGGTGGAAAATACAACCGGGGTGGTTTTCCGTAAGGTTACAATTAAAAAACGCTTATCACGAACCCAATCCGATAGAGGTTCACCTTCGCCAACAGGCTCATCAACACCGCCACCACCATCACCACTCACTGGCACTTCTGTCACACCTCGAAGTCCATTGATATCTCCAAGATCGAACACTAATTCACCTGATTTACAACAAAATCGACAACAACATCAACCACGTTACACACAATCACCTTGTTGTTCACCTGTTCCCTTAATGGAATCGTCGACAATCAGCCCAACAATTAACTCACCATTAAATCAGAATAAAAGTAATTCAATTAATCGTTCACTGACCGATGATCCTTGTCGACGAGCCAATGGAGCCATTGGCACTTATGTTAAATCACATTCAGCTGGTAAGTTAATTTCTATTTTTTTTATTAACAATTTAACAAAAACATAACAAAATAATAGTAATAGTAATTAATTTGAAACAATTATGATAATTGTAATATTTACTAATCATAAACCAAGTCCATTGACATGATAATCATCATCTGGGGTAAGATTAACCAGATTTATCTTTTAATCCTTATCCTTTTATCCAACTTTAACTTACCCATTCAACGATTAATTCACCAACTCAAATTAACTCATACTAATTAAAATTAACCAACAACAATCCTACAATAATCGATCAGCACCAAAAAGTTAACAGACTGACCACTAACAACTAAACGTTGATTATGAATTAAATCAAGAATTAATTATATGAACTATCATGATGATCATTATCATCATCGATCGCCTTTTATCATCTCCAGTTAATCCAAAGGATAATCGCAATCAAAGCGACTCATCACAATTCAATCATCGTATTAAAAAATTAGTCAATAATCAATTTGTAAATTGTAAACATAATCAACCAACTAGGAAACAATCAAATCAACATAATAATAATAATAATCAGTATAATAGGAAGGATGTTGACGATGAAAGTAATAATTTAACAATCAATGGACCTCGTAGATATACCAAAAGTGACCGCCGTTCATCAGGGATGAACGGGCTCAGGCCGAACCATCAATCGAATAGGAGTCAAGCGAATGACAAATATTTTCAATATCGATTAAGTTCACTTCCAACAACTACAGTTGGCGCCACAACTTCGACCTCTCCTCGCGATGGGTACGTTTATCATCCTTCATCATATCGATCATCTTCTTATGGTGACCATCAAGGTAGCAATTATCATCCTTATCATCCTCAATCAATGAACCATCTACATCATCGTTTGAAAGGCCTTTCACTGGATAGTCATGCGTTTGTCCGTCGTAATATTGCCCGTTTGGGCTCGTATGGGTCACCAGCTAAGCGACGTATAGTTAAGTTAACCAAGAAACTACGTCGAGGTTTACTTTTCATTGCTTCTCGTTTGAAAGGACGACATCGAAAGGGTAAATCAACATTATCTGGTTACGAATCAACTGATTATGATCAGGTCACCTTGGAAAGATACAATTGCTCCTGGTTGGCTCGAAGTGTCTCTTTACCGAATCACAGTGACCCTAACCGGACATTAGCTCAAATTAGTCAAAATGATTCCTGGAAATATGGATCCATTGACCAGCGTCTATGGCAATTGGAGTGTGAAGATGAATACAATGAAGATGAGATTGATGATGATTACAGTGAAAGTAATTATAAACACGTAATCAAATCAAGAAAATCTTCCATCGGCAGAGGTAAAAATGAGCTTAGCGACGAGGAATATGAGATTGGCCTGAACGATGAAGTTATTTCAGGCGAAGGAAAATATCAATTAGTTTTCATGGATCGAAATACTTTGGGAACGATTGAATCAAGTTCCGAACAAAGTGACACTGATGGTAAACAGAATAATCGTCGATCTATCAAAGGTAGACAACAATCAATTAATCGTCCAAGAATGTTAAGAGTACGATCTCATCTGGAAATCGCCGATGGTACAGCTTATATCGAGGATTCGGACTGGGAGATGTGCTCAGATCCTGGAGAATTACCGATTTCATCTTCATCTTTAAGTGAAGCAATTGGTTCTCATTCAGTTACAAGTTTATTCAAAATATATCAACACGATTCTTACACTAATTGTTACGATCAACAAACTATTGGCTACACCAATGAAGATGCAATCAATGTGACCAAAACAATCAATGGTCAACGATCATATTGTACAACATTATCCGATCCTGGTATCTCACTTGGACATGATGCTTTGTTAACTGTTGTTGATTGTCCTGAAGAGTCAATTGTTTATAGCAAAGATGACAACAATCAATGGTCAGATGATGATGTTGATGATGATGAAATAATCTCATCATCTAATCAAATCACTTCCAATTTAAATCAAAGTTTCTCTTGAGTCTGATTCAATCTCATCATCACTCTTATCCAGATCGACCTCACCTTCAACACCATCAACCTTATCAACAACACGACAAACAATATCTTCCGGTGACTCTGGTCATCATCAACAAACATCATCATCATCATCCTCATCCTCCTCATCAACATCTCATAATTACACTTGTATTGCTGTTAATGGTAAACAACATGGTTATACTAAATCAATTGATTGTGACGTTAATTTTGGTAATCATGTTAATCATCATCAATCAACCAATTGGGAGAGGAATCGACGACTAGGTGGGTACAAATCAAGAAATTGTTTAACTATTAATGATGCTAATCATCAAGATGATCAGGTTACCAATTGGAATTTGGGATTGACTCTGATGACCAATATGAATGATGACCACGCTATGGATGCAAGTGATGGTCAGAAAAATGAAGATGTCAATGGAGATACAATTGACCGTAACAATGGAAGGGAAATTCAATCGACCCATAAGGATCAATCATCTCCACCACCTAGTCGACCACCTCGGGCAAACCGACGAAGACAATTAACCAAATCATCAATAACCTCAACTCCCACTAACACCACTACGATTTCAAGCTCTTCTATTAATAACTCTAATAACAATTATTTTAAACACTCTAATCAACTTGTCAATCAAAACTCATCATCAGTTTTATTTGATTCTGTCAGATTGTCATCTATAAAACCTTCAATCACTGATTTTCATGAAACTTTGTATAATCTAATTGTTGACAAACATCAATCATTTTGGGATATAACCAATGAATCAGTTGTAATCAAAAATTTCACCTCATTAACTATCGGAAATCAGGACAATCAACTCACCAATTACCAAAAGGATTGGCTGAAAATAGGAATCAGTTCATTATCACAAATTTTAAATCATATCAACATACATGATGATTATGATGAGGATAAATATGATTCTTGGGTTAATTGTGATAATCCTAATTTAAGAATCAATTTGAATGAGAGATCATTTCAATTAACTGGATTCCTGGAAAGTTCAACCAATCAAAGTGACAATTGGGATTCACTTTCATCCAACAATGAAAGAACCGTTAACTTGACCGCTTGGTACAAACCCGAATCCCGTTGTTACCCGTTTTATGGTCACTTTTCAACTCTTCCTTTCTGTTTGGTCAATATTGATGATCCTAATTCTGTTAACTATCATCAAAGTAATCATGGTGATAAACAATCAGATCAACAGTATCACCATCATCAGATTTATCACTTAATCAAATCAACTCAATGGTTGGATCAACATGACCTAAGTAAACATTGGTCCTACTTTAATTTTCCACTCAGTTTAACAATTATCTCACCTTATTGTTATTATAATCATCAATCAATCAATTCAAAACTATTCAGTAGATTTGTTAACAATAAGATAATTAGACAAATTGATTCACTTGAAAAAGTGAGTACTGTTGATGATTATCTAGTGCGTCCTGTTAATCAGGTTGAATGTTGTTTAATTTTTGATTTAATCAAATTTAATTGGTGTAAAACTGTTTGGACCCAATTAACTGAAATAGTAAGTGAAACTTACTTGATGTTAATGATTAAACATTTATCATCATCCACCAACAAATATCATCATCTAACCTTTTCTCCCATACAATCATCATCATCATCCTTATTATTTTTGGACAAGATCAATTTAATTTCTGTCAACCGTGAGATTAACCAAGATTTACAGTTAATTGTTGATAATAATGACGAAGTAAATATAAATTGTCAACAATCTGGAACGGAAACTGGTTTGAATGACTTAAGGCAAATTCAATTGACATCAACAGTAGAAACAACCTCGCCCTTACCTCCACCTTCAACATTATCTCCTCCTCCTTTAATATCTCCATCATCATCATCATCATCATCATCATCTTTAAATTGTCTTCCTCCTTTTAATTCATCAAAATTGAAAAAATCATCACAATCACAATCAGAAACTAAATCAACATTAAAAGATTTCATTGAAAATAGTGAAGCTGTTGTTTCAATTGATCATGATGACGATGATGAAAATGAGGATGATGATGATGATTGTGGTGGCAGCGGCTACAGGGAAATAATCATCAGCCGCGGGAGCAGTTATTCCAGTTGTAAAGAAGCCGTCAGACCTGATGATGATAAGAGAGAGGATGATGAGAGAGCTGAAACAGCCCCAATAAGAAACCAGTCAGAAGAGGAAAGTTACTTACGAAGTGAACTTGAAAAAAGTTGTAACGATGATCAGTTTGCTCGCAATCAATTCATAGTAACATCATCATCATCATCCCAATCATCTTCCACTTTAGCTAGTGAATTAATTAAATCAACAACAACAACATCACTAATCAAATCAACAAGTGAAAAAACCGTTTCTCCATTAACACAAGAAGCAATCACAATAACAGGGGAAGGTGAACAATTAAACAGTGATTGTAATTATTATATCAATGGATTGAAAGGTGAAATTGACCCATCGATTATTGATAAGAATCATGTTTCTTGTGGGTCACTAGTGAGGTCGCCTTTTAATATTAATTGTGATAATCAAAGTAAACAAATTAACTGTCAACCCAACAGCAGCAACAACAACAACAACCACCAACAACATCAATTGTTTTTATTAACCTGTTTACCAATTCAACCCACAGTAAATGTTTATAATCAGTTAAACGTAAACAAAACCAACAACAACAGTTACGTTAACGGTAAATACGCCAACCACAATACGAGTAACAATTTAAATGCGTCCAAGTTAATTTCACCATCTTTTGATTGTATAACATTGAACGAGGTTAATTATGATTCCTTGGATTCACGTTTAGCCACAAGTAAACACCAACACAATCAACAACAACTACAACAATTTAACCAAATCAATCTTACTGATTGGACAACAACGAGTAAAACAACAACCAAAATCAGTGAAACTGTTAATGGTAACAATTTAACTCACATTAATAACACAAGGGCGGATAAATTGATTAACTTTTCCTCCTTATTATTACAATTATCATCTCCAGTAACAACAATATTATCATCATCACCAAGAGGATTATCATTAACTCATCAACATCATTTACCTAATCATCCATTGATTTTGTCCTTGTATTTTCAACATTTACACAATTCAACAACAATCGTTGATAATCAAATTAAACAAATTGTAATACCAGGATTTTTATATAACAATATTATTAATTATTATCATGATAATAATGGTGAATTAGTCAAACCTTATGAAAGTGATTATCTTATTGATATTTTAACACCAACAGCAAAGTTATTACAATTAAATTCAGTTTCAAATTCCTCTCGTGTTGATACAATTGATGATGAAAATGATGATTGTTTATTAATCAACAATCAAGATAATCCACCGAGTTTTGTTAAAACAAGTAATCAAATTAACAGTGAAAATAGTCAATACTCAACACCATCAACTCAACCAATTAACTTACAATCATCCACCTTACAGTTAATCAACAAACTTTCAGTTATTAAAAGCAACATTGGGTTACCATCAACATCAACACAATCAGTTTCAACAAATCAACAGTCAACAACAACAACAACAACAACAACAATAGTTGACCAATCAACATTATTAACCAATTGTAATTATGATTATGATGATTATTTAACTGGTGAAAATAGTAACCACCTTAATCATAATAATTACATGAAAAAGGACATTGTAGTGGACAAGGAAACAACAATGTCATTGTATAAAACATCAAATGGTCACAAAAAGTCAACCTCATCTTCACCATCATCAACATCAACTGGTTTACTTAATAATTTAACTCATCATCTACCAAGTGATGATGAGGAAGATGAAGATGAAGAAGAGTATATTGTAGATGATGATGAAATGGGTTCCACTTCATCAGATGAATCATTTCCACCCCCAGTGTTACCTGGTCATTCATTAGGTGGTATTTATGGTGGATTTGGTGGTAATGATGGAGTAGGAGGAGGAGGAGGAGGAAGTGGTAGTACCAGTGGGATGATAAATAATAACTATGGTAATCCATTGGCCTACTCCCTACACACCATAATTGAGGAAAGTTGTGAAGAAAGTGAATCTGAATCACTTTTATCTCGAATCTCTGACAATACTGATAATGAGAATGTTAATCATGAAAATAACAATAATAATGGTAAAAGTCAGAATAATATGAATGATGTGTTGATCCCACCTTCATCTGAGTCATCAACTAATTCATTATCTACTCATCATAATCATCATCTTAATTATTATGATGATGATCCTGGTGATCCAGAAAATTATACTGCCTTTCAAATTGGACACAATGTAATAACAACCAACGGTAATAGTAGTGGTCATCATCATCATAGTCAGGGTGGTAAACGATTGGGTAGTGGTCATGTTTCATTTTCTAAAGATTTTCAACCCACCGGTGATTTTAGTGATGAAGATGATGAGGAGGTGGATGATGAAGGCTCAGATAATATGTCGGAAACATCTGAAACTCTTGCTGATTTTGGTGATGAGGATGATCTTGATCCGATTACTTTGGCCTCATCTCGATTGGAGAAATATTTTACTTCGGGTTTACTTGGATCAGGAGCTTACGATTATCCTGATGATGTTGAATTTCAGGATGATGATGATGATGATCCAAATGATTTATATAATCAAGCCAAGAAAATCAATAACAAGGTTGAAATTAAGGTGAACAATAAAAATGTCACCAATCAACCGCAACAATCTAGTGATAATCAAGATAATATTTCTAATGGAATCTCAATGGTAACAGAAGAGTCAAATGTAATTAAATCAACAACGTCTTCATCTTTATCACCAACAACAATTACAACAGCATCTTCATCGTCTTCATCATCATCACCTCCACCACAATCAACAGCAACAATTACTGTTGATACTCAATTAAGTAAACCACCAACAGTAACAACAACAACAACAATAATCCATCATAATATCAAATCAAAAGAGGAAGACAATTTAATTAAAGAGGATGATGGTGATTATTTCAATACAATCAAATCGGTTCAACATAATGATAGCTTTAATTGTGATCATGTAAAAACTGAAATTAAGGAAAGTGAATCTAAATTAACAACAACAACAACAACTTCAACCAATAAGGAAACCAATGAAAGCCAAATTGTAAACAAAATTGTTATAAATGATGATGAACAACAATCAAAACAGCAATTGGCTAATCATTTGCCATCAAATAATATCAATAATCAGCCAACAATTGACAGTAGTTTATCAAATTTACAAGCAAAGAGGAAGAAAGAAGTAACAACAATTATGTCAATTATTAATTCAGATAATTGTAATAATGATGATGGTGATAATACTAATCACCAAAAGGATAATGTTAATCACCATCAATCACCTGTTTCATCAAACGTTGATTCAGTTGTGAGTAGGAAAACTGTTCAGTCTGTTACAAGGTCAATACAAGTCAAACCACAAGCACCTCAACCACCAACTAATCAAGTTAATAGTTTAATTAATTCAGAGAAAATTAAATCATCCTCATCATCTTCATCATCTAACGTTGCCATTAGTACCAAATCTTCAAATTCCCGAACGGAATTGAATCCATTATTTTCATCGTCAACAAAATCTAATCAATCAGATGAGAGGATTAACTTAATTTCATCAGTGAGAAAGGAATCAAACTCATCAACATCGTCATCATCAACAACAACAACGACAACAATTAGTAAACCATCAGTGGAAACTACGATTCGATTTGGACCATCACCACAATTGGTTCGAAGTTTATTAGCAGGTAACCAGTTAATTGATGTTAACAATCAACAAAATTTTATTAATCATCTCGATGAAGATGATGGTGAACAGTATGGTAAAAGTGGGTCAATAAAAGGGAAAAGTGTCTTATTAATTGTTGATGATAATACTAATCAATTGAAGCAAAATGAGATGAAAGATAGTTCAATGTTCATTATTGATGATCATCATGATGATACAAATAATCAGCAAGAAAATGATGATAATATTTGCAAAATAATGATGAATATTGTTACTGGACAATCAAATGTTACTAGTAAAACCAATGATAATACTAATAATCATCATTATCATCCATGTAATGATATCAATAATGATAGTAATCATAATGATCATGTTGATAATGGTGAATCTTTGAAATATCTTGAATCTCAAATTGCATTAGCCATGAATTCAGGCCATCAAATGTCCCATGTAACTAAGAGCAACGGTAATATTAATTTCCTTAATAATGATTATCTTAATGCTAATGATAACGTTAATCATGTTGAGAAAAGTAATAATAGTTTTAGTATTAACAATGAGATGAGAAAAATTAACAATCAAAGTGTAAAGATTAACATTAGACATGAATCAGCAAATGATAAAATGTATTTGCAAGGTAAACAATTGTTAGTTAATCCAATGGATGGATTAGCATTTAAATTTGATGATAATGATGATGATGGAGCAAAGATAATATTGATCAGCTGATTACCTCACCTAAATTTGGATTAGCATCATCATCGTCATCGTCATCATCATTAACTAAAAAAAGTTTAACAATATCAACTGATAATGAGCAATCCAAATTAACTAAATGGAAACATATTGTTGATGATTTATGTTCAACAAGAGAATCGGCAGTTACATTGTCATTGATTAACAATGATTATTCAAGTGATAATGATATTATTTATGATGCTAATTTGATTAACAATCAAAGTTTTGTTGGTGATCAACAAGATAGTGTTTTATTTAACAACTTGAATGTAAATGAACTAGAAACGTTTCATGAGATTGATGGTGATGTTAATCACAAGAAGAGGATAAAGTTGCTTTCCAAGTGTAACTTTTTACTATCTCCAAATGATTCAAGATCTAAAACAAAAATATTACTCAATTCTGATTCAATACCAACAACATCAACATCAACAGCAGCAGCAACAACAACAACACGATCAACAAGTTATGATGAGGATGAAAATGATTCGGATGATACAACAACAACAGCACCAACAGAGTGTAAAATATCACATGAAATGGATGAAATATTTGGTGAGTTTGTTGAACCAAAGATCAATGATTACCAAATGGAAAACAAGAAAATGATGATGATGATAAATAACAATGAAACCATAGAGAAGAAGAGGGAAGATGATGATAAGAGGGAGAGGAAAGTGATTTCAAAAAATCACAACAATACAACAAATTCTGATATCGGAGGTTATTCAGCTGAGAATGACAGTGACTTTGGAACACGTAGTCTCATGTTTACCTATTCAAATACACGTGAACCTGATGGTGATCAGGTGAAGGTGGATGAAGATGAAGATGAAGATGAAGATACTGTTAATGAGAGGCAACTGTTATTAAACCGGTTGAGGCCGTTTGCCGATGATGATTATGATGAATTTACGTTAATTAATGTGAGCACGAACACGATTCATGAGTTGGTTGAAAATCATGATACTAATCAAGAAGAGAGGAGGAAAAAACAACAACAAGATGAGTCAAACAATTACCATAATCAAAGATCATCAGTTGAAACAATCAAATTTGATTCAATTTATAATGATAATAATAATATAAGTAAAAGTAATCATGATAATTTAAATCAAACAATAACCTCGAAAGGTCATAAAACAATACTTAAAATAGATTCTCAGGATTCAGGTGATTTTTTCATGTAAATAATGTCTCCCTGATGGATAACAATGTTTCATCATCATTAATCCAGTCCAATGAAATAATTAGCCGACAAATTGTGATCCCTTCAACTAATCAAACTTTCACAATTGATGATGATTATAATGGTGTTAACGATAACCTGAACATTATCAAGCAAAACAACAACAACAACAACAATCAAAGTAATAGTGATAATGAGAAACCACTGAAAAGTTCATGGGAAACTCAGGATTCATTGTTAACCACCAAGGTGCCATTAAAAAGTTTATCTGAATCTCATGGTGATGATGAAATAAGTTTCATTGGTGAAAACAATGAATCCAGAAAGATTAACTCAAGTTCATCATCATTTCAATCATCAACCATAATCATCAATCAAAATAAATCCAATTCAACCGAGAATGTCAATAATATCTTTGATTATCAGTTTGATTATTGTTATCATCCAACATCATCTTCATCATTAAAGATAATTGATGAAAATGAAAATGATAATTGTGATGATAATTTTCACCATCAACAACAACAACAACAACAATCAGTGATGAGAAAACTATCCGATGGGAAAACAGCATCAATGTCAGAACCATTTTCATCTTCATCCTCATCTTCATCAAATAAACCATTAATTAGACCAAATTTAATGGACTCAGCTGATTATCATGATGATGATACAGTTAAACAACAATCGTTGACATCATCATCATGCCGACATGATACCTGGAAGGGACAAACATTAAACTCTAACAAGGGCAAATTTTCAATTGAGATCAACAGTAAGACTAATTCATTGCCCTCAAATTATCATCATCATCATAATCAACAAGCAGATCATCTTAATCCTCAATTTCACCCTCATCGTTATCATCACACTTTCAGTAGACTGAAAATCCCACTCGGTGTGATGAAAAAATTATCCTCACTACGAGGTAAGGAGATGACCAACAATCGGAGTAAACAATTAACTCCTTGACAATCAAAACTAATCACCAACATTGATTATAATCATTATTATCATAGCCTCGTTTTTTTATATCACTCGACGGCTAAATCACCTTAACAATCAACTAATTACTTGTGTATCATTTCAATTCACCTTAATTTTAATCACTTATTTTTTTTCTTTCTCTTTTCATATTTCTCATATTATCACCTTTTCTTTATGATTACAATTAACCTAATTGTAAATTTATTTACAGCATAAACAAACACTCAACTAATCAAGAAAAAACAAGTTAAATCACCTAACAATCAAGCACGATAAACACCAACAACAATCATCACTAATTAACTTAAATTGTTTGGCTAAAAAATTTGTTCAACAACAAAACTTTCTCACTTTCTCTAAATCAACAATTTAATCAATATTACCTTTTAATTACAATTACTATTACTATCATTTTGAATGTTATGTTGTGTTAATAGCTTTGCAAATGCTCATGATTAGCTAACAATTTAATTTGCTAATTAATTTAATTGTTTTTTTCTTATTCTTTTTTCTCACTTTCCAATTAGATGAAAAATCATCAACCAGGCGATTGATCACAAATCGACGTAAATTAATTGGCGGAAGTGAACCTTGTCCATCCAATGAGTCCACATCAGCGGTTCCTCATATTTCCGTTTCAGATTATTCAGAGGTACAATTTACAGTTGGAATAACAATTAGAACAATTAACTCAATGGAAACTTTTTTTTTCTTCCCTTACAATTAACTTACAGAGTTTTTCCCACCGAGGATCCATCGGAAGCTCAGGAGGAGACGATATTTTCACCTCAACCGAAGACGATGTTGACAAAGCTTTCGCTTACCATAATCGTAGTCAGACAAGTTTATCATCATTTGGGGTAAGCAATCAAACTGTTAACAATTCAATTGACTAATCAAAATGATCATGAACAATATTGATCAAGTTTAATGGTCAATCGGTCAATCGAGTTGATATATTATCAAGTTGAAAATTGATTGTTTTAAATGTTTACCATTTGAAAGTGGAAACTGTTTACTAACCATGTTGATTTAAATTGTTTCAATTTGATTAACAGGCTCGAAGTGAAAGTTTATCAAGCGTTTACAGTGCAGCGGGAGGTGGACGTTATGGAACCGTGACCATTTCCGGTGAAATACTTTTCTCATTAGTTTATAAACAATCGGAAAGTTCACTCGAACTGTACATTAAAGAGTGTCGAAACTTAGCTCCGGTTGATAGTAAACGAAACAGATCAGATCCGTAAGTATCAATTTAATTATTTACCATCATTTTTTTTTATTCATCACAATTAAATCCACCTTGATTAACTATTGTCCACTCTCACCTTTCATGAGATTCAGGTCACTTTTACTTGAGATTATAATCTTGACTATATTTAGATTATTCATCTTACCTTGAACTTTCAATGGTTGTTTTTGTTTACCTCACATTTTAAATTCATTTTCATGTATATTCATGATAATATTTCATTCAAAGTATTAATTTTAACTGTTTCACTGGAGCTGAAACTTTTTTTTCCATACCAAGAAAGTTTGAAATAGTTTCCAGCTCATGGCTTAATAATGTTTACCTGTAGTATTATTATCATTCAGAATTAAATGAATAGTTTATTCAGATTAATTGTAATCATCTACTCATAGGTATTAACCATTAAATCAATTGTTGTTGGTTAAAATTTAGAGTTGAAACTTTGTTCAGAACTTTTTTTTTGTTCAACTTTCATTCTGTCTCAATATTTGTTTTTGTTCAACTTTTTTCACATGTTGACCTTTAGTTTACTTGATTGTGATTAACTTAATTTGATTAAATCATTTCTTTCTGTGTGAATTGTCACGAAACTATATTGTTACTAAATTGTTACAATCTATTTCTCTGTGTGTTTTTATGTTGATTGATTAGACAGAAAAATATTTACAATCAAAGTATTAACAATTTCGTGTCAACAATTGATCATTTAAATTTGTATTTTTCACACTTGAGAGTTAAATCAAGTCTGATCAGACTTTTTGATTACAATCACGAGAAATACAATTTAGTTAGACAATTGTTAAAACTTTAATTTAGTTGTTGTTGGACAACAATTTAATCCAATTCAATTTTCTGGTATCGGTTAAGTCTGAATACTTTTGCATATTCAATTATTTGAAAATGATTTCACTTTGATTGTAAATTATTCAATTAAACTATTAATCTAATGAGTTAAAAAATCATGATTCAAGTAAGTGTAACAATTTAAATTGTTATACCTTCAATTGTTATTTCCCAATTATGATCTAATTTTCCCATTCGTGATCTCATTTCAATCTCATTGATTGATTTGAATTCATTTTCTGTATATTAACCCTTGATTACTTTAGTTAATATGATAGATTTGTTAATCCATTAAAGTTAACCAACAATCAACATGATTGTGATAATCATTGTTAAATTGTTGAGAATCACGGAAATTTAAATAGGAGAAAAAAATTACCATATAGTTTCATATGATTTCTTGCCAAAAACTTCATGACAATGAACAAGTTTTATCGGTTATTGTCTCTGAATTTGTGACCCTTGACCTGATTTTTATTGAGTCCAAAAGTGATGGACAGAAATACAATTAGACAAGTATCTCATTTAATTCAACTCCATTAGGATTCAATTGCATGATGATTTAAATCATCAGAGAGAGAGAGAGAGAGAGAGACGAAAATGATATTATTCATTCAGATGAGTGTACCATCAACTCTAATTGTTTTTACTCTGATTAATTGAAACAACATGATCTCCATCATGATAATGAAATCACATTTCCATCTCTCTCATTTGGTTACCTGTTTTCATTTATGATCAAATTGAATTCCCGTTCAATGCTGATTCCTATTAAATGAAATTATTTTCAAATTCCAGGCCAAACTATTACCGTTAAACTGACACTAATTTTGTTGACTTTGAAAAGTTTGACCTACATTTTGAGCATCCTCATCCTCATCCAGGTTAAATAAGGTTTATCCTCATCATCACTATCAATCTCATATAATATTATATATCTGATTAATTTACTAATAAAACCGGATCCCAAGTGAAAGTCATAATTTATTAATCATCTTTATCCTTAATCTTCACTATCAACCTGGTAATCCAGTTAATCTTGACTAAATCCAGCTCAAAGTCTGGATAAATGTTATTATTTGTTTTTCTTGTTTTCTCATCTTTTATTTATTTTCCAATTGATTGTTAGGATCAATATGATTGTTATTTCATGATTAACTTCATGATCATGTTCATTTCAAATGTTAATTTAATCATGATAATCAACTTTTTTCTTTGCCTCTCTCTCTCTCTCTACATTTCAATTGATTGACTGATCACAATTAGTAATCGTTGATGCATAAAAAAGTTACATCTTGATGTTAAATTTAGTTAATAGTTAAATCATTGAATTGGAAATGATAATTGTAATCATATAATAATCATAATTCAATCTCATTGTGAACTCAATTGAATTGATTTTCTTGTTGTTGCTTCCGGGTAATTGACATTGGCTTGATTATCATGATAATCATCAGTAATTATAATGGTGGTTGATTAATTAAATTTAACATCTGATCATAACAGTTACAGTTAATTAACCATTTCAATCAATACATATTGTGTGTTCACTTTTGTCATAATTAACACAAATTACTTTGCTATACTTAATCATGTTGTTTTAATTGTTATTACCTCTAATCCTGTCTACCTTAATCAATTTAATCTTAATCATTTAACTCAAGTTAATCTGCTCTGATAATTGGTTTACATTTTCACTGATTAAGCACTTCAATTGTTAATTAACATTTAACCTTCCAAATTGGAAACAATCAGCTGATTAACATTGATTAATTATTAATTTAAATTGGAAATTTACTTTCTGTCTCTAATTTTACTCATCAACAATTAAATTAACTCTTTTATCGTTGATTCATATTATTATTCAAGTAACAATCACTTTGATTGTTATGTTATCATTATTGACAATTAACCTTTCTAAATGTGACAAGTAGACAGTATATAAAGTTAATTAGTCTACTAATCAACTAATTAATTAGAATCCAAAAAAAAAGTTGTGCAACTTTAAAATAACTTTTAATTGTTGGAAAAGTTTTCATTTCAGTTTTACTTTCAATGTATTTGATTTAGTTTGAGTTTTTAAGTAATAATTGGCTGATTGTTGATAGTTAATCTGTTTTAATCATTTATATTAATGAGTTGATTGTATAAATAATTTATTCATTACAATTTTTAATTTGATTGAGTCTAAAACAAGACGAGTAATTAACTTTAATGATGATAATCAAAACCCTTGACCTCAACATCCTTGATTACAGTTAATTCATCATCAGAAAAAGTAATAGTTTTTTGTATCAATACGATTGATCATCACAATCAAGTTTACAATTTAACCATGAAATTAGGTTCATCGTCATCAACAGTTATCAATTGTAACCTTATTTAGTCAATCAAAAGATTACCAGTTAATTACAATTAACTCACAATCAACAACTACATTCCAAGTTGTGTAATAATAATAAATAGTAACATAATATTTTCTCAATAAAAAAATGAAACTAATTACAACTTAATCAACTTAATCAACTTAAAGATGATTATCTTAATCCAAATCATCAAGTATCATCAATAGCAACAATTTATCCTCAAGTTGTATAAATAAATTTTCATGATCACACTGATAATCAAATCTAATTAAATTGTTTGCTTAGGGTAACACAATGACAACTTTTTGATTAATACTTTATATGGATTTAAACTTGATGATTACAATTAATTACTTTGATTTATGATCACAATCAAAGACACTAAGTTGATCCAATGATTATTAATAAACATTGACATTTACTATCTTGAAATTAATGATTAACCCAATCAACTTAATCACAATAAATTAACCTTGATCACTGATCATTCAAAACTCAAACGATTGTACAAATTACAATTAAACTAAACAATTGATATTATATAATATTTCCGAAAGGTAAATTGTTATAATTACAATTAAAATGTTTAAATCCCAAATTAAAATATTATCCAAACCATAGTCAACAACAATAATGATAAAAACTAGGTCAAAATAATGATAATGAATGATTAATGATTACTAACAACAATTAAATAAGAAATCAGGTGAATGATAATCAATTTAGTTAATCAATAGATTTGATCATAGTTTTAATAATAATTAGTTGGAAAATGAAAACAATTAGATTTGATTGAAACTTTCCCATTATCTGATTCGTTGCCCATTCATAGTCTCATCGAGTCTGATTAATTGTATTATCCAATTAATTGATTGTTTCTTTTTCATCCCTTTAATTGTTTACAGTTATGTTAAATTGTACTTGTTACCTGATCGTTCAAAAAGCGGTAAACGCAAGACTAAAGTAAAAAAACACACTTTGAACCCGATTTTCGATGAGAATTTAAAATTTTATCTTCCCGTTAATCAATTGGATGGACGAACCTTATGGATCTCAGTTTGGCATAGCGACATTTTCGGACGTAACGATTTCCTTGGTGAGGTCACTTTACCTTTGACGAAGGACATTTTAAGAAACTCGGGATTAAGATGGTATCCACTTCAGGAGAGAGTAAGTTACAAAATCTACCAAACAATTAAAATAAAGTGTCGCGATTATGATGATGATTGATTTATTTGGAAACAATCAGTTGATCATCTAAAATTGTGTCACAATTTAAATTGTTTATATCATATGATTAGATTATCATTTTGTCACTTTAATTTTCATCTATAATTAAACTTGTGTCACCTTGATTGTTATATATTATGATACTTATGATAGTTTGCTAATTGCCTCTTCATCTTTAATAACAATCAGCGAATCAAGAATTAATCAATTACCGTACAATACACATAACGGTAATATTATATTCAAGTAACACAATTTGATTGGGACTAAATTGAATGAGAAGCAACAAAAAACAACAATCAATAAATAACAATTTAGTCTTAGTTAATATCTTCAATCAAATACAATTAACATGAATGACTTTGATTGTTGTTACCTAAACAATTGTAATAATAATAATCAAGTGATGAAGGTTAAATCACTAGTAAGAGAAATCAAATCAATACCTAAATTGTTTGCATCAAGTTACATATTTATTGATTGTTTGATCAATCAATTGTTGATAATTTTAATAGAAAGTTAATCATTTAATTTTTGCTCTTCTTCTTCAAATGATTAGTTGATTATTCAAACAAATTAACATCATTTACCTTTTCTTTTCCTGATTTCTTAATGTGTTGATTTATACTATTTCCTTTTAATCATCATCACCATCTCATGATTATCATTAACAATAATAATATAAGTTAATGGCTGAGTTAATTCACTAGTTAATAGTGTCATCTAATTGTTGATGATTAACTCTCATCTTAACCCTTTTACCTTAATCCATTGTGATAACCATTAGATGTTAACCTTTTCCAGTTGAATAATTTACTTTATTCAATCATCATCATCAGTCACTATTATTAATATACTTTTACCTTGACCTTACCTGGAATTGATTAGGATGATTAAGATGATGATGATGATGATGATGGAAGGAAAAAGTTAATTTACCTTACACACAATAACAATTAACGATCAGTTATCATTATCATCAGTGTATAATATTTATGATTAACTTATTATTATTACGATTGATAATTAGTCTTCTCGGTGAGATTATAGTTGATTGAACTTCACTAAACTTGTATACCAACAATCAAATAAGATTAATTTAGTTTCAATTGTGTAAGTTAATCAATTTTTCAATTTTTCATGCTTATTAAAAATCACAATCAATTGAATGAAGTGAACAAAAAAAAACTTTATGGGAAATTGATTGTTACTGTTGATCCAATTGGGTTAACAACAATTAACTGTCTATACCCATCGATACAGACACAATTAATTTCATCGTTAATTGTTATTAAATTAACTAAGAGACAAGAAAAAAAAAATAATTATTTATCAACCTTGAAAAGTCAATGATCAATTGAGTTGATCAACTAATTGAGTTGAATGGCTAATTTGATTCTTAATTTTCAACAATTAACTGTTAATTATACAATATTTATATTTGGTGTTATCCAATTATGATTTTCCGAGTCTCTTTTTTTTTGATTGTGATTAGTTTAATTTAGATAATGATGATTAGTTGATTTGAATCGTTTATGGTAAACAAAGTGAATTGTATAAATTTCTGTAATTAACTTGATTTTGATTGAACTTTTCTGGCTAAATCATAAATTAGTCACAATCTAACAGTTAATAGTTAATTTGTTTACAATCAACAGCAATTAATATTTAATTGTAAAAGCTTTTTAGAAAACATTTCCACCCAAATAGCAAATCATGTTAATCCATTAAAATATTCACTATCTGATGATTAATAAATCATGTTTATACTCATTGATTGTTGTAGGTTGTTGATTTGTTTGTTAATTTAAATTTTAAGTTGATTAAATTATTTCAAATCAATTCTAATCGCCTACCAACAAACAAAATATTATATTAGAAGCTAAAAGTTATCATAACAATCAAGGTGAACACAAGCAATTGAGATGGTGATGATGATGATGATCAGTAAACTAACTGTTGTTACATTTTGTTAATTGTTCACCATTAGATTGATCAAATTGAATCAAATCCAGTTAATTATAAAGGAGGCATTTTCATTGCGCTCAAATTTGTCCCAACCGGAGCAAACAAGGGACCCGGTAAACCGATCGGTGTACCCGGTAAATTGTTGGTGATGGTTAAAGAAGCTCACAATTTAATGCCAACCCGATCAAACGGAACCTCTGATCCTTTTGTTAAATGGTAAGACAATTGATTAATAACAATTAAAATCCATCTAATCAACAGACGTCATCTTTAGACTGTATATTTTTAATCATCATCATCAAATAACAATCGTTAATTAAGAATGAGGATGTTAAGTAATAAAAAAACTTAATCACAATTCTAATATTAGGAAATTTGGTCTAATTGTCTGATACAATTACGTTGTGTCTTTTATATAATTGTTAATTGTTTCACTTGATTGTATTGATACATTCTCAATATAAGGATAATAATCCCTCTTATTACAAGTTTCTAATTGTTAAATTGAAGGCGATGGTTTTATATGATCAATCCTAATTTATAATTTAACTTAATTCTCTTTTCTCTGATTTTTTTTCCTTAATTGTTACAGTTACCTTCTTCCAGATAAAACTAAGAAATTAAAGACTCCGGTAATCAAGAAGACTGTTAATCCTCGTTGGAATCACACCTTTGAAGTATCGGATATAACGACTAACGATTTACAAACTCGATGCCTCGAATTAACAATTTGGGATTATGATAAATTAACTTCTAATGATTTTCTCGGAGGAGTGAGATTAAGTTTAGGACAAGGTACTTTTCAAGTTCTAACAATTAATTATAATCATGATGGTGATTTACTGAAGAGATCGACATGAAATTCAATCTTAATTAGTATTGAATTGTAATGTTTATATTTTTTTTTCCTTCATCATTTTATTATGAAGATTTCCAATTGATTAAGATTGTCATTAACGGTGATGATCAAGTTGATTAGCATGTTGTTAACTGTGTGTGGGTTGATTGAAATGTTTTAATTTCCATTTGATTTGATTGTTTCAGCTTTCATCGAGAGCATTGATTACAAATCTACCCTAACAGATCAACCTAATTATCCCCCTTTAATTTGATTCACTTTAATTGCTGGTATTTTGTTGGTAACAATTTAGATGTTGTCTTAAGTTTTTTTTTTGCAGAATAACTTTAATTAGTTGAGAAAAAGATTTAATTTAGTTGATGACAACATTTTCTGTTGATTCAGTTATATTTTCAGCTGATTTATTTACAACAATTTAGTAAATAAGGGAAAAATAAATGAAATCTATCATCTTAATCATCATCAATTCAAAATTGGCTTCGAATTGATTGAATCTAATAGGCCAACTGATTATTTCTCTTGATTGTTGGATTTCAATCAAAACTTTAAGATAATAACAGTTTACTAATAATCAAGTTGGAAAATAATAATTAAACTAATATGAAACTTGTTAAAACAATTTAATTCACTATTAAATTGGCAACAAATAACAATAGAAAATAATTTAAATTAATTGGATACATGAAATCTTATTGTCTCTCTAATGATTATGTTTTTTGTTTGTACTTTAATCATGTCAATCTATCAGGGATCATGATTGTTATTGATTGGCACAATTTACTGATTGTTATATATCATTTTTCTTATTTAATTAGGTATTTATGAAGGAAAGCCGGTTGATTGGCTCGACTCAACGGAACAGGAAACTACCCTTTGGAAACAATTACTGGACAAAACTGACCTCTGGGTCTATGGCGAGTTACCATTAAGAACGAGTTTACAATCAAGAACCTCATTTGGTAGATGATGTTGATCAATACGATTAATTAGACGCAATTTAAAGGACCAATAATTAAGACTATCGATTAGGTTTTATGCAAAGATGATGAATTACGATGATAATTAAAACAAACACACAATTAACTCCAATTAAAACAATTATTGTTCATAGTCAACATTTTACACGAAAAAAAAAACAATTTTTATCCAATCTTAATGATCATCAATCAGAATTTAATTTAATTGTTATCCTAATTGTTATCAATATATAAATATGAATAAGAACCTTAAATTTATACATATTATTTATTTATCTCCATAAATAAGTGTAAATTGTGTTATTAATTAGTGACTAAACTTAAATTGTGTTTATTTCAATCACTTTTTTTCATTAATTTTTTTCTCTCTCTCTTCCAAACAATTAGATTTAATTGTTCACAATTTTCATTTCTAATCACTTGTTTTCACTTGTTACTAAGTATTATTATAATATTGTGTTCAGTTAATTGTTATCGATAAGTGATTCAAATGGAAACAAAAAGACAACAATTTATTGGAAAAATTATCATTCAGATTAATTGTTAATATTTGTCAATACAAAGTTAATTGTTGATTTGGTTTGATTCTGATCATTAAAATTGGTTCATTTCTCTAATATAAATATACATATAAAATTTACTATTTTGTTAATTATAATCTGTGAATAATTTGTTGTCCAATTTATGTAATAATTAAAAGTTTTGACGTTCATCAGAATAACTAATTGCAATTAAATTACAAAAATCTCATCATTCATTGAGTGAATTTCAATTCGTTGAATCTGTTCATTTTTCACTTCTACATTGAAACCAACAGTTATTAGGCTTTTCCAACCTCGAAACATGGAACTGGGATCTTTATCATCTAGAATATTAGAAAATTAAAACAATTTCAAATCAAATTGGCACTTGAAATTATCATTAGTTTAATTGTGAGAAAATTAAAAGTTTGTTGAGTTAACAAGGAAAAAGAAGCGCGTAGTTTAAAAACGTCGTTTGTCTTAACTGTCAAATTTTTTTTTCTTTTTTTCAATGTCCGAGTTTTGGATTAACTTTTTTTCATCGATTTCTACTTTTTACTTTCGGAATCGATGATTTCTGCACAGGAACCGATACAGCAGCAGAATACGTTACACAAACATTCAGTAAAAAAGTCGATCCATATAAATTGGGTCAAAGTGATATTATTATTTCCACTTGTTCCATTTTTATCGGCACTAATTAACTGATTTCTCGATCCTTGGACTTTGGTATAAGGTTGTTGATTATATGGAAGAACGTAATTCGGCAATAGATCAGACTTTCTTTTCACATTGTTTGAAATTCCGTCGGTTTTTCCTGGACTTTCGGCCAATTCGGTCAAAACAGTTCGTTGGGAATCCATCATCAAATTAACTTAATCAAAGGGTTAACAGTAAACAATTAGACAGTTAAACTAGAACAACGTTACCATAAATAGTCACTTGGAGTCGCAATTTGTCATCGTTGCTAAGCAATTAGACCAAAGGTATCAATTAAATTCATTGAATTTTGTTTCATTTGTAATTCGGATCAGTTAAATTATCACCAATTAAATGTTGATATTACATTTTAAACATAATAATTCATGAAAGTTATCGACTAATAATTGTTTTGAATAATCTAAGATTGAACTGACTGGTTTTTTATCGTTGTAATTTAGTTTATAAAATTGCAAACTAATTCTGTTAATCCACTTGAAAGTTACACGAATTAGTATGATGAAACTTGGAAATTGTTAAATTGCGGATATTGATTTGACAAAATATCCTTCCTTTTTGTTTTCAGAGAACCAATTTTTCAAACCAATCAATGGATAGATTATTGATCGATTATTTTCACAATGGTAAAAATTTTAGGTACATGAAAGTGAGAAAGTGATTTAAATACATTTGATTTGGGCTTTGAATGAATACACATTGGAAGTATCGACTATTTAAATTAGACATTTCTTAGCAATTGTCTATTGTAATTCTTCAACTTTCATTCGTTCTTTGGTTAATTGTGCTATCTCAGCCATTACTTCAGATTTGATTAGATCCTTGACCTGTGCAATGAAATAAAAGGTAAAAAAATTAGCAATTAAAGTTTGACAATGAAAATAAAGATGAAAATTTACCTGGTAAGATTGTGAAATGTCATAACAATATGATATACTTGTACTGTGAAGCATCATTTTATGTTTAGCAAGGGCGAGAATACAATTCCTTACTCTTGAGATAACTTCACGATCTGATAATGTAACTGGATCAAGATTAATGGCAAATCCACCGGATTCAACACCCTCCGAAATTGGTTGAGAAATCCAAATGTAACCATTGTTTCCAAGTATAAGATGAGCCCCACAGGGTAAATTATGGAAATGTGTTTTTCGACGTTCAACCAGGGATGGAGATACTCGAAGTAGAGCACCTTGTCCAAGTTTACCATATTTTAAATTTCTCGTATGAAGTGATAACGATCCATCAGAAAAAATAGATTGTACCTCAGCCGAGATGAGATCACCTTCCTTAAAATAAGATTTCATCATTAATTCATCTTCAACAGTTTTACGTCTCAATTCTCCACCAGGTAAATTAACTGAAGATAATAAAAGTAATGAATCTAATCGTGAACCAGTGTCAATACGCCAACGTTTATATTCCGTTTGAACATCAATAACCCGACCAACAACAATATCACCAATTTCACCATTGTATCTTGTACGTAAGGGACGAACGGACAACAATTTGTTAACCTTATCAATACAACCGGCAACGGATGAGGTTAAAACTTTAGACTTATAATATGTACCATGACCTCTCATATAATCTGGATCCTCTATAAACATAAATATAACAACAACAACAACAAAAAGAACGAGAAAAAAACAACCAAATTAGATCATCAATCAGTCTAAATAAGAAAACAAATCCAACAGGAAGAGAAAACAAAAGAGAAAACAAAATGATTACCAGTCACAGTGTCACCAGGAAGAAACAACATTGTCACAGGTAAACCAATCGAATCACCAATCACTTGCAATCAATTAAAAGAAAACACTTTCACTTTAATTAATTTGATTAAAAGTTAATTAGAATAAATTAAATTAGAAAAGAAAAAAATTTCAATCAAAGTCATGCTTTTGGTTCGGTTGCTTAGCAACCACGAAAAATTCTGAGGCGACTCCAAGTGAGTTCCTTTGGTAACTTCGTTCTAGTTGAAGTTTAATTGTTTACCATTAAAGTTGATCCACTTAATTTGGCGATGGACTTACAACGAACTCTATTAACAGGATTATCCAAAAGTGCGGAAGAAATTGATCGATCTGAGACCAAAACGGAGAATAAAAATCATCAATTTTCGAATGAAAATCAATCATCTAGTAAATTCCAAGGTTCGGAAAAAGAGTTAACCAGTTTGAAGGAAAATGGAACAAGTAAAACTGGAGAAACTCATTCGCGTTGTTATGACTGTTTTTCTAGTTTTTTTTCTGAGATGTTTTCCATTTGTTTCGATTCCTGTGTGGAAGGAATTGCCAATAAACATAATTGAATCGAAACAAAATAAAAAGAAGAGAGAAAAATCTGGACAATTTGTTTTTTAAAAAAAAAGAACAAAAAATTTGACATTTTGAAATGAGAATATTTTTTAAACTTCGCGCTTCATTTTTTCCTTGTTATGTTAACTCAACACACTTTTTGTTTTGTTGCAATTAAAACCAATAGATTTTTAATGTTTTAAGTGTCAATTTGATTTGAATTTTTTTGGATTTTCGGTTATTTAAGATTACAAACAATCAAATGAAAGATTATGTCCCAATCAACTCTCCCCGAGAGCTCTGATAAAAGTGTTGAAAATAATTCTCCATCAAATAATATTAGTCTCATTCAAGATCTTTTTGCTGACATGTTAACTGAAGTGACCCAGTCAAAGAAATCACCACAACCATCAACACAATCACAACCATTGCCACAATTAGAATCACAAGTGATACCTAACTTACTACCACCACCACCTCCACCTCCACCTCCACCAGCACCAGAACAATCATCTCAATCAGTGATTTCACCAGCACCACTGCCACTCTCTCAATCACAACAACAACAATCCAAGACACAACCACAACTTCAACCTCAACAAGCTACCAGTAGCACTACCAACAACAATGAGCAACAAAAAGCTCAAAATGATTTAACACTATTAGGTAATAATAATAATAATCCAATTTTAAGCAATATGAAAAGGCCGGTTAACCAAGAATCCATTAAAAGTGGATCAACTAGTAATTCTATTCAAAAGTCAAACAATGTTAATTCTCCTTCTAAAAATCAACCCAAATATCTGTTAAACTCTTTCAATTGGATAACATTACTGGAAAGAGATCATGATATGTCTGTTGCATCGGTTTCATCCTTTAGACATTGTCCCATGTCCCAAGTTTGGAATAGTCTAATCACCGTTGGTCTCAAGGTGGAAGTTAAAAATCGTGATGTTGCTTTACCAAAATCGCCAAGGCCAAAGCAAGATTACTATTGGATCGCCTCAGTTGTCAAAGTGTCAGGATACTTTGTTCTGCTTAGATTTGAGGGATTTGACACCGATGGAACAAAAGATTTTTGGCTTAACTTATTTTCTAATCAACTTCACCCAATTGGCTGGTGTGCATCCCAAGGAAAAGTTTTAATACCACCAAGAATGATTGCCGATAAATACAGTGATTGGAAAGCCGTTCTTGTTAAAAGGTTAACCGGTGGTCGAACTTTACCTGAAAATTTTTTCGATCAAGTAAAAGAAAGTATGAAAAGTCGCTTTCGAGTAGGAATGGTTTTGGAATGTGTTGATAAGACTCGTTTAAGTGCCGTTAGAGTTGCAACTATTGACAAAATTATTGGAAATCGATTACATTTAAACTATGAAGGTGAAAATGAGGACAATTCAGGTTTCTGGTGTCATGAGAATTCACCCTTAATCCATCCAATCGGTTGGGCTCAGGTTGTTGGCCATGAACTTAAAGCGACCCAAGAATATGCTCGTTCATCTTTAGAGAAAACGATTCACAAAACATTTGACGACAATGACGCATATTGGTCTTTATTTCCTGTACAAAGACCTCATCCAACAGTGAACATGGCCGATTACCGATTCACCGAAGGGATGAAATTAGAGGCAATAGATCCATTAAACCTATCCAATATCTGTGTTGCCACCGTGACCAAAGTTTTACGAAATCATTTCTTAATGGTCGGAATTGACGGGATGATGGCCAACGATGGATCCGATTGGTTCTGTTATCATGTTTTAAGTCCAAATATATTTCCTGCCGGATTTTGTATGTTAAACAACATTCCTCTCACTCCACCAAGAGGTTATAATAGGGAATTCAATTGGTTTGAATATCTCCAAGAAACTAAATCTCGAGCTGCTCCTGTTCATTTGTTCAAAAAAGATATTCCCGTTCATGGTTTTAAAGAGGGAATGCTAATAGAAGCTGTTGATTTAATGGTACCTCGATTAATCTGTGTTGCTACAATAATCAAGGTTGTTGGTCGATTGCTTAAAATACATTTTAATGGCTGGGATGAAACTTATGATCAATGGTGTGATTGTGAATCACCAGAATTATATCCAATTGGCTGGTGTCAAATGGTTGGTTATCCCTTGGAACCACCAAGAGAAAGTGATGCTGGAGATACACATATGACAACCTATTCATCGGCACTTGATGGTAGATCAAAGAAACGTAATATTTACAAAGGTCGTCATAAAAAGCGAAGACGAGGTGGCCTTAATGTGTCCAGTTCCAGTGATAACAGTCAAGTGACCCTTTCAAATACAAATGACAGAGCCTCAACTTCAGATTTCATGGAGTCTTTTTCATCACCTTACTCACCTTACAATTACGATTGGTCTCAACAAACGGGCACTTCTTCATCACCTCCTACCTCAACCTCTTTCGCTAACGAATCTAATAGTTCAGTTATTGTTAAACCTTCACCCGTTCAACCAATCATAATTCAAGAACCAACCTCATCCAATCCATCATTAACTACAACTTCATCTTCCAAAAGATCAACTGATCCTCGTCAATGGTCAGTAAATGATGTTTGTAATTTTTTAAGGTCCAAGGATCACGGAAATCATGTCCAATCTTTTGCAAGAGCGGTAACTATCATAATCCATACCAAAATAATAAAGGATTATATTGATAATAGATTAATTTTCTTTTTCTCTCTCTCCATCTTTTAAATTTTTTAGCAAATCAATGGATCTCGATTATTACAATTGACCACGGACGAAGTATTAGAATTAACTAATAAAAAACTAGGACCTTCGCTCAAAATATATGCCTTGATTCAGTCATTAAAAGGGATTAAACCGCAATGATGTCTATACAAATTAGGAGAACAATTAATTATTAATTATTTATACAAAATCTACATTGAATGTGAAAGACTAATGGACATTTCTTCTTGTTTATATTACAAAATCGAGCCTCAAGTAAAAAGAAACAACGAAACTACCGGACACTAGCTCTATGTGAAGACACACATACAATCACAATATCGACAAATTTACCAATTCAGAAAGATAGAGACTTAATTTTTTAAATACCATTTTTTTCACAACAATTGAAGCAACAATTTAAAATCCACAATTGGAAAGGACAAAGATAAATGATGCTACCTGTAAATGGAGATAAATTTGATTTAAACGGAAAGTTATCATCATAACTAATTACACGAAGCCTTCTCTTCCTGATTTAATCATTAAACACCTCTTACCATATCAAGGAATCAATGATAATTATATATTTATACTCTTTCCATCAGAAATTAACCGCCAATGGATAAAACCAACATCATCTTTACTTAATCATTACGCATTGTATGTTTACTATTAAATTTATGTTCTAGTAGATTATTTAATCTCTTTCTTTTTATAAACATATATTATATTCTTGTATTAAAGCCTTAAATTGTAAGGATGATTTTGTTGAAAGAACAACAATTAAGATGATTATTATTCGCACTTGAAAATACATTGTACATGTTCCTGGTTAAGAAGCTTCTTCTTCCTCCTTTGGATTGATGTTCGTTAATTACAAAGGCGTTGAGGACATTAATTACCATCAGAAATCAAGGTAAATCACTAATGGTAAATTTAGGGAGAAAAAAGTCAATAGTTAATTAGTTGATTGTGGTTAATGATGATGATAGATTTAAATATCAATGATCTTCTCAACGATTTTTACTCCTTCTTAATTTTTGTTTTCCGTTTTGATGAACCATCGTTGCTTCACAATTTAATCGCCTACATTATTAACCAGAGTCTTTAATTTCTCACTAATCAAGGTTGTTAATCATTATGAATATCGTATTTTTTATTTGTTTACTTACGATTCTGAACAATTCGCCCACAATTAAATGAGAATAGTAAATATCGTTTTCCACTTACAGTCTTACATTTATCATCAATTCTTGTTCATGTTAACATTAACAATCAACAATTAAGAATAATATTTGCTCGAACAACAGTTTTAAGCGGAAAAAATGGAAAAGGTAAGTTAATCAAATTCGCTAATTTGATTGTTGAATTAATGGTTCGTCTTTGTGTGTTTCTCTCAATAGATTAATTTCGCTTTCTTCTTAATGGTTGGATTAGTGGTTTGTGATGATTATGTTCATAATCCGATTCAATATCAATCACTGAACAATCGAGGTGGTTACAACTTCGGTTATGACACTGGACTTTCAGGATCACATCAATTTCATCAAGAATCTAAAGATGATTTCGGTGTAGTTAGAGGTCGATATGGTTACACTGATCCAAATGGTAAATTGCGATTAGTTTATTATTCATCGGATGCAGTTAATGGTTACAAAGCATGGGGACCAGATATACCTGAGAGTACCAACAATCAGCCTAAATCATTGAAGGTTCAAGGTAAGAAAAGGTTTCCTTTTGAAATAATTAATCTGTTCCTTGTCACAATCAACTAACAGCAGTGATTAACTCAATATCTTTTTCACAGAAAGTAAAACCTCATCTAGGATTATCTATCCACAATCTCCAGCATCCAAAGTGTCAGCAATTAAATCGTCCAAAGTGATTATCCAACCTTATCCACTTCCACCGCCATCGAAAATAGTTCAACGGGAACAAGTGATACACAAAACCCATTACTCTCCAGCCGATACCTTCCGTTCAAGATACACATCGTCGTCGTCGTCGTCGTCGTCGTCAAGTGTCGTCTCCAAAACATCATCAATTAAACGGTCGGAAATCAAGGGATCTCCAATTATTGTCCAACAACAATTCCAATCACCAGTAGCAGCAATCAAGTCACAATCTATTAAAAGTGCCAATCGTCCAGTACCAATTACACCAGCTCAGTATCGGTCTAATTATCCACCGTCGGGAAAATATTCTCGATGTTATTGTGAATAATTTAAACTCCATCCAGAAGTACAATCCAATTAAATTGTGATCATATACAATTTAAATAAGTGATAATCTCATATTCATCTCTTTAAATCCAGTTGCATGTTTAATCTTGTCATTTTTTACTTCCAACAATTAAAAGTTCACAATAAACTCCAGACAAATTAATCAGCTACACTTGATAAACTAATTGCTCTTGAAAAATCTAAATTAATTTTGTATCGATTTTAATAGAAATTAAAATGATTAGTAATGAAAAATTGAACAATTAAAAAAAAGCTTTTGTTTGCTTACAAAATATCAATATGATCAATTGATCAGTTAAATTGTTACGAAAATAAAAAGTTTCAATAAAAGTGAAATAATTATAATAATCAAGAATCAGAATCGATTTGTCAATTTGATTGTAGTAACTTGTTGATTTAATTCATTCAACTATTGAGAATGATGTAAATCAATCACAGTTAATCGTCATCTTAATTGTTAATGACTGAAAATTGTCCTTGCAAATTGAATAGATGACGGAAAAATGAAAATAAATTAGTTTTCTACCTTGTATTGGGATTTAATAGAGTAAAGAATTAAAATTAACAATCAAAATAAAGATAAACAAGAAATCAATTGTTATTCTAATTGTTTACAATCTCTTTTTTGGTTGTTGATTAAATCATGGATATAAAACATTAATTGCTAATATGAAACAAGTTTTACATCTTTTAATTTAATTCTTAATCACTCACACATCCACTCACACAAAATTATATTAACATGAGCAACAATTCAAGGTTGTTAATCAATCTTCAATAACTATAATTGTTGCCCTAAATTGTGCCCTTAATTAGACAAAATCAATAGTTACGATTAGTAAAATTGCTTAATTGATTCTGATTCAACAATCGTTACTTTGTTTTTTCTTGAGTAATAGATACAGAAAAGATTATCTATTAATTGTTCAGCAGGATTGATGATTAAATCATTCAAGGTCATTCAACAATTAACTGAATATTAACACTTTAACAAATTAACATTTACATAATCATCAATGGATAAAAAATATTGTGATGATTAGATTGTCGTTAATTTGATTGACATTCACATTGGTAACAGTTCTGTTGATTGTTTCGCCAAACATTTTATTAAAAATTCACTTGGAGATGAATAATTTTTACAAAACAAAAGGATAAGGATTTAGATTTATTTAAAAAAATATCTCAAGATGTGTTTGCGCAACTACACTTGGTCGGCGAGGTGACTTTTGGGTCAGAGGTCGGTGCGTTCGGAGTTTCTTTCACTTTTTTCACTTTTTTCGATTTTCGGACTTTTCTTCCTTTCATGTACTGGTCAGTCGGTGGTGGTGGAGGTGGATACAAGGGTTGCGGTGAATCTTTGGAACGATCAAAGTATCCAAATGATGGAAATTGAACTGGTACCATTTTGAACGGTGGAAATCGAAATGCTCTTCCCTCGAACTCTTGGTGGCCTCCGTCAGGATTGTAAGGGTAAGCACGAGGATATGGTTGAGCGTAAGGATCGGGAATGCGTTGAGGGTAAGATTGAGGTGGAGGATGATAAGGGTTCGGGTAATTGTTGTAATAACTTTCTCTTGGTAGGTAAGGTCCAGTTTCGTCTTCATCTGGATAACTATTTAAACAATCAACTGGAGCACAATTTAAGATGAAAATTGACACCAGGATAATTAAAAGTTTCATTTTGTTGAGAAAAATTCAAACACTTTGGTTAACTTTTGATGGTCAAGTCGAAAGCAAAAATGAAAATGGCCACGATTTTCATGCCCTTTTAATACCTGAACTTTATTAAAGTCACTTGATAAAAAGATAGATTTAAATTGTTAAGACGATTATTAAGATTGAAACTTTCTAAATCAAAATAATCTGTTTAATTTGATGAGTATCAAATGTTTTTGACTGTTTTGCTTTGAGTTATTTAGAAAAAGAGATTGAAAAACAATTAATGAATCGTTAAGCCGTTTTGGGGCCGTTGGCGAAGGTTAATTTGTTCAATTGGCTATTTTGACTTTGAACTTGTCCTTTTGGTGTTACAATCACGAACAATTTTATTGAAATGAGTTAAAATTAATAAACCGATAAGTCGAAGTGGTCCCATTAGATTGGCTTCAAGAAAGACCGAGAAAATACCATTGGGTGGAGAGAGACCAGAGGTCAGTGTTCGTAAAATGAATCCTTCAAATGTCGACGTAGATGAGAATTTCAATTTCTACAATTAAAAGAAAAGTTAAATTTTTCATTAATTGTTTTTTTTTTCATCGTTCTAATTAATAATAATTTACCAGAGTATCCTTGATAATAGAAGATGCTACTTTCGATGGTGACACTAATCCACCCGATTCACAGATGAGCTTTGTCTCTATTGGCTGTAAATTGAATTAAAATGATAATATAATTTCAATTATAGATTAAAGGAAGATCAAGGAAAAGGTAAATATACCTTGGTTGAATTTTCGAGAGCAAAACCAGGAGTGTCAGTGTCAGGGGGATAAGCTATAGTAATGGAAATGTTGTGAGGTTTCAACTGGAAAAGAAAAATTGAAAAGACAAGTCAATCAAATTGTAATGATTTAAGGGGGGAATTTGTAAGAATCGAAATGTTCAAGCTCAAAATGGATTATGTTTGCCTCAATGAAAACGGATGAACATGTGATTGATTGAGTTGAACAAATTGATTAGCTTGATGTTGTTAATTGTTCAATTGTTTACCTCCATGGCTAAGGTTTGGGCAAAACCAAGCAAAGCAAATTTAGATGATGAGTAGGCTGAGAAACCGTAGATACCAAAAAGACCAGCCATTGATGAGGTAATTTCAACGAAACCCTCTTTACGTTTAACCATTTGAGTAACAACAGCTCGAGTACAATTAACGGTTGACTGGTAATTTACTTTCATCATGTTATCAAATTCTTCATGAGGAGTTTCCAAGAATCGGTGACAAACCGCTTTACCGACAATATTGAACAATCCATATATTGGACCCAGCTGATTCTCTGCTTGAGAAACAATCTTTTCCAATGTTGGTAAATCATTTGCCACATCAACCGGGAAATAAATTATTTCTGATTCTCGTGAGCTTCCAGTAGCAGAGTTTTCTTTTAGAATATAGTTTACAGCTTCTTTTAGTCCATTTTCATCACGAGCTAAAATGGTCACTTTGGCACCTTGACGAAAACACTGATTCGCTATTTCCAAACCGATACCTTTGGATCCACCGGAGACCAGAACATGTTTACCACAAATGTTGAGTCTCCTCTTGAAACCATAGCTCACATATAGAACCACAGAAACAACCATCAATAAAATTACTGTTAACATACTGATCACAAAGGTAAGATCAAATGTCAACATAATATAATCAATTCAATCAAAACAAATAATCAAAAGGTAACGTTTTAACAATTTGGTTGCTAAGAGCTAATCAAGATAACAAATTAAACCTCAATACAACTTGGTACAAAACAGATAACAGTAATAATCCACAATACTGATAGAAAACAAATTAAATAAATAAAAATAAATTATTCACATTAAGAAAAACAATAATTAAAAGATAACAATTAACTCGTAATGATTAAAAAATCATCAACATCAACAACTCCAACACATTTACAATCAAATCAAAAGACAAAGTAAATAGAAATACAAAAGTAACCAACGATCAACTAATCATAAGACTCCTAAGAAACAATCACGGAGGTAAATTAAACAAGTAAACAATTAATCTAATGGTAAGTTAATTAGTTTAAAGAATTAAAAAAAAACCAATTATTTTTTAATTAGAAAAAAAAGAAAAAGTAAACAAACGAAGTTCGATCAGCGCCATCTATGGGTAAATATGTTAACTAAAATCGCTAATCTCCAATTTTATTTACCTTTATTGGAACCTGAGTTTCATATGTTTTGTTGGGCTGAGTGAAAGCAATTGTATCTTGTTTGTTTTTTATATATTTTGTTAATTATTATTTTTTGTTTAGTTTTATTAATATTATTAACCAGTGTGAATAACATTTTTTCGTATGTCCAAGTGTACCTTTGCCTCATTTGTGTGTCAAGCTCATAAAATACCAATTAGGATCATCACCTCACCTTCACCATCGCCATCATCATAATTTTTTTTTTTTGCTTTCCACTTCATCATCAACATATTACTTTCATTATTAGTTGGTAATATTTAGATTATCATTTAGTGTATAATTATTTATTTATTATTATTATTACTTCATCAGTATTACACATACAAGTACAAGTTGCCTGATCAAATATGTTGGTTCCCATAAAGAGTAAATTTATTGCTGAAACCCGTCGATATCATACCAACAAAGAGAGTATATCAAATTTTGACGATTTTTATTCGTTTATTGAGACCAATCATTCATTAGGAAATGTTGCTTTCTCTGTATTTTACATTGACCCTAATGAAGGAGATGAATTACCGATAAACAATAATGAGAATTTGGGTCGAGCAATTGAAGTAACTTTAGCTACACCGGTAAAACCTTGTCTTCGGTTGATCCTTTCTAGAAAAGATATTCCTTTGGAGAAGGAATATTCTTTTAAGAAAAAGAATAATTTTCTCAATGAATTCATTCCTTTTAATTATTCATCTTCCCATCGTATTCGTCCACAAATTGGTTTACCTCAAGATTTTAGGGAGGTTTCTTCTATTATTGATGTTGACATTGTTCCAGCATCTTGTCGACGGGTTCGCCTTATTAAACACAGTTCCGATAAACCGTTGGGCTTTTACATTCGAGATGGAAACAGTGTCCGTGTCTTACCCAATTCCATTGAAAGAGTTCCTGGAGTTTTCATCTCCCGTCTTGTGCCTGGAGGTATAGCCGAATCTACTGGTCTATTATCAATTAATGATGAAATATTGGAAGTTAATGGTATCGATGTGACAGGTAAATCACTAAATCAAGTAACCGACATGATGATTGCCAACTCTTCCAACCTGATAATAACCATCCGTCCAGCAGTACAAAGTAACCTTAACGGGCCTTTGAATTCATCAATACCTTCAATTTCCGATGATGAAGATAACGAAATCCATGATAATTCATATTTTTCATCTTAATCACCAACCTGAAAATTTTTTGTTCCCTTTCCCATCACCATCACCACCCCTAAAAACAACAACAACAACAACAACAATCATCATCATCATCATCATCTTCATCATCATTATCCTTTGCTCACACCTCAATCCTTAATTGCCTTACCTGGATCAATCAAAAGAAATACAATCAACTGTTAAACAGTCAGCAAACTATCAACTAAACACATAAATGCCTTAATAACGTTCTTGACATGTTTGTGTGTGTGAAGACAAAGAAAGTTAAATTTATATAATTAACAATTAGCAATTAAACAAACAAATGTAATCTAATAATCTTAATCATCGTATTTAATTACATTAAGTTAGAACACGTGAAAACAGTTGATCACTTGATTGTTGTGACGATTTTCAAAAATGTAAACCAATTATTATTATTATTATTTGTAATCATTGTTTTCTATTCCCATCAAGTAATTAATTGTTATCAAAAGTGATTCTATTTTCTTTTCATTATTAGATTAGATAGTTCATTGATCTAATAAACGATACATTGATTAGTTAAATAAAAAAAAGAGGATAAACAATCAACTGTGATTTAATTAGTGTCACTGGTTAATAATCAGCGTTTTTTTTTTCTTGATTACTCAGTTTTGTTGTTTAAGATGTTTTGATTTTCTGTTGGATTTTTTTTTTGATTAATTTGCAACAATTTAATTGATGTTTTTATTTATTCCAATTCTTAAACAACCAAATGAGCTCAATTGATCGTAAATTGTTGATTGTGAGTTTTTTGTATCAACAGCAAAAACAAATGAGTAACTCAAATTGTGAAAGGAATTAGAAATAATTATAATCAGGTGACTTGGAGGAGACAAGGTTAATTACGCATTAGAAATGTACAGTTAGATTTTAACTGTCGATTAGCAATCAATTTGGAAGGCCAATTTTCGGGAGGCTTTGAAAATCGATTAACTAGTAATTTAGTAATACCATTAATGAATAATTGACATGTATTGATATAAATTTACAATGAGACCACGAAGAGTAGTTACAATTAATACATTGCAATGGATTATGATTAGTTTTTAGTCATTTATTACACATGATAGTAAAATTTTTGTCTGTAAATGAAAAAAAAAGGCTTGGGGAAAGCGAAAAAAAAATGAAAGAGAAAGTAAGTGAGTGAAAGAGAGACAAGAAAAGGGAGAATAGAGAAAAGCAAAGGGAGAGAGAAAGAGCTGGAAATAAAGAGAGAGAGAGAAAGAGATTTAAGTGAAGTAAGAGAGATTATTAAAGGGAAAAAAGAGAGAGAATGGGAGAGGGAAGAAAGGAAAACGATGGAATAAAATAATCATCTTTTCTGTCTTGCTTGAAGGTGATTCTTGGTGGAAAATGAAGGTCAGAAGCTTTAAATAGAACCATAGACATTCTCGTCACTGTAAGCAATGTAGAGGAAGAAATCTTCTTCGTGGTGTTCTTGGTATAAAGATCCCATGGTTGCTGATGACGGGGGAAATACATTGTTTACAAAGAAATAGAGAGCTGTCTCAGGCTTAAGGTGGATTCGTTTCCGGATTAGTCCATAAAATTGTCCAACGGCAAGGTCAGATGGTACAAGATACTTTTTCTTGTCAAGATCACCAATACGAGATTTAGGAGCCTTTTCAACGATAACGGGAACACGGTCAGGATACTTTTTACGGATCTTTTCTCCTTCAGCCTTTCTCTTTTCAAAGGGATGTTCTTCTTTGTATTGGAATTTCATAGTTGAATTTGTAAACCTTTTTCTTTACAATAGAAAACCAAGTAAAACAATTACAATAGGGTTGAAAAAATTAGACAACAGTCACTGGTTTAAATTTAATTTCGCTTGGTAAAAGTGGTCACACTGATGGTGGTAAATCTATAATACTTTAATTAATACACAATTTAGTATAATAAAAGATGATTAAACGAATTAACAATTTTAATTGCGAGAAAAGAATCAACTAAAATGGTGGACAAATCAAACAAAGAGCAAAGAAAGAAGGTTGTTTACATAGTCTGTATTCTAATGCCTACCAGATGGCGTTCGAATCGAATTCACTCAACCCTATCTTGCGAATTTCGAAAACGAGCCACTAGAGGTCGCTACTAAATTCTCCGAATAGTTAACTTTTGCGTTTAAATTTAGTTCTCCCTAAATTAATTAAAATTAACTAATTACAACCACAATTTAATTAAAAACTACCAATTACTCTGATTCCCCATATCCCAAGCTTCATTTTAATATATAAATCTTGTGTAATAACAATTTCCTTAACGGAAAAAAGTTCAACAAATTAAAATGACAACCATGTGCTCAACCTTTGACACATCCATGTGCATACAAGCCCTGGACAACATAAAGGAAAAAATACTGGAAATGAATCTACCAAAGACAAAGAAAAAAGATGTTGACTTCATACTATCAAAGATCCAATTCGTGACTGATTCATTGAACTTGCCGGTCAACACCACCGCCCCTGACCCCACCATAGGTCAAAAAATCTTGGATAAACTAGAGACTATGACTCAAGCCGCCATGGATCGCTCTCTACCATCATTTGCACAAGTCGCTGCCAAAAAAGCAACACCAATCACCGTGATCATTAAACCAAAGGATGAAAATGTTACAGTTCATGCAATCAACAATAAACTACGAGAGGAAATAAAAGAAAATGGAAATATAAAAATCGAACATATGACGACCAGTCCCAATGGAATTCGAATAACATCTTTAGACAGTAAAATTGTAGAAAAAATATCAAATCTACTCAAAGACAAATTCCCAAGTGATTCCATTGAAATCGAACCTCTCAAAAAATTAGACCCGCAAATTGAGCTTATTGTACAAACTGATCAAATAGAATCGGTGGAGATGTTTAAAAAGAGAAACGACATCGATCCAAAAGAGGAAGTCACTTTTGTCCATGCGAAAGAACTGAAGTCAAACCAGTCCAATAGGAACAAATGGTCAAAGACTAAACTCATAATTAGAATGTCCAGAAAAGCCAGAGAGAAAGTGGAAGAGAAAGAGAGAGTTTATATTGGAGGTGAAGGAGTCAAATTTTACAATAACTTCAACGTCCGCTGTTGCTTCAAATGTCATCAGGTTGGTCATACAGCTAAATTCTGTGCAGCTGAACAGCAATGTGGTAAATGTCAGGCCACCAATAGCCATCAAACATCCGAATGTACCTTCGCTGATGAATTCAAGGAATGTCTTTTCTGTAAGAACGCAGGTTTCCTTGACACCAATCATCGACCAAGAACAAGAAACTGTGCATCTTTCAACCAAGCAATAGACAGAATCAAAAACATCACCGACTGGACCTATGGATTTAATAATTAAAGCCCACAACTGTCGAAAAGAATTAATCAAAACCCAAAATGTAATCAATCAGCTATCCAACGATGCCTCGATCGTTCTTCTCCAGGAACAAAATAACAACACCATTCTCTCATTTAACCACCCTGCCTACTCTGTCTACACCAATGGCAACACCTCAACCATCATTCAAAAAAGTAAACTAATTCGCCATAAAAAAATAGGAACCGATTGTATATTGTCTGTCATCAAATTCAACAACAAAAAACTCATCATCATAAACATCTACCTCAACCCCGATCTTAAACCTCACCAGATCAAAAACCAACTTCATCTCCTCTCAACTGCTCTTTCCGGGTATCAACACTCACCAATCATCATTCAGGGTGATGTTAACTGTCAAGACTCTCGATGGTGTCCACCTCTGGTTACCCCTGACAAAAAACACAATCAGGAAATTATCGACCTTCTCGACAAACATAACCTCACCATTCCATATTCACCAACCATAGATAATCACACGTACATAACAATTCAGCATAAACCAAGATGGATTGATATAGTTGCAACAAACCATCTGCATATAAATGTCACCATCAAAAACTCAACAAGTGATCACTCTCAATTCACAATTTTCATCACATCCACTTCCCACACCAACAGCGAAAACAACCTAATCAAAGTCATCAATAAAAAACAATATCTCCGTGAAATCGACTCACACATCCAACACTTAGCCGATTCTCAATTCCCCACCACCATTGATGGACTGGAAAAATCATTAATGCACCTCATGACCTCCTGTATAGCATCCCAAAGATCCTGCATCATCACCGTTAAACCCAACCAAACACTCACCCCAGCCCTCAAGGAAGAAATCAAAGCAATCCGAACTGCCCGTAAAAAACTAAACAAAGAAAAATCAGAGGAAAATATACAAAATCTTCGTCGAGCAAAACGAAAACTATTTGTTTCTACTAAAAAGATAGTCCAGGAGAGATTTAACCACAAAAACCCTTGTTTTTGGTCAGAGATGAAAAAATTAACCTATGAACAAGATGAAACCACAGAGGAATTTATTCTCAACTCCCATAAAATCATCCAAGAATTTCAGTCCATCAATATCTCCACCATCATACCAACAACAAACAAACCACTGGTCCAACCAAATTCAGATGAATTGCCAATCAAGAAAGAAAAATTATTATCCATGGTCAAAAAGATTAACAATTGTGCTCCGGGTCTTGATCTCATAGATAAAAACATGATGATAACACTACTATCATCTCATCTCGATCTCTTCACCCACCTCTACAACATCCTATACATCAACAAACTATTCCCCTCATCCTGGAAAATCTCACGTGGAGTAATCATTCCTAAAGCAGATGGTAAACGCGGTCGACTGATTCAGGTACAAAATACCTTTGGAAAGCTCCTGGAAACTATCATCTACCAAGACATCATCCAAACTGTACCCCCTGATTACTTCAACAATCAACACGGCTTCCTACCCCACCGATCAATCATCACCGCAACAACTGACATAATCAACTCATGCTCCAAAGCCAAAGATACAAATCGAAAGGCATTGATAATTCAAACCGACCTTGAAAAAGCCTTTGATGAGATTCATCACGGTTGCATCCTAAACAACCTCCTCTCCTTGCATCCACCCGCTAGTACCATTAGCCTCACCATCTCATTCCTCAAAAATAGATTTGCCTGTCTGATGGATGATAATCATCAACCAGTAGTAAAGAGAACGATTCAGGGAGTTCCACAGGGATCAATCCTGGGCCCCCTTCTCTTCATCATTGGTATCAATCAAGCTCTCCAAGAATTAGCCAAAATAACTACAATAAAAATCCCAAGTTCCAACCATCATAATACAACACCAACAACACATATGACAATCGGAGTACATCTCACCGCTTATGCAGACGATATAATTACCACAATCTCATATAAACCATATATAAACTATCCCACCATAAACCTCATAATCTCATCCATCATCAATAACATCTCAAAAATCATGTCACCATGTAAATTAACCATCTCACCTGAAAAAACTAAAATCATCTGCCAAGATGATTGCCTCGAGTATTTCAACAGCAATGGTCGGATCGCATCCACGGCTGGTACAGTACTTGGTGTCCCCGTTTCACTATCAAAAACCGGCATCGCCAATTACTACATAGACCTGGATAAGATCTTACAGATACTCCATGCCAACAACCAAAAACGCTCGAGACTTATCAGCTTGGCCAAATTCTTCCCTCATCAATCAGCCCGCATCATCAGCTCAGCGTACTTCGAATCGACTGCGATGACATTCTCACCTCTCCTACTACCAATCATGTTAACTCACACAAATGCCTTCGAAAAAATCAATCGTTACACCATCACTTTTGCGATGAAAACCATTAACAAAACACCGCGCCAAAGAACAATTCCAGCCCTTGGAATATCAGGATTTACTCCAACATCGTTCAAAATTGTCCAAACTGGTCTTCGCTTTGCCTTGAAAACAATGGACCAAGACAACTACATTTTTAAGACTCTAGCAAACAAATTTCACAATTACCTCCCATTAGTCCCAAACAATCGCATCTGGTCCAACCCAAAAACGAACTCAAAACTACTAGCCAAACAATACATGAACAAGCTTTGGAATGAGAGAAGTGAACATTCGACTAAATTAATATCTAAAGAATGGATCACATCAAAGACCAGAACCTCTAATAATTGCACCACACGATTATTACTTGGTGTCTATGACTTTCTCCTCACCAATAGCCCCTGCTCATGTTCAGCCGGATATCGAGACTCTGTTCACCTCATAACAATATGTCCCAAATATGAAACGCTAAGAAATGATATCAGAAACAAAATGAAAAAATACAAATACTCCAATATCCTCAGATATATCTACGACTACAGAGACAATTCCATTGACCTTCTTCTATCGCAAATCAACTATAATGAACTACAAATCAGATCAAACCTAATTACTCCAACCAATCTACACCAACCCCATACTCCATAGATTCTCATTATTCAGTTAATTATTATAAAATAGGAATTCTTGTATTACAAAGGAAGCGCATAAGAAAGCTACCTTTGCTCCTAGAGAGCATCCCCACCTCAATAAAAATAACTTTTTTCCCAACTTGTTGGTCTTTTTAATTTGATTACGTTAATTGTTAATTTTCCATTTGATTTACTAATCATATTGTTCGTTTTTTTTTCTCATCATTTGACTAAATTTAGATGATCGTTTGATGTTCGACTGTTGGTTACATTTTAATTCCAATTAATTGAAGGAGAGGAAAATATATTTTCGATTTGATTCCATTTGCTTCCGACTAATTTGATTTTCTAATTTTTCCAATTTCTTTTTTCCTCTTATTCTTATTGATTGTTACCCGTTTTTTTTTTCTTCATCAACTTGAAATGATACATTTTAGCCCAATCATTTCAACTAATTTCTCTATCTTATTGGAATCTAAAATTAATTAACGCTGCTAATTGTCCGGGAACCTGATGATGATCGTGCGTTAATCTTATCGGCTAATGAATTTATAATTTCGTTATGTATCACTAAACATAATCTGTCACCAGAAAAAGTGTATGATTAAGTTGATATTTATATTTAGATTCGCAAATACACAAAATGATTATGATTTGTTTTCCATCCTGTTATTGTGTTACTACTGATGATGATTACGATGATGTGATCATTAGCTACATGTGATCATCATACACAAAAAGGGAAACATGATTGCTGGCACACTCTCGCTGTAATCTAGTTAACGAGCCCAAATTAACTACCGTAATTAGCTGAGTTTTCCGCTGGAACGGGAATCAAAGTCCAATTGACTTGAATTGAACACAATTGATCAGAAAAGTGTTCAAACATGTAAACAACAACAACACAATATAAACAGATGAAAGATGAGGGATGAAGAGAGATGAAGATGATAAGTGATTATGATTAGTGAGCCTTAGCAATTGATATTACCCAAAAACGGATAAAATATTATCAATGAAGAAAACGAGCTCAATTATATAAACCGTAACTCTTAACCATGAAATTGGGTTTAAAGTTGAACGATTAACTCCTCGAATTTGTTTCCGAATCTTAACCAATTCCTTCCTCTCTCATTATCATCATCATCTTCCATCATCATTGTTATCATCATCGATATCTTCTTAACTCCCTCTTCCTTTCCGGATAATGAGATGATGATTGGAAACAAATACTCACCTGATTAACTGTTGACAATTTGAAAAAAGAAAATCATTTTAATCGTTCAACAACAATCAACGAAAAAGTCACCTCATGGATTCCCTTATTTCTTAAATTGTTCACCAAATTATTTTAAACAGTTAATCCAACAATTTACTCCAATATTAATTAATCATCTTGTGCCTTAATCAATAACCTTTTCTTTGTTTTTTTTCCTTCACAATTTAGATTGGAATTGGTTGGAATTTGATTTTCTCTGTATAAATTGAGTGTTGATTGTTTCGTATTTAGTAATTAGATTGGTTAATCATAATCCTGTTGTGGAAATTTTTTCCCCAATTCCTTTCAAGTGTAAATGTAAATTATGATGATAGTTAATTGTTTTCACATTCAACTTACAAAATCAACGCCATGAAACAATTTCTTTTAATTAGTTTATTATTATTTATCAATCATCTATTACCTTTCATCGAGTGCCTGATATTTGACAAGAAATCACTTCCTCGGGATTATATTGCTGATGGTTTAAAGCTACAATCAGTGGATAAGACGAAAAGTCCAATTAATCTGTTCGGATCGGGCTCTCATTATCGACCTGTAAGAGGATATGGTAAAGATTATGATTATGAAACTGGTGAATCGGTTGAAGATGAATTCGAGGAGGAATTTGTCCCATTAAAAGCGACAAAGGATAAAGAGAATGACAATTGGTCGAATAAAGTAAATAATAACAACAATGGACCAGAATCACATAGAACCGATAAATTCCCTTCGAATGAAGACAATATTGGGAGTAAAAGTTTATCGAAATCACCCGATGATCTACCTCGAATTTCTGGTACAAATAAACAAATGAAAAGTTCGTCCAGTGAGTCTAAAGATTGGAGATATTCCGTTTGTGAAGAGTTTCTCCTTCGAGAATCTGGAATCTCAAAGATTCCCAAAGCTTTAAGATATCATGTTGATATTGATGATCATAAGCGACTCAATGTTAATCCGCCTCTGGATAAGAAAGAGATGATCAAATGTTTACGAAAATTGGCAATAATTCATGGAACTGATTCAAGAAACAAAGGATTAGAACATCTTAATAATATTAAACAGAATCAACTCTCACCAAGCCCTTTCTCTGCTCCATCATCATCTTTGATTCCTCCGTCATCTAAACCTAGTAAGTGGCCTTCGAGTTTATCATCTGATGGTGATCGAAGCTCTTCAATTTCTCCAGCCAATTTGGAAGCTAATCGAGCTCGTTTACTCTCTCGACTTAGTGAGGAGCAAATTAGAAAACTGTTACTTTTATTAACTGAAATTTTGGACAGAAGGATTAAACCAGATTCTGAATTGGGAAAAGCTCCAGTTCATGGAAAGTTAACACCGCTCATGTTTCCAAGTGAAATGGGCTTTAAATCGGGAATAAGCAGACAACCTCCACTTCCTTCAGTTGGCCCTTCATCGATTCCTCCTTCGAATGGTCCTAAATTTCCCATATTGACCCCGCTCTCTGGTTCCGGCAGTACAATCATGGACCCTGGATCCAGAAATCTAATCGATCCTCTTTCCTCCTCTATGCATTATAATAACCCTTTAGGGTTCAACTCACCTTCATCTCGAGTAATCAAACCTTATCCTCGATACTCATCCAATCCTGTTTATGGTCGTCCGTTCCAACCTCCGTCACCGTCTTATCCTGGTTACAATCCTTTCTTGACATCTTCTTATCCTCTGCCTTCACCACTTTTACCCAATAATTTGCACCCAGCAACTCAAATTACTCGTTTTCCATTCACTTCTCCGAGTGGAGTGAAAAAGCTTTTGGTAAATGAAGTTCTTGGTGTAAAAAAAATCGAAAAGTACAATGGGGAACGTGAAGTTGAAGTCGGAGGTGGACCTAAAACTGTGGTTGTTCATGAAGGTGAGCTTCATGTTGATCCCACTGGTGAATCGGCAGCCATTGAAATTGATGAGAATAAATTGAAAAGATATCGAGAAAGTTTAATGGCTGCTTATGGGGCTTATCCTCATCATCGACTACCTGGAATCCATGGTCATGGAATGAATTTCCCTGGTCGAGGCTCATCAACAAACGAAAGATTTGGTCCACAATTTTATGATTCCTTCCGTGATCCTGGTTTCTTCAATGATTCCCCTTTCCCACCTTCACCTCCAGCACCTTTGCTCGACTCATCCAGCTCATCTCAAGCTGAGCTCTCAGCCCTACCAGTTTCACCTTCATCAGTTGGAAGGTATCACAGAGATCGACATCATCATCATCGTCATCAAAGTTACCTTCACAATAACGCTAATGAGTATGTCTACTCTTCTGACCAAGGGTCAACCTCAGCTCCTCCGCCCGGGGTACAAATAACCAAATGCGACGAAAACGGTAAATGCACCGGATCTCCAGGTAGTATCGTTGGGGAAGAGGAAAGTATCAAATCAAAGTACAAGGCCAACAATTCAGCGACACGAGCAGCTTATGGGCGATACGGAGCAAAATATTTAGGCCTGACATTAACCTCGATCGCTAATTATGCCTTGGGCAATTTAATGGGTGTTCTTTATGCACCTTTCATGAAAAGTCGGGATCAGAATAAAGCTGGTAAAGGTAAACCAGGTAAAAGACCAGTAACTATACCGATCGGAGGTCGTCCCGTTAAAGGGATGTTTGATCCAACAACATCATCGCTAAGTGGAGGTCACAATGAGATTGACAAAGTATCTAAAGAGCCAAATAATCAGCCAGGTAAAGGTCAACCTTTGGATCAAGAGATTGACAGTTTAATTGATGATTACGATGATGTTGACGGAGAAAACAACACCAACAGTAAGAAAAAGGCCAAAAGACGAAGGAAAAAACGACGCCGTTGAAGGTGAATGACAAAATATGGGCGAAAGTTTTAATTAAACGTTTTCTCAAGTTGATCGATCAAATTAAGTTAAATAATAACACTAATTATTTAGTAGATTATCATTAACTTTCAAAGCAACAATAAGAAAAACATTTTTAATTGTTGACAATTTTTTTCTGGCTTCGAACCCGCCAAAACAAATGGATGAGATCATCATCCTTATTCATCATGAACATTTTCATCATCATCACATCAACAACAACAACAACATCATCATCATCATCCTCATCATCATCAGTGTAACGTCATCCATCAATCATACACATTAAATTATGTAAACATTTTCTAATAACAATCAGACAGAAACAAAACAATTTATCGTTCTGTTTACACTTTACCTACATTTTCCTACTGTTATTATATTAATTCAGGTAAAAGGTGAAACTAATGATTAGTAAACAATTTAAATTGTATCAGAGTCTCAGGTCACCAATTTTTTTCCTCTTCTTCATGTGACAAAATTGGTTAATCATCTTTTCACTATTTACTTATTCAATTGTCAATACTGTTTAGTGAATCATGAAAGTGACGATGATAATGATGATCTAATTTAATCTTTATCAAGATCAAATTGATTGTTCAGATTTAGTATCATGATCCGTTCCAATTGATTTAGTTTAAATATCACCGGAAATTTGGGTTTACAAAGTGATTTAATTTAATTCCTCTCATCATAATCAATGTCGTTACTTTATTATTACTTTAACTTCATTGACAAGGTTGACAAACAGAAATCCGATTAAATTATCGATTCTCAATAATCGGTAAACTAAATCAACTTTAATTGTTTAGATAATCGCGCTTCCTATTATTATCTTCATCTAAATTACAAGATTAGGTTGAACGATTAATTAATCAATCAACATTAACAAGATTGGTTTAAATTGTTGGTTAACCAAATTAGTTTCATTTTTTGTTCACCTTCAAACTTTATTAATACAATTAAATAGTTGAAATTTAAATTTTATCATTGATTCATTTTCAAACAATACAACAATTAGCTAAATTGTTTTGGTCCATTGAGATATGGTTTACCAAAACTTTTCAATTGATTAAAAGTTAAACATCTTGTTTGTTGGTTAATTGCTTGGAAAAGGTTTAATTATCATTAATAATTTCAATTAATCAAATGGATTTAAATTACTTGACTAGATAAATATTTATTTTAGTAACAATTAGTTGATTGTCTTAAATCACTTACCATTCATACTTGGAAATGGGATTTCTTTTAATTTCTGGTGAGATCAAATTGTCAGTTAATTAACTCTGATTATCTGATTTCTTGCAATCAAATCTAATTTTAACTGTTGATTAGTTGAAGTAAAAGTTAAACATCGTGACTCTAATTTTTGATTGTCAATTAAAGACAAGTTAATTATCCCAAACAAACGGAAACAAATAAAATATAATCAGAAAGCACAGAAAATAATTAACAATTAAGAAAATCATTCGATACAATCAAGAACTAATCATTGATTTGATATATTACTAATCTATTGAACATTTGAAAACTGATCTAAGATCAGACAATTAACATGATCAATCTGATTATTGATCATTAGATTGAGTGAGAGAAATTAATTTCCACAACATGAAATAATTTAATCAAACAATTAGTGAAATAAAAATATTAACTGATTATAATTCAGTAAATTACAACAATCAAGACAATTAACATTATCAAGTTATCCAAAATAAACTTATAATGAATCTAAAAACAGTAAACAAAAGCAATTAGTAGTTATCACAATCAAATTAAAAGTTTACAACATTAAATTGTAACAATTAGATTATTATAATTAGTTGAATGAAAATTAATCATCAATTTACTATTAATACAAACAATTTTTAATCAACATGAGACATAAGGGAAATGATTAAAATCCAAGATTAGATTTAATCTATTTTCTTATTTCCACTATTAGTAAACTAATTAATTAATCAGTTAATCTACTTAATTAATCAATCAAATATCTAAATAACGTTGAAAGTATAACTGTTTAAATCCGAGTAACCTAAAAATCAACGATCCATTGTAAAGATTTGCAACCAATTCAGTGAACAGAAACAACAATTAACTTTACACATTAAATCATCTTTTTTTTTACCAACATCATTAACAAATATTAGGCTCTAATTGTTAATCAATAATGAGACAAAATTAACAAAGTTCCATAGCAATTAGACAAGTGATTAAGGTGAAAAGAAAAACCAATCAATCAAATTGTTGAGAAAATGTATCAACATTTATGTTAAGTTGGAGGTTAGAAATAACCACTGATAACAATTAAAAGTTATTCGTGTTAAATTGGTTGATTAAACTAATTGTTGTTGCATTGAATATAGAAAGTACCAATCATTGAATTTTGGACGTTAATTATAAATTGTGAAAGTGAAACAATTTGTTTTCTTCCGGGATTGTAATCAAATTTAAAGTGTTCACTGTGCGATGTTAATTAATACGTTAAATTAAGAAAGTGAATTAAATGAGTAAGTTAATAACTGGATTAAGGTGAAATTAGGATTGATTGTTGAACAAGTGAAACAAATTTGGAAACTAAATTAAGTTTAAATAAAGTTTGTGAAAATTTAAACGGTAAAAATTGGTTGGTTCAACGATAACAATGAGTTTGATTCTGTCCGTTTAGAGCAATTAACAATTAACTACTATGATTAACTTTATACACTTTGATTAACCTGTAAAACCATCAATCCATGATGGTTAAAACTATGGTCTTGATTTGGTTTAGCCTCTTAATTGTTGTTGACACTAATTACTGGTCATTCTTTTATTTTCAATCTGAAAATTGTAATAATAACAATTTAATTTAATTGGTCAGCAAGTAGGAAACCTAAATAGTAACTAAATTAACCAGAAAAAATGGGCAGTTTGGAAATCAACTGACCCATCCTTCCTTGTTTTTAATTGTCCAATTAAATTTGATTCACAATTTTCATATAAATACAAATTCAACAAACGTTGTAACGGTTTCTTTAACTTTCCACCTTTCACCAACAACAATCAATTTTAATTGTAACAGAAGCAAAGTTTCACCAACAATTAGGATTGTGATCTAGTGATCAACCATCACAGAGTTTTTTTTGTTTCCGTTTTTTCATAAGATGCGTTTCCTGGTAAGTAATTTGTTAATCCGTTAATTGTTATCATAATTTCATAGATTCCATTGGATTTATTTGATTGTAGTGAACCAAATAAGGTTGATAGATTATCGAGTTTATTGATTATGTGTGTTCCCAATTAAGGAATAATCATTTAAATTGTTCTCCTTCCTTCCAACTTTTTTACATCTTTAATCATCTAATATGTGTTTCCATTTGGATTAATACTTTGTCTTTGTCTTTCTCCTTGTAACATGTTAATCCATCACGTTAATCAACTGGTTCCTCTTTCTTGGATGGATATTGAATCACATTAATTGATCATGTGAAATAATTTATCAATTGTTTCATCAACTTTTAATCAACTCAATCATCAACTAATCAGTTGAGATTATTGTCAATTTTTGCTGTTATTTCATTCATCTCAGCAGCAACTGGTTGGGGTTGGTATCCTTGGCTTTATCCTGGACATTATCCTTATTATTTTGGTAAATTGTTTTCTCCTTGATTATGATCATCATTCAATAATTAATTGTTCATTAGTATTAATTAGTTTCATTTTCTAATATTCCAAAATGATCAACAGGTTATCCTCATTATTATGGTGGCAGCTACGGAACAGGTTACGGGATTTGGGGAGGATACGTTGGTTGATTTGATTGCTAATTGATGTGATTTCTTGTTAATTGTCAACTCGATGGTGATGATTAAATTGATTTCATGGAACAACGTTAAGTTAACAAAAACATCATGGAAAATTGTATGACGATCATGATGCAAATGAAGATCACTTTTCCTCCTTCAATGTTGATATCAGGACGATCACTTTGTTTCCAATTAGCCTCTTTGGGTTTCCAATTAAATTTGATTGTTTCATTTGTTTCGCCGTCGCTTCTTGTTAATCATACGCAATAAATTGATCACTTAATTTGTTTCTCTCTCTCTCTCCAATGTTTATCTTTTTCATTTCTCACTTTTCCTACTCTTTACTTTTACTCTCTCTCTCTCTCCAATGTTTATCTTTTTTCATTTCTCACTTTTCCTACTCTTTACTTTTACTCTCTCTCCTTGTAATCAAAATATAAACATCATGAGTCAATAAATTCAATTGTACTGCTTATCGTCAAAGTTAATTTCTCTACATTTGATTATCAACTTTTGTCAGTTAATTGAAATGTAGGAAAAGGAGCCATTGAGAGAGGGAGAAAGTGGTAACATGAAAAAGAGGTTAATCTAGTTAATATAATCCAATGAGAATCAGATTAGATTCATTGATGTGTTTATGACAAGAGTCAAATTGTTCAGTTTTTTGATTGTAAACATCAAATAAAAGGTCGATTAACTGATGGATTAAGATTAAATTTCCATGTGTCCTTGTGTCCAGCGATTAACACAAATATTTCTGTTCTTTCATAACCTTGTTTAGATCCTTGGGCGAGTGATGAACAATCAATTCAAGGTCATTTTGATGTAAAACTAAATTTCTATCTATTGGCCCGAGTAATTAACTTTCAACGGATGGAAAGAGAAATGAACAAAATAGAAAAAGAAAGATGAAAATGGTACAGACAAATTTACTCCCGAACAATTAGTTTTGAACATTATTACTCGAAAATTGGGGAAAAATAATCAACGACGGATTAGTGAGAGATAGAGAGAGAGTAAGAGCTTTAAGAATTTGTCTTTTCACTATTTTTGTTGTAATTTGGTTTCATTAAAAAAAATCCGAATTGATTGAGGCGCTTTTATAATCTACGTAAATCGCCTGAAATCATTTTAAGCATTTTTCTTTGTTAATTATATTATAATAATTATAATAATAATAATACGAAACAATCTGCAAGTGAAAACCAAGTTCTTGACCTTTTATCGTTCCAATTTTAGATTTTAGTGAATACTTTTCGGGATTTAGATTATTATTATTTAACATTCTTTTTCGTTGATGGTTAATATTCTTTTCACTGGTTCATAATTTTTTTGCTTTTCATAAAATTTTCTCTCTCTTCCTTCAAAAACACACACACACACACACATACAGGTATCTTTTTACTAACTTTCTCTCTTTCTCTCTCTCACTCTTTACTTTCATCAATCCCACTCCCACTTACACACAAAGGAATACACTTACAATTATTTAATCTTCCTTTTTTATACTTTACACTCACTCTCATTTCTTCACTCATACACATTTCAATTTAAGCAATACATTTATACACTCATGTTTGACAGCACGCTTTCTTCCTTGAGTCCGATGGATCCGTTGGTGGAATGTTAATTGGCCTAATATTATCTGATGGAGATGGATCTCCGTCACCGTCATTACGTATCTGCTTTTGTGATACTATGTGATAGATTTCGGTGAGGATCTGTTGAAAAGCGGCTTCCACATTTGTCGAGTCTAAAGCTGATGTTTCAATGAAAGAAAGATTATTCCTCTCTGAAAGCAATAAAAAGAAAAAAAAATAAATGAATGAATGAGAATCAACGGAAATGGAGAAAATGGATAAGTAATTGTGAAATGGATATATAGTTGACAGCATTAGATGAATGGTGTGACAGGGAGCAGAGAGAGAAAGAGAGAAGGGGTGGAAGAGAAATGGACAGACAGGAAAAATACAGAAAATATAAAAAGAGGAGGTTTGGAGAGAAACAAGAGGATAAGATTAAAGCAGTAGAAAACAAAAGAGGTGTTTTTTTTGTTGATTCGCTAATCAGTGTTGGCTAATTAAATTAAAATCTAAAAAGGGAATAGAACGCCCATCATTTGGCACTTTACTCACCGGCAAACGCTCGAGCTTCATCAGTAGGCACTGCACGTAAATGGCGTAAATCACTTTTATTACCAACTAACATAATAACAATATTGTTATCGGCATGATCCCTCAATTCCTTGAGCCATCTTTCAACATTCTCGTAAGTCAAATGTTTGGCAATATCATAAACCAGAAGGGCACCAACAGCACCTCGATAATAAGCACTGGTAATTGCCCGATATCTTTCTTGTCCAGCAGTGTCCCAGATTTGGGCTTTAATCGTTTTATTGTCAACCTGAATACTTCGAGTGGCAAATTCAACACCAATGGTTGATTTACTTTCTAAATTAAACTCATTTCGAGTGAAACGAGAGAGAAGGTTACTTTTACCAACACCAGAGTCACCAATCAAGACAACTGAACATCCGTTACCAAATTAATAAATCATTTTTTATACCAACAATAAAAATCATCATGACCAATTCAAATTAATCAGTTTAAAAGCAGGTCCCATGATTAATGGATGGAGAAAAATGAGAAATAAAAAGATACAATTAGTATTTTCATCGAGTAAATTGTTGCATTTTACAAGAAAAGGACAAATTTTAAAACTCTAAGAGCCTATTACACAAAAAGTCACTAATCATGGGAGTGAGAAGGAAAGAAGGAGAGAGAAAGAGACAGAAAGGGAGAGAGAGAGAGAGAGAAAGAGGTGAATAGAGACAGATAAACAGATTTTTAGACACATACACAATACATTTTAGTAATAGGAAAGGGGTTTGAGGCATTCTAATTAGTATAACGGATGTTTTTCGGGTTAATCAGGAAGAGAAAGAGAAGAGGAAAAAGAAAGAGAATTAAAAAGGCAAGAAGATGATAGAGAAGAAAACCGAGACCGGAGGATGTTAACTACTTTTTACCTAAGGTTTTGTGTGTTAGTTGTAAGTCTTTTTGCCTTCTCTTTGTAACAAGAAAAGGAGAGAGAGAAAGAGAAAGAGAAAGAGAGAAAATCCAAAGGATGGAAAAATGGTTACAAAAAAGAGAAAAATAAAAGAGACAAGAGAAAAAAAAGAAAGACCAAGAAGAGACTAAAAAATAGGAAAGAAGCAAAAAGAGAGTAAAAAGGCAAACAGAGAAATCTTACAAAATGAAGAAAAGAGACATTTAAAAAGATTTACTTTACCTTTGAATAGATAATCATATTCATCTTCTTTAGCAGACATTTTATTCCAAGAGATTTACTAATTAGTGGAGATTGGTAATGGTTAAACGTAAGAGATTTAAACACAATTAATTAGACAATCAAGAAAAAAGATTCAAATTAATAAAAATCCTACTTTGGATTATGAGAGGAGTTAACTAACTCCAGTCATCAGTTGAGTCTCGCAACTTAAGTTACGCCATCTGGTGAGTTTGTTTACATTCGTTTTCCCTCAAAACAAACTTTCAACTATTAACATTCAACATCTTAGTTGATCTCCTCCGGTCTCGGTTTTCTTGTCATCATCTTGCCTTTTTGATTCTCTTTCTTTTTTCCTCTTCTCTTCCTGATTAACCCGAAAAACATATCCGTTATACTAATTACTCTTTGCTCAAACCTCTTTCCTATTACTAATAAATTTTACCTCTTGATCCTTTGCTTCAGCCCTGATAGGTTGTTACTCTTTAATTTGTCTTCTCAAATTTCAAATTTAAAATACACTCTGATAGGCTCAACCCTTTTCCAGAAAAGGTCATTGGTTAATAGCAACAAATTGTCACCTTAATCTTAAGTTAATTGCGTTTCTTTTGCTTCTCTCTCTCTGTCTCTCCTTCTCACTACCATAATTAGTAACTTTTTGTGTAATAGGCTCTTAGAGTTTTAAAGTTTCTTGGGAAAAGGCAACAATTTACTCGATGAAAATACTAATTGTATCTTTTTATTGTTTCTTTTATCCATTAATCACACTTTAAACTGATTAATTTGAATTGGTCATGATGATTTTTATTGTTGGTATAAAAAATGATTTATTAATTTGGTAACGGATGTTCAGTTGTCTTGATTGGTGACTCTGGTGTTGGTAAAAGTAACCTTCTCTCTCGTTTCACTCGAAATGAGTTTAATTTAGAAAGTAAATTAACCATTGGTGTTGAATTTGCCACTCGAAGTATTCAGGTTGACAATAAAACGATATTAAAGCCCAAATCTGGAACACTTCTGGACAAGAAAGTTATCGGGTGATGAAATTTCAAAACAATTATTCGCTCAGAAGAGCGGCAAGTATTAGACCAATTAAAACAGCACCAATGCCTACAATCATAGTATTACGAAGGAAATTATTCTTGTTCGCGAGTTTTTCTTGATCAATATGAGTGGCACGTCTTTTCTCATCACGAGGACTGTAACTTCCCTCACTTTCACTTGAAGATCTTTTTCCTAAACTTGAATGTCTGCCAATATTTTTACTCGGAGTCCTTATAACATAAAAAGGACCATCACCAGCAGTTCCCGGAGATGGACTCGGTACCAGTCGATTGGGAGAAATACTAGTGCGTGGATCTTTCATATAAAACACTGATTCCTCTGCTTTGGTTCCTTCTTGCTCATCATCAAAAGATACCTCAGGATTATTCTAAGAAGAAACCGAAAGAAAAACAGATTCATTTACTTAATATCATCAACACAGAACATAATAGAATATAATACTTACTTCAGTAATGGATTCGAATGCAATAGGATGACCAATTAACGCTCTTTTAACTGCTAATCTGTACAATTCACGAGTGGAATCAGTGATGGGACCAATGTCTCTCTGTAAAACCACTTGACAAGCTTTTCTTAAATCTCCATCATTTAGAGACTCCAATGAATCTGATGTTAAATCTTTAAAAGAGTTCATATTTTTTTCACAAAACAAAATAATTAATACACTTTATTGTTAATTTTAGAAAAAGATTCAATGTAAACAAATTGTATTTATAAGTGTTCAAGTCTGTCAGCTTAATGTTTCCACTTTAAGCTGATTCTTTTTCTCGGCTTCTGGTCACAGCTGAGAAAGAGTAAAATGTCAGCTGTCGACAGCGAATCAGCTCCTTGTTTGAGCTGAGAAAATGAATGAGCTTAAAGTTGAAAACATTGAGCTGACAAACTCTTGTACTGGATAAATAAATTTGTTTACATTGAATCTTTTTCTAAAATTAACAATAAAGTGTATTAATTATTTTGTTTTGTGAAAAAAATATGAACTCTTTTAAAGATTTAACATCAGATTCATTGGAGTCTCTTAATGATGGAGATTTAAGAAAAGCTTGTCAAGTGGTTTTACAGAGAGACATTGGTCCCATCACTGATTCCACTCGTGAATTGTACAGATTAGCAGTTAAAAGAGCGTTAATTGGTCATCCTATTGCATTCGAATCCATTACTGAAGTAAGTATTATATTCTATTATGTTCTGTGTTGATGATATTAAGTAAATGAATCTGTTTTTCTTTCGGTTTCTTCTTAGAATAATCCTGAGGTATCTTTTGATGATGAGCAAGAAGGAGCCAAAGCAAAGGAATCAGTATTTTATATGATTGAAGCTCAAACTATTATTCCTCAAAATCAATTGGTGTCAAATCCATCCACTGGAACTGCTGGTGATGGTCCTTTTTATGTAATGATGACTCCAAGCCAAGAGATTGTTACACATACAAGTTTAAGGAAAAGATCTTCAAGTGCAAGTGAGGGAAGTCGCAATCCTCGTGATGAGAAACGACGTGCTACTCATAATGAGGTAGAGAGAAGACGTCGAGACAAAATAAACAATTGGATAACCAAATTAGCAGATATAGTGCCTGATTGTGCCCAAGATCGAACCAAACAGGGACAAGTATGTTCAACTCTTTTACAAACATGGGTTCTCTTTTTTCCCTCGATTTTACTCTTATTTGTCATTCCTTTTCTATCTCATCTTTTACGGTTGATCCCCACGAACTGTTTCAAATATTCATTAATCATTTTACTAATCTAGATTCGCTGCTCTTTACAGTCTAAAGGAGGCATACTAGCCAAAGCCTGCGAATATATCAATCAATTGGTTAAAGAAAACGCTAAATTAAAAGAGATAATCAAAGAAAATGAAAGGACAATAGCGAGTTTGTATGGAAATATGGATCCAGCTAAAAGTTAATATTCTCTATAACAAAATCGAAAGCTCTTTATGAACTGTTAATGTTATCATTGACTTTTTTCTCGATAAAATCGACAATTATAGCAAACATAAATTAAAGTCAATTTATGTCCGATAAGGATTATCGTAATGCCCATCATCGTAATTATCACAATCATCAGATCATCGAAAGCATCATTATATCAACACCATTATGATTTCTGAACTTCGCCAGTGTGACCCAGATTTGTTCTTTAATCGTTTTATTTACAACTTGGATACTTCGAGTGGTCAATTTATCATGAAAAAGCAAAAAAAAACAACAACCATGGACATTCAGTACAAACAAAAGAGACAGAAAACAAAAACAAATTGAATGGAGAAAGTGGAAAATTAGGAAATTCATTTAAACAATCATTCAATTAACATTTAATCAATGACAAGTTATTAGAAAATCGCTATCCAGTTGATAGAAAGAAAATATCTAGAAAACAAACTTCGAGAGTAAATATTATTGATAACATCGAGTTAAGAGAGTTTGAAATAACCAGAATATCCTTAAAATTTCAATAGTCGTCACTTAATCAACAGAAAAGTCCAATTACACAATCAACATTAATCAATCAAATTTCTCCAGTTGTACTTTAGGATTAACACAACTGTAGAGATACCGATCAATTTAATTCAATCTTAATTAGCTGTAGTAGCTCAAGTAAATGGTTGATAATTGATTCAACTAATCAAAACTTTTTGTCAATGATTTACTAGATAAAATCATAGCTCTCTCTCTCTCTCTCTCTCTCTGCCTTATACTAATTTTATAATCTACAAATCACTCTCTCAACTTTAAAGTGTAAAAATTTAGCAAATGAGTTGATTTGTTTTGCATAATTTTTGTTAACTATTTTTGAAATTTTAATTGATTGTTTTGGTGTTTTGATCAATTTTTATAATTAATATAAAATTCGATTGGGAGAATGTAAGATAACAATGATAAATACACCAAATTGTATAATTAAGGAATAAGATTTTTGATTTATTCTCATTAATCTTTCTCCTTCTCCTTCACCAATTCAAACTAAATTAACTCCAAATTCGCCTTAATTACTGTAAAAGGTTTTTCATCAATTGTTTGTGTAAATTCATTCAACTGTACATCTTATACAAACACTTTTGTTCCAAATAATCAATTGATTACACAGCCAAAGGCTCTAAGTTTGCAACTACCTGTTAAATCATTGACGCAGTTAAATTTCAATCAATGAGAGACACAAAGTGACCCATGTAATCCTTATAATCAATGCCCTCTCATTTAAACGATATAATCTCTTGAAATGGTCATCTGATTATCATTAACTGGGCGAGTGATTTAAATTGTGTTCACAAATTCAAAGTCTTCAACTGTGTACCAATCTAATTAAACTGTATTGCAATGTAAAAAAAACTATACAATTCAACAAAGAAAACACAATATTCAACTCATTTACTAATCATTTCATCATAAATGTCATCCGATTTGTACAAATTACTATTATAAACATAATTAATTTCTCAAGAACGTGGTTCGCTTTTCTATAACTGAATTTCAATATCGAACTTTAGTTTTGATCCGATTTAATTGTTAATTAGCAAAGAAAGCAAAATCTAGATTAAATTAGTTGAACAATTTTTCTTTCAATGAACAACAATAGCAGTTGAAGAGTTCATCTCATTGAATTGATCAATTGAAGTAATTGCTTTGAAATTGCAATTTAAATGTAACCTAAAATTCAATGTTTATTTAACAATTGAATTGTTGGGAAATTACCTGTAAGTTGATTGATCGCCTTAACTGTTACTTTATTGGTCATTAAATTGGTCGATTATTTTTTAGATTATGATTTAATTTATCAATAATTAAAAGAAGATTTGATAAAATTAGACTCGCATCACTTTTGCAAGAAAATTAATCAAATTTCCAAGTAGATTTGTTCAATTATTCTTAATTAGTGAGTAGTCGATTATGTTTGATGCGATTGCATCAATGGAAATAAAAAATATTGCCCCGAGTGAGGCTCGAACTCACGACCTTCAGATTATGAGACTGACGCGCTACCGACTGCGCTATCGGGACGGGGCTGATGAAGAGATAGCAAAGACAATATATAAATCGTAGGTGATTTTATTAGAAATCAATAGTTCGAAAAAAAGTTGCATATTTCACGAGTATGAAGACGAGCGTTAGCGGAAGAGACTTAGAAATGATTATTTTATGGTAAGAAAATTTTATACTTCATGTAAGACCTATGGAAAATCGTGACAAATCATCGCTGATTGTGATTCCTCCATAACTTTTTTTAAATTCAGGAGATAATTTTTTGAAATATTTCTTAGTCTTGTAATTTTCTTATTCATCCAAATTATTGACAAAGATAATGAATAATAATAACAAGGAAATTGAGTTAGATTTTGTTATCCTCGTGGCTCAGTTGCAGCTGATTTGTCCCATAGAAAACCATTGAATTTTCAAAAAAGAAAAATTTTCTCTTTTTTCTGATTTTTTTCAATGGGAAAAAATGAATGGAAATTAATTCATTGATATAAAAGATGACGATATTTCAATTCTGTATTCGAGAAGAATTTACAATTACTCCGTTTATAAAGTTCTAACAAAAAATCAGGATTCAGATGAAGTCTATGAATACGCTCGGCTTATCGGTAAAAGAAGTACTAAAAACATTTTACTCTACCGTAAAGAGGAAAATGCTGATTGCTCGAGTAATTAAATCCAATTACAATTTTAGAAAGTGAATTGAATCTTGAACATAAAATAGTCGAAAAGCGAATTTGATGAATACAATTAACCTTTTCATCTTATATGGAGTCAAACTAATCGTCCAAATCTTAAATTTATTCTTATGGTCAAGCATCATTCATCATCTTGGCTATTAATTGTCTCACTCAATTAACACCATGATTCTTAGAAATAATCAACAAACTAATTAATACTTTTAATATCATTACCTTTTATTTTCCATCAAATTCAAAATATTTTAACAATCAAATGAATTAATTTCCATTTCCATTCATTTTTTCCCATTGATAAAAACCAGAAAAAAGAGAAAATTTTTCTTTTTTGAAAATTCAATGGTTTTCTATGGGAAAATGGATGAAAATAAGAGGAAATTAATTTTCGACGCGCTCATGTTTGGACCTCCGTAATTGTAATCATCATGAAATTGAAATTTTCACCAATCATAACCAGAGAGTGAATCTTCATTTTAACGTTTAAATGGAGTCAATAAGTCTAGTCAGTCAGTCGTTAATCAATTTTTAAAATTTAGTCCAAAACATTACCGGTCATACCTTATTACTTTTAAGCATCAAGATAGTAAATCTTTTCTATGTCGAGATAGTTTGGGAAATTTGATAATATAAAACTAATATGAAATGCTTTTCTCCCAGCCCCGTCCCGATAGCGCAGTCGGTAGCGCGTCAGTCTCATAATCTGAAGGTCGTGAGTTCGAGCCTCACTCGGGGCAATACTTTTTATGCTTACGCAAAAACTGATGAATTTTTAGTGATAGCAAATGATTAGACTCGATTTAGATCACTAGATAAACTTTTGCTCGTCTTTTCGATTATTCTCCAATTATTATAATTACTTCAAGAGCCAATTCCTTGAAGAAACTTTATCGTAACGAAATCACGAAAATAATTCAGTGAAAGTCGAAGAGACACTCGAGTAGTTCGTCGTAAAAATCCATCGAATATTTCATCAAAAGTTCTCAGATCAAATCTCACATATTCGAAACTCAAATTCTATCTTCGAAAATGTTAGATTGATTTACTTATTCTTCGTTACAATTTCGGTAAAAAATTTCTTCGGTTGATTGAAGCACCGATTCATTAATAATTATCACATAAACACTGAAAAAATTGTGACGAAAAATAGTTGTGATTTATTGTGAATGTTACTATTTATTCAAACGATGTTATTGCATTTTAAAAATTTGATTGTTAAAATATTTTGAATTTGATGGAAAATAAAAGGTAATGATATTAAAAGTATTAATTAGTTTGTTGATTATTTCTAAGAATCATGGTGTTAATTGAGTGAGACAATTAATAGCCAAGATGATGAATGATGCTTGACCATAAGAATAAATTTAAGATTTGGACGATTAGTTTGACTCCATATAAGATGAAAAGGTTAATTGTATTCATCAAATTCGCTTTTCGACTATTTTATGTTCAAGATTCAATTCACTTTCTAAAATTGTAATTGGATTTAATTACTCGAGCAATCAGCATTTTCCTCTTTACGGTAGAGTAAAATGTTTTTAGTACTTCTTTTACCGATAAGCCGAGCGTATTCATAGACTTCATCTGAATCCTGATTTTTTGTTAGAACTTTATAAACGGAGTAATTGTAAATTCTTCTTGAATACAGAATTGAAATATCGTCATCTTTTATATCAACTGAGTCTTCATCCACTTTGTTCAGATCATCTTCAAATCGAGGGTACGAATGATGTGATAATCTTTGTATACACTTTTCAATTGGATGCCAGGTCAATGCTTGATCACATAAAAGAAATGAAGGATAAAATTTTCCCTGGTAAGAATAAATTAACAATTAGTTTGACATTAATCCATCAAAAGGGAAGCAATTAATTACCTTGTAACTCATTTTGGGACACGAATGAATGTAAAGACCAAGGTAATAATAAGAAATCGATTGATTAATCTTATAAAGATCACGAACTAAAAGTATCTCTCTAAATGGATGAAAAGAAAAAGAGTCAAACAATTAGTGTAACAATCAAATGGAAAAGTGATCAACTTAATTTACCTTAACGCAGAATAAGTTCCTAAACTTAGAAAACTGTATTCAGGGTCATAGAAAAGGTAAACAGATGAGACAGAATGAGATAAAATATCTAAAACGGCGACGACAATTAACTCATCATCTAACCAATATTGCATATGATAAGATCCATAGGAAGTTGGAATCGAATGGGCTAATCCTCTGTAAAATAGTTTCGCCTGAAATGAGAGAGAGAGAAACAAAAAAAGTTGGTTAATTTGTTATAAACAATTAACTGTCATTATCATTATATTAACTATCAATTAACCTCGAATGGATTATCGATTAGAAATCGTTTAAATTGTTTGGGTGTACATTCGGAGGGATCATCTTGGTGAACATGAGTTTGGTATTTTTCGTATAATTTATGAGAAGCTTGAAAAGTTCTGATGTGTTCATCTTTACAAGTCGATACAAATTTGATCTAAATATGAAAAGAAAAAAAAATGAAGTTAATTAAATGTATCAATCATAATGTTCGAGTAAAGTTAATTAACACACTTCGAGTTTATGAGCTGGTTTATCTAAATTATCGGGCTTTTTAAAATAATCCTCAAATGATTTCGTTGATTGTTGCTGTCTTTTTGAAGCCTTTTCTTTAATCCTTTCGAGAGCCAATTCTTTTGAGCAATTCTGCCTTAAGGCCACTTTATCGACACGTCTTTGTAATCGTAAATATTTAGCCTTTTTCGTGGGATCTTTCACTTTGGCCTCTTCCATTGAACTGTTTTCATGGATTTTCGTTGGTGTTATTGTTGTTGAAGTATCGACAATATTAGATGGACTTTCCAACGATTTGGATGATGAGGATGATCGTTGAGCTTGTGGTTCACTTTCCCTCTCTCGCGATCCCGATTCCTGTGTATTCCTTGATTCTGTCAACAATCAGAAAACAATTAGAATCTAATAAATTAAAGTCAACAAAACTGTTCTCAATAAGATAATCAAGGTTTACCTTTTTCATAGGATTTAGGTTTTATCCCATGATAAATGAAATTATTGAATCGCTTGATAACTTTCCGCTGAGATCGAGATGGTTTAAAATTCAAAGCTTCACACCTACGATTCAATAATGCAAAAGATCAAGAATCGAAATGAAAAAGTGTCACTATCCTGATCGAAGTGGAAATCATTTGCTTTCAATTAAAACAAACCTAATTGCAAACGTTGGACAGCAAATCTTATTCAGAATTGATTTGTAGCAAAATTTTCCACTTCTCCTCCAGGTTCTATCGATTAAAATTTGATATTGATCTGTGGACATCTCATGAGCCCATAAGCCTGAATTAAACGTAAAAGGTGAGAAAAACCCCAAAGGAAAAAAAATTAGATTGGTTAATCAAATCAAACCAGAATAAGAGAGTAAATTGAAAACAATGGAATTGATAAAATGTCAACCGATTAACTAATCTCATATCACTCACCATAACTTGAAATATCTGGTTTATTTGCTTTACAATAACCACAAGGATAATTTGTTTTGTTGGGTCCAAAGTATTCAACGATTCCTTTAACCATAATTAACAATTAGATATAAATTCATGAAAGTTAATATTGAACAAGATTAAAACTGAACATGAACCAGAATAACAACCAAGGAGAAAGAGATCAACACAATTAAAATGTTTGGTTAAAAGGCTAATCAAAGGTAAGAGAGTCCATAGAGGATTAATTGGACTAATTTGAGGAATCAATTAATTCACCAATTAAGGGAAAACATTAATTACAATTAAAGGTTAACTTTACTTTTCTCATTCAATATGAAAACATTAATTTCCTCAATGTAAACAAACCCAAGAATTGCAACTAACTCCATCTATTACATAATTAATGAAATTTTTTTCTTTTCTGTAAATTAACAATTAAGACAGTTTGGATTATCAAATGATTTAGATTATTATTTGAACAGATATTTAATTGGAAAATATTGTTGATGGTTAAGTTGATTTTAGGTTTAAATCTGAGGTATTGAACTGATTTGTTAATTGTGATTCTATTTTTTTATCTAATGTCCTTAAAATGTGATTAATTTTAATCATTTGGGGTTAATTGTTATTATAATTGTAGTGAAATCTTTTCTTTTCAATGGAAACATGATCAAATTTAACCTTGATTGTGATTTTAACGTGATCAGTTAATTGGTCGTCATTATTGTTTATCATTATCTTTAGTATTATATAATTAATTGTAATTAACTCACTAATCATTTCTATTGTTTTAATTGTATTAGAATCAATCAATTTTCAATTATTGTTACTCAAATTGTAAATGTTATTGATCAATTAATAATAATTTAATATACACTAGGAAAATTGATTTAATTGAAATTAACTTTAAACTTTGTAATGATCAATTGATTAATCAGACCATTAAACTTTTAATTGTTAATTACTGAATTAATCAAACATCCAAATATGGATTTCAAAGCCTTGACCATTGTTTCAAGTTAAACAATTAAGATAATTTTGAAACAATTAAATTTCATCCATTATCATTAATAGAATCAATTGTAACAATCAGTTAATCATTATTTAGTCATCAAGATGATTAAACTAATATCTACTGAATGAATATCATTCAATGATTTAATCCTAACATTTGTTGATAATTAATCATTTATATATAAAGGTAAACAATTAAATCATTGTCGATCCATTGTATTAAATTGTTTCTAACAATCAGTATCTAATTGTGATTAATTACAATTAACCAAATCAAAATGAAATTCTCACTTGCCTTAATTGCCCTTTTCTGTGTCTCAGCAATCAATGCTGCTCCAGTCAAAGATGGTAAGTAATTAATTTTATAATTAATAAGGAAATTAAATTTTCTTCTTAATCATCAACTAATTGTTATCTAATTTTTTTACCGAATCAGAGCCAACCCCAGTCGCTCAATTGATCATCAACATCGTTGAAGGTTTCGTCCAACAAGCAGAGAAAAACATCCCAGGTAAGTTAATTGTTCCCTGGAAGAAACAATTTAAAATTTAACTTTCAACAATTTATCTTAACTGTAACAATTTAAATTCCATCTCTAAATTCAAATAGACTGGAAAGCCGATGCTTCACTCGAAAGCAATGCCATCCAACAAGTCAACAAGCCTTTGGAATCTGGAGCTATTCCCGGTAATTAACATTCACCATTAATTAGTTGATTTAAATTGTCGCAATTTAATTGATCAACTTGATTAACGATCATTTTACTATTACTAACTTCTTTAGGCTGGAAAGCTGATCTTACCCTTGAAGAAAACCTCGACAATGCCTTCGGCGACTGGTTGGTTTCCCTCAACATCCCAGGTAATTATCATAACCAACCAACAATTAACTAATTATGTTGACCATAATGATCATTTGAATACATCTAACTAATTGATTGCTCCTTCATCCTTTTTAGGCCTCAACATCGATTCGAGCATCACTGAAAACGTCAAGACCCTTATTGGTGAAGGATTCGACCGACTTTCATTCCCAAGTAAGTTAATTAATTTCTCTTGATTAAAATTGAAATTAAAAATTAATTGCTCACTTTCTACTTGATTGATTAGCCTGGTTCCCAAAAGACCAAATTGAAGACTCAATCGATCAATTCGTTATCGCCCAACTCAAACAACTCAATGTTACCAGTAAGTTTGTTGTACTATTACAATTATCAAGCAATTAACTAATTGATAATATAATTACTTTCCATTTAGATTTGGATGTTGAAAAGTCCGTTAAAGTAAACATTGATGCCATTGTTGTCGCTTCAATTGACCAACAAGGTCTTGACCCAAAGGCTACATTGGAAGTCACCGTTGACAAGGCTGTTGAGAATGCTCTTAATTTAATCAACTTCCCAAGTAAGTTAATCACAATTAACTGAGTCTATTGGAAATTCTAATATTTTGTATCTTCCGTCCCCACAATCAACAGATTACTCACCAAAGGCCACTCTTGAAGAAAATGTCGCCGCTTTCCTCAAAGAAGCTCTTAAAAATTTACCTTTTAAATTGATAAATTCTAATTTAATTTAAAATTTCATAGAATCAATAAACTAAATTAATGATTTAAAAGCAAAAATTAATTCTGTCTCTTCATTTATTCATAAACTTATTCCTTGAAAACACTGAAATGAAAATTTTTATATCATTGATACTATGGTGATCTTTTACTGAATTAGTAATAACTTGAGAACCATTTGAAAATAGTTCTTAGGACTATTAACTGAGATAACATGCATTGATATACATGTACGAAGAAGTATGATCCTCGGGCCAAAAGCTTTTTTGTAGGCCATTTCGGCCTGTTTGAACTGCTTCATTCGAGCCAAAGATTGACTAAGTTTGAAGTAGCCTAACATGATCACACAGGGAGAAAAAGTTGACAATTAGAATCACCGAGTTACAAATTGTTGATGAAAAGATGAGAGAGAAAGATGAGAAAACAATATCAATCTTTAAAGATGTAGTATCCATACCTTGTATTAATAACTGTGAAGAAAAATTTATTCAGATAAGCTCATTTGCTCAAGATCTTGGACCAATTTTTTGGCCCGAGGATCATAAACAAATAGGTTCAAAATGTAATGAACCTGAGTGACAAAAAGAAACAACACAAAAAAATGGTGATGATCATTCGATCATTAGTTGATAAATTCGAACTGGCGCGCAAGCAGTTTACACTATCATGATACTTATGATATTCATCAAAAACAAGGAACAGATATAATAATTGACTTCAGAGCCTAGCTTCGAAAACTATTCAACGAATAGTTTTGTGGTCAATAAAGTCCTACCCTACCCTACCTCTTGGAGTTACTGACTGGTTAATGCTAACAGGGTAAAGGCAACGGCTCAAACAAGAATTTCCATTTGACCTTGGATGACCTTGATCTTATGCTAGATTATAGTTCGCTACAAACGAATGTGTTTGGTCTTTGTTTGAACTTAATGTGATAGATACTTCTGATGATACACGAGTTCGAAGTTGGAATGACGGAATATTTCATCGCGATTTTACGGAAAAACTGTTGATCAAACCGGTAAAGTACTTGTTTAAAGCTATAGTACTCTTAGTGGACTATCAATTGGCAGAAGTTCAGATGATTCTTGGCACTGCTGTCAGAAAGCGAGACATTTGTCCGATTGCAACGGAACGCAAAAGCGGCCATAAAGTAAGATCACATACATATATAAATAGCAAATTCTTGTAGGCCATAAGAAGTTAAATATTAAAAATATTTTTCATGGAAAAATCTTTAATGGCCTCTGAGAAAAAAGGCCTCAAAGTTTGAACTTTGACCGCGATTATCTCAAAAAGTACTGATCAGTTTGATTTGAAAATAAGCCCAAACTATTTCTTTTCTTAGGCCCTACAAACCCTGAAAGTTTCACCTCTTAACTCAAAACTAAAATTCGACGACCCTTCTCCTTTCAATTAATCAAGAAGTTCGATCAAAAATGTGATCCAAATACTTAAAAGGTGAAAACATGTAAAGTCTACGAGAGATTTTAACATTATAAACTCGATGATATTCAGAAAAATTAATACAGGAAATGCTAATGATATGAATCTGACTAATTAAGAATTAGATAAACAAAATACTTGGCTCGATTACCGGTCAGTTCACATTGTACCGATTATGTTGATGATTATCATGAAATTAGAATATTGAGTCAAAGTAAATTTTCTTTGCATGTTAACTCTTCAGGGACAATAAACTAGTGTCATGATAGAGAATTGAACTTACGAGTTATGCAATAGCAACTGAGTTGAGTAGATGGTTGAAAGGAGATAGCAAATCAATTCTAAGAACAGAATTCTCTCCTGATCTAATCCAAAGTATCTCTCTACAAGGCTCTTTGACAATTCTGAGGAAAATCGGATAATAATCACCATTGCCCTTAATAGAGAACCATCCTCATGATCTTGAGAATTGAAATTCTAATGATAATTTGATGCAATCATTAGTTTTTAACTTGATAATGATTATCAATGAAAAAGATTGTTAATCAAATCATTGTTACTAATTTGATCATTTTCATTGTTAATTTATTATCTTTATGTAAAAAACTGTACACGTTGTGGTTAATTGTAACCAATTGATTGTGATAAATGTTGAATGCAAATGTCAACTATCATAATGGAAAAGATAATCTTAAAAGATAATTTGAAATTGGATTGATTCAATTATTATAATATAATATTAGTGATAAATAAAGGGCATTGTTTCAAAGTATTAATATTGATACTGAATGATAATTGATTATCATACAGATTCCATATGATGAAAATGGGTGAATAGTAAATCAAAGTTCAGTTTATTTTGATTCTTCCATTAACAGATTAATTGTTGACAATTTAGTATAAAAGTCTCTGAATTGGAGCAGTAGATTCATTCAAGTCTTTAACTTTCTCTCCAATCTAATTAACTAATTGTGTGTTGTGTGAAACATCAAACTTCCAATTAACCATCAAAATGAAATTCTCACTCGCCTTGATCGCCCTTTTCTGTGTCTCAGCAATTAACGCTAAGGCCATCAAAGGTAAGTTGAATCTCGTTCCGTCTCCGTTCAACAATCTTTCTCATGTTAATTAAGTGAATGCTTTATTCCAATTATTAATACAATCATTTTCTTCGAATTCATTTAGAACCAAGCCCATTTGTCCAAGCCATCGTCAACTTTGTCGAAGGATTAGTCAAGAATGTTGAGAAAAACATTCCCGATTGGGATGCATCAGCTTCACTCGAGAAAAACGTGTTGACCGTTGTTGACAAACCTTTAGAATCTGGTGTCTTCCCAGGCTGGAAACCCGATGCTACCATCAAAGACAACCTTGTTAACGCTCTTGAATCATACATCCGATCACTCAAAATCCAAAACTTCGATGAAACCAAGACCGTCGCTGAAAACGCCAACGTTGTTGTTGCCGATTTCCTAAACTCAATTCCCTTCCCATGTAAGTACACAAAATTCACTTCAGCCACTTACCGTTAGTGATAATATCTCTTATTAGAATAACTAACTAACTAACTAATTAACTTTGAATACTATTCAAATTGATAGCATGGATCCCAAAAGAAAACATCCAAAAGCAAATTGTCGACAATCTTCTTGCTGCTCTTAAGAACATCAAAGTCGCTGGATTCGATGTCAACAAGTCCGTTGACGACGATGTTGTCGCCTGGGTTGACGCTTCAATCGCTGGATCTAAAGTAGACCCATCAGCCACTTTGGAAGACGCTGTTAACGCTGCAGTTAAAAACGCTCTTGCCCAAGTCAAATTACCAGGATTCAGTCCATCAAAGACCCTCGAAGAAAATGTTGCCGAAATTCTCGAAAACCTTTTACCCTTCTAAATTATTTCCAATCTATTTAATTATAATTTACTCAACTAAGTTATTCTAAGAAAATGTGAAATTAGATTAAAATAACAAGCATAAAAAACAATTCGACTAACTTTTTCTTTTCAATCAATAAGTGATCTTCATTGATCACTTCAAACAATTATCACATCTTTTTAAGAGCATCAGCCAATATCATATGACCAAAATGGTCACCAATCTCATTTGTTACTATCCAGTGTTCCTTATGAACAGTAGAGTTAATCGAATGGCTCCATTTAAAATGGATTTGAAATGGTAATTTATATGACAGCAAAACATTTTAAAAGTCTCAAAATCAGCCAACTTCTAGTAATCAAGCAGATGACTCGCCTAATCAATGACATTCCCTTTTAGGTTCATACATTTATGTAAACTAAAAAATTATAATGAAAGTTCAATTTATCGTTTGTATTCAATCAAATTCAATTTTCATTGCATAACTGAATGCGTCTGAGTGTGTTACCATTCAAACAGCGTTAAATTCGTGTTTAAGTAAACTAGTGGCTGATGCTCGATGCTCAGGATTTTTGACAAGGCAACGAGAAACAAAACTAAAGTCGTCGAAAAGTTTGACTTTGTAAATATAAATTGACCAGAATTGGGCCATGTTGCCATAAAAACCTGAAATGTATTTTGGAGGCCAACTTTTTTTCGAAGCAGATGATAGACCAATGAATCAAACATTAAATTATAATGTACCTTTGACAATTCATCTCAATGGAAATATAACCTCATTTAACCTTTGAAAAGTTGATTGTCATTTTGTCATTGTCATGCGTGGTCTGATTCACCCAAAGGGTCAACTGCAATTGAAACATTATCTTCGACCACAATGTTGGCCGAAGTTGCCAAATAATCATAATGTTGACACTTCCCTGAGAGAGAGACAAAAGTAGCATCCGTTTGGATTGGCTTGATACCAGTTTTTTTCAAAATATAAAACAGCGTCATGTTAGCGCGGTCGAATTTGTCTCCTCCATGGAAAATATTCTCAATATTCAAATCGCCACCCAAAATAATGGCATCTACGGGGGGACTATGTATGTTGTCAGCATCGACACCACCAGACAACAAACGATGGAGTGTTGCATATAAAGTAGATAGAAACCATAGAACTTCAGTTTTAGACCTTTCAGTGAAATGGATGTTGATTGCCCCAATATCCATTGTTTTTGCGTCTTTAACAACACGGCAAATAGTAACCTGGATATCTCCTCGGCCACAACTAAATGGTTCAATCGTATTTCCGCTTTTTTTCGCAAAGCAAGTGGCTAAATCCTTTATGGCCCGATAGTACAAATAATTGCGGCGACCATAAGATTTCTCGACGCGATTGTAACGTTGTCCCGTTGTCCCGTGTAAGGCAGCAGAGTTTGAACTTGGGAGTTCCTGGAAAAACATTAAGATTTGATGTTTTGGAAGAAATTCTCTATTAACTCTCTCCACACAAGGCCAAAAAAGTTCTTTTTGATTAATATTGAACGATAGTAAAAAAAAAGAAGACATTTTAATGTTTGAATAGAAATGAAAATGAATAATGAACAACAAAAAATTCGCTTTAATATCCTTTGACTATTCTAATTCCAAGCGCGCGTTTTTCAAAAATTTATCAAATCTACGCAAAAACAACTCGGAGCACCAAATTTCAGCGCTGCTTCTCTAATTTTGGCTTGATTTTCTTCATGATATTTCCTGGTCTTTATTGTTTCAGGTGTAAAATGATCTTTAAGAAAAACCTTTCGGAAAACCTGAAAAGAAAAGCAATAAAAACAGAATTAATTATCAACAATCCAATGAAATAACTACAACAAACTACTTACCAAAGCATACGGATGATCGAGACAATATCGACATGATTTGAGGAACTTTCGTGGAATTGCGGCCTCTGGAGGTGCTATATCAGCAAGATAACCACGAATAATGGAAATGCGTTCTTCTCTCCGCTGGGTCTTTTTTGGAATTTGGTCATTCTGAATTGAGGCACGAGAGGTTCTAAGATTCATTCTTTGCCTCCTGCCTGAAGATGATGAAAAACCACGAGTCGACTTGGCTTTGATTTTTCGAGATGAATCATGAGGAGATGATGATGTAGAGGGTTTTTCGATGGGTGAAGAAGAACAAGATGAATCGTGAGGAGATGATGATGTAGAGGGTTTTTCGATGGGTGAAGAAGAACAAGATGAATCGTGAGGAGATGATGATGTAGAGGGTTTTTCGATGGGTGAAGAAGAACAAGATGAATCGTGAGGAGATGATGATGTAGAGGGTTTTTCGATGGGTGAAGAAGAACAAGATTTGTCTATTCTTTGCCTCTTTAGAGATGATGTGGATGGTTCAAAAATTCTTTTCCCAGTTACAGGGGATGGAGAAGGCGTGAAAATGTCATTAGGTTTTTGAGATGAAAAACGAGATGAATCATGAGGAGATGATGATGTAGAGGGTTTTTCGATGAATGTAGAAGAGGAAGATGTATCATCCGATGATAGAAAGGGTTTCTCGATGGGCGATGGAGAGTGGGATGATTCAGTTGGTGATAATGGTCTTCCATCCACTGTCTCTGTTAACACCTTATTGGCTGGTGTTTTGTCATGAATAATACCTGAATAGAAACAAATGATATAATTAATTTAGATTATTAAACCAGAAGAAAGAACAGCAGAAATGATACTTACTAATCGAAAATCCATCACTTTTACATGAAAACTGTAACATTTTTACTAAATACAAGAATGACAATTGGTTGATAGTTAAAAAACAAAAATCAAAATTAAATAAACAATATCAATAAACAATGACAAATATTCTGGATCTGAGATCTAGATTATCGGATCTCAGTCCTTACCTATTGCGCGATTTTTGATTAGTTTTTCACTATCTTATCACTACTTTTGCCAAAACTGTAGCCAGAAAGATATTAACTTTATTATTAATTATTGTAAGAAATACAAATTCAGAAAGGTGAGATAAATGCAAATAATTGATAATATATTCCAAATGAATAATGACCCCAAATTAGTTAAAACAAAAATTAAGTAATGAAGTTATGATTTATGGTTTTCGGTAAGTACGGTATGATTCAGCTAACAACGCAATCAACTCCTCTGTGATGCATTCCGAAGTGTAATGGCGTTTAAGGTTGGTCATCGATTTAAACGCCCCATAGCAACCAGAACACACTAAACTGGAAAATGGATTTGAAATGGTAATTTATATGACAGCAAAACATTTTAAAAGTCTCAAAATCAGCCAACTTCTAGTAATCAAGCAGATGACTCGCCTAATCAATGACATTCCCTTTTAGGTTCATACATTTATGTAAACTAAAAAATTATAATGAAAGTTCAATTTATCGTTTGTATTCAATCAAATTCAATTTTCATTGCATAACTGAATGCGTCTGAGTGTGTTACCATTCAAACAGCGTTAAATTCGTGTTTAAGTAAACTAGTGGCTGATGCTCGATGCTCAGGATTTTTGACAAGGCAACGAGAAACAAAACTAAAGTCGTCGAAAAGTTTGACTTTGTAAATATAAATTGACCAGAATTGGGCCATGTTGCCATAAAAACCTGAAATGTATTTTGGAGGCCAACTTTTTTTCGAAGCAGATGATAGACCAATGAATCAAACATTAAATTATAATGTACCTTTGACAATTCATCTCAATGGAAATATAACCTCATTTAACCTTTGAAAAGTTGATTGTCATTTTAAATGGAGCCATTCGATTAACTCTACTGTTCATAAGGAACACTGGATAGTAACAAATGAGATTGGTGACCATTTTGGTCATATGATATTGGCTGATGCTCTTAAAAAGATGTGATAATTGTTTGAAGTGATCAATGAAGATGAGCCATTGATTGAAAAGAAAAATTTGTGAGTCGAATTGTTTTTTATGCTTGTTATTTTAATCTAATTTCACATTTTCTTAGAATAACTTAGTTGAGTAAATTATAATTAAATAGATTGGAAATAATTTAGAAGGGTAAAAGGTTTTCGAGAATTTCGGCAACATTTTCTTCGAGGGTCTTTGATGGACTGAATCCTGGTAATTTGACTTGGGCAAGAGCGTTTTTAACTGCAGCGTTAACAGCGTCTTCCAAAGTGGCTGATGGGTCTACTTTAGATCCAGCGATTGAAGCGTCAACCCAGGCGACAACATCGTCGTCAACGGACTTGTTGACATCGAATCCAGCGACTTTGATGTTCTTAAGAGCAGCAAGAAGATTGTCGACAATTTGCTTTTGGATGTTTTCTTTTGGGATCCATGCTATCAATTTGAATAGTATTCAAAGTTAATTAGTTAGTTAGTTAGTTATTCTAATAAGAGATATTATCACTAACGGTAAGTGGCTGAAGTGAATTTTGTGTACTTACATGGAAGGAATTGAGTTTAGGAAATCGGCAACAACAACGTTGGCGTTTTCAGCGACGGTCTTGGTTTCATCGAAGTTTTGGATTTTGAGTGATCGGATGTATGATTCAAGAGCGTTAACAAGGTTGTCTTTGATGGTAGCATCGGGTTTCCAGCCTGGAAGACACCAGATTCTAAAGGTTTGTCAACAACGGTCAACACGTTTTCTCGAGTGAAGCTGATGCATCCCAATCGGGAATGTTTTTCTCAACATTCTTGACTAATCCTTCGACAAAGTTGACGATGGCTTGGACAAATGGGCTTGGTTCTAAATGAATTCGAAGAAAATGATTGTATTAATAATTGGAATAAAGCATTCACTTAATTAACATGAGAAAGATTGTTGAACGGAGACGGAACGAGATTCAACTTACCTTTGATGGCCTTAGCGTTAATTGCTGAGACACAGAAAAGGGCGATCAAGGCGAGTGAGAATTTCATTTTGATGGTTAATTGGAAGTTTGATGTTTCACACAACACACAATTAGTTAATTAGATTGGAGAGAAAGTTAAAGACTTGAATGAATCTACTGCTCCAATTCAGAGACTTTTATACTAAATTGTCAACAATTAATCTGTTAATGGAAGAATCAAAATAAACTGAACTTTGATTTACTATTCACCCATTTTCATCATATGGAATCTGTATGATAATCAATTATCATTCAGTATCAATATTAATACTTTGAAACAATGCCCTTTATTTATCACTAATATTATATTATAATAATTGAATCAATCCAATTTCAAATTATCTTTTAAGATTATCTTTTCCATTATGATAGTTGACATTTGCATTCAACATTTATCACAATCAATTGGTTACAATTAACCACAACGTGTACAGTTTTTTACATAAAGATAATAAATTAACAATGAAAATGATCAAATTAGTAACAATGATTTGATTAACAATCTTTTTCATTGATAATCATTATCAAGTTAAAAACTAATGATTGCATCAAATTATCATTAGAATTTCAATTCTCAAGATCATGAGGATGGTTCTCTATTAAGGGCAATGGTGATTATTATCCGATTTTCCTCAGAATTGTCAAAGAGCCTTGTAGAGATACTATGGATTAGATCAGGAGAGATATTCGTTTCTCGGAATTGATTTTCATCTCCTAAACACGTAAATCAGTTCATAACTTGATGGGTTGAATTTCTATACCAAAGGCAGATTAGTTGTTTGGTTCTGATGCAGTGAAAAACAGAGAAGAAAAAAAGTTTAATTATAAAACTCATTTCCAAGTTTCAAGGAAACACAGAGGATGATCAGAAAGTGTATCATATTGGACCTAATACCTTCCGTTTCACGAAATTCGTAATGCATTTCAAGCTCCTGGTCAATTTACCTTCCAGTCAAACTTTTCGACGACTTTAGTTTTGTTTCCCGTTGCCTTGTCAAAAATCCTGAACATCGAGCATCAGCCACCAGTTTACTTAAACACGAATTTATCACTCGAGCTTTACCAGTTAACAATTTAATAGCCATGATCCAAGAGGCTAAAATAATTCAACAGGAACACTTTAAACAAGATTGGATCGGTGATGAAGATGTTGATGCATCAACCATGGTACCAAATTCAATCAAACCTCTCAACAAAAGCTTCCTTCCGTTCATCCGAATCAATCAACGCTACAACAACAACACTCTCAATATCAACCAATGTCTCGTGCAATTATGTTAGAAAGTGATTTTGAATTTCTTTGTTATTTATCGCTGGACGAACTTCGCAAACGAATGGCAAACCTTGACTTTGAGATGGAAAATGAGATCGAAGAGCTGAGACGTCGATATGCAGCCAAAAGACAACCGATTCTCGATGCTATTGATACCAAAAGAAAACGACAACAAAATTTTTGACAATAATCGAAACCGAATTAAATGAAAATATAAAATTCTACAAGAGGGATTGTTTTTACTTACACATAGAACTGGACTCAAATTGACCAAAGTTTGATAAAAAGATACAAAAAATCATGTTCTATCGATTTATAAATAATCCAATTCTTGAAATGAATTAGTCAATTTAGTATAATTTATAATGTAATTCCCAATAGTTTTACTCGGAGCTTTATTCACATGCATTAATTAAGAATTAAGAAGTTAAGAATAACTTTTCCAAAGGTCTTGAAATCCATTTTATAAAAAAAGTCGAAGATTAATTAAAATCAAACTCAACCAGAATTGAATGAATTAGTTAAAACAATCAAAACATTATTGATTAACAAAGAGCATTGTTCCAAAGTATTACAGCGATTTCAAAGTTAACAATTGTGATCGATGGTTATTACGCAGATTCCCATTTGTGGAGATAATTAAATGGTAAATCAAAGTTCAATTTATTTTAATTCTTCTATCAGCAGATTGATTGTTAACAATTTAGTATAAAAGTCTCTGAGAGCAGTCGATTCATTCAAGTCTTTAACTTTCTCTCAATCTAATTAACTAATTGTGTGTTGTGTGAAACATCAAACTTCCAATTAACCATCAAAATGAAATTCTCACTCGCTTTGATCGCCCTTTTCTGTGTCTCAGCAATTAACGCTAAGGCCATCAAAGGTAAGTTGAATTGCTAATTACTATCATTTTGAATAATAATTTATGTTTGATTTTCCTTTTATTAAATCTATTAGATCCAAGTCCATTTGCCCAAATCATCATCAACTTGGTTGAAGGTTTAGTTCAGAGTCTTGAAACAAACATTCCCGATTGGGATGCATCAGCTTCACTCGAGAAAAACGTCATAACCGTTGTTGATAAAAAATTGGAATCCGGTGCTTTACCAGACTGGAAACCCGATGCACCTATTGAAGAAAACCTTGTCAACGCTCTTGAATCATACATTCGATCACTCAAAATCCAAGATTTAGATGAGACCAAGACCATCACTGAAAACCTTGACGCTATTGTCACCGATTTCTTGAAAACTGTCCCCTTCCCATGTAAGTATTGAGCCATTCATTTAAACATCACTTGTAAATGTAAACCTTATAATCAACTAACTAACTCTCAATTGGAATCAAATGAACAGCTTGGTTCACAAAAGACGACATCCAAATGCTTCACGACCAAATGGTCCAAAATGCTCTTGAGGCTCTTAAGAACATCCATTACCCAGGATTTGATGTCAACAAGTCAATCGATGACAATGTTGTCGCTTTGGCCGATGCAGCGATCGCTGAAGCTAAATTAGACCCAAAAGCTTCATCGGAAGACGCTGTCAACGAAATCATTAAACAAGCTCTTTCAATGGTAGATTTACCTGGATTCAATCCATCAAATACTCTCGAACAAAATGTTGCCGATATTCTCGCCAACCTCTTACCTTTCTAGACTATTTCCAATCTAATTCTAAATGATTATCATGTAGAATCAATTGTAAACCATGAAATAGATTGAATAAAATACATTCGATTTCAAAACTTTTTCACCGCAAACCAAATTTCCCATTATCTAATTTGATTATTGTGAATCATTCCAAGATATCTAATCTACTTCTTGAATGATTCATTAATAGATCAAAATCCAATTAAAGTAATCAAACAATCAAATTAATGTCAAAGGACTATCATTGATTAACATAAATATTCAAAGTTCTAATTCCAGAAATAATTGACTAGGACTTAAACGGCATTAATTAAACTCAGTTCCAGACATAATCAGCAATTCCAATCACCTTGACAATACCTGATTTTTTTTATTCTTTTTTATTATTGATTATAATTGTCATTAATTTCTTTCATATCATCAGCTGATAGATGATGAAGCTTATTACCCAACTTGTTGATTACTCGAAATCTAACAATTAACAATAAGCGGTAAACTTGATTTGATGAACAAGAAATTTATCTAAGTTGGTAACAAGTTTACAGTTAATAAACACCAATTGTTACAATAATCTTATGCTTCAATCGAGTTACTTTTATTTGATCAGATGAATCTAATTTCTGTGTAGTAACTAATCAATTTTGATCATAAAACAAAGTGTTCAAATGTTATCAAGGGCAACTGATTAATCTTGAATGATTTATCTAACAATTTACCAATGTGATGTCAACTGAATAAAACATTGAGCTTCATTTGTCTAACATTTACTTACATTTAATTGTGACAAAATGGTTTACTATTTGATGGTCTCTTTGCTATTTTTGGTTAATTGCTGCATTTGTGCCGTGGTGCCAATACTTTCTAATGGAGTGGATGAGGTGCTGAATGTTGGTAACAATTTACTTGGAGGTGGAGGACTTGCTGATGCTCATCGAACTCCTTGTCAGCTGATTGAATCTCGTAATTTCATCTGTGAGGAGCATTTTGTCACCACTCCAGACGGTTATGTCTTAGCCATTCAACATGTAATTAATCCTGTCTACACATCCAATAAGACCACAATTAAGACAATTGTCTTAACCCATGGACTATTTGGTTCAGCGACTCATTGGCTTATCAATTCTGAGGGGGGATTTGCCACTGATTGGACAGGAACAGTAGTTGACGTTAACCTGGACATCGAAGGACGAAATGCACCCTACCTGTTATCTAACAAGGGATATGATGTTTGGATTCCTAATTTACGAGGGTGTAGATATTCAAGAAATCATACTCATCTTAATCCCAATATTGATGGTGAGTTTTGATTATCAACTGTGATCAGATGAATTGTTTAACTTTTTCTCAACATTAGATGAGTTTTGGAGATTTTCATTTGAACAAATGATTACTTATGACGCACCAACAATCATTGATTACGTTTTAAAGCAAACAAATAACGGTAAATATTTCGGGTTTAAGTTGAATTGGAAAACTGTTCTAATTATTCAGCTTTATGATTCCACTATTAGATCAACTTGGTTGGATTGGCCATTCTATGGGGACTACAATAATATTCGGTTTGCTTGTAGAGCAACCTGAATACTCAAAGAAAATAAATCCTTTTATAGCATTGGCACCGGTCGCTTATGTTGGACATATAACGACTCCGATTCGGCCAATTGCTCATATACCTGGACTAAAAGAGGCTTTAACTGTTGGTGGAGGTGAAATCAATCTACCTAAGCCCCTAATCGATCTTGCTGCTAGTGAATTTTGTACTCGACCTTTAGTGGATCAAACTTGCGCTTCTATTTTTTACCTTATCGGTGGATATGATCCAGAACAGTTCAATATAACTCGAATATCTGTCTACGTGGATGGAGGTTTCTGTGGCACTTCGTCCTGGACATTAAATCATTATGCCTACAATTATGTGAACGATCAATTTGCTAGGTATAATTTTGGGCCAATCGGTAATCTCGAAAAATATGGTTCAATCGATCCACCGAAATATAATTTAAGTGCAATTAATTTGGGAAATATTGTTCTAATTACTTCTGACTTTGATCCATTAAGTGATCCAACTGATTTAATGACATTGAAAAAGTCACTGAAAGGTAAATATAATTAACCTCGATTCAATAACTATCCCATAATTAATAATCATATTTAATCCCTCATTGTAGTGCCTTTCATTGAATACTCTGTACCATATCCGAAATTTTCGCATTTGGATTTCCTTTGGGCTAAGAACGTCTATTCGCAAGTTTATGAGCCAATGGTTCGTTTTCTTAAGCAATTCGATTGACAAACAATACTAGAAATTGTCCAATAATTATTATTAATAATATAATACAATGTATAACCAATATTAATCCCAGAATCAATACTTGAGGTTGTTGCTTAGACGATTGTTTCAAATGATCGACTAACATTGATCACTCGAAAATTATAACTGTACAATAATTACAAAGAAATTCATAAAACTGAATGAAAATGTTTACGATTCAAAAACTTTTTTCGCTGAAATTAACTAAACCCCAAAGTTGGAGTCTCATAATTGAGTATAAATTTGATTCTGACCACCAAATGACCTTGAAATCGTATCCTAACAGAATAACCTTTATTTTAAAATATGACAATTAAATATCGCCCAAACTTCCATAATTAGATTCTGGGGTCTAAATCTCGAAACAAAAACTTTTCTCAAGAAAAACTTGGTAAAATGTCCTCTACAAATTTCATAACTCCAAACTTGATGTTATGAAATTTCAAATAAAATTGTTAACATTTCAATTTGAATCACCCGCTGATCATCTCACTTAATTGTCACAGGTTTTGGTCCGGATAAATCACTTTGTTCAAATGTGAAAACCATTCTCACCACAATCTTTAAACATTTACCAGGTTAATTGCTACCAGAATAGTTTAATTAAATGGATAATCAACTAATTCGAGCCATTTTTCAATCATTCAATAATATTGTTAGTACTTTAAATAATTGGATACTCATTTGATTGATTTGATTAGTCGAAATTTTTAATTTCTTTTCGTTTTTATATTAAACAAGCAGCAAATTAAAAACAATCGATCATGTTATTTATTAATATTCATTCAAGATAATTGTATTAATTTGTTTTTACAGAGATTTTAAATATTGTGGGGGTGGGTTACCGGAAATTCCGGTCTAGAAGCGTATGGTTTCTTACTACTAGAGGTCAGTGGGTCAGAAAGTATGGAAAAGTTATCGATAAAAACGATTATCTTTGTACCAACATTTCGAGGTAAAAGGTTAGATTGACACCGAGGCTTAATTGGAATCTAATTATTTGTTACCTATCATTTAAACGAGCAAGATAATTAAATTTAAATTCGTAGAACTGAATAAATCATCAGTGATAATTAATGAAAATTCTAATTTTTCAGTTGATTAGTTTATTAATAATCTGATTACGATCAAAGTCTAGCTAATGTCTAATTAAGGTACGTACAAATGGACTTGCTAATAATTATGATTAAATAATTGACCATAATTTTTAACAATCAAATTCGTAATCTCTACGATAATCAAATCGATAATTTAATCTTGCCTATGATTATATAAATATTAACTCTGTGAGTTTTCATTCACTTCAGTTCAATATTTGATTGACAGTTAATTACGAAGTTGATTAGACCAATTAATTAATAACAAAAAAAAATGAATTCGATTGTTTTAATTAGTCTCTTGTGTCTTTCTGTCACATCATCAGCTTCACATCTTGGACATTTCCATGAAAATCAAATTTCCTTATTCAATAAAGATGGTAAGTTAATTGAGTTAATTGAATTTAAATCAATCAGCAACTAATTGTGAGTTAATTGTCTCAGCTCCTGGACCAATTGGTGACTTAATCATTAAAGTTGTTACATCTTTAGTCGTACAATCTGAGCAACTTTTCCCAGGTAAGATAATTGAATTTCAGAACGAAAAAGTTCAATCAAATTTTGAATCAATTTTAGAAAATCAGTTGAATAAAACTTTGTCTTGGACTTTAATTAGGTTGGAATGAGACCAAATCACTCGAAGAGAATCTCGAAAACATAATAGACGCTCCATTGAGAGTCGACGGAGTACCAGGTTCGAAACAATCATTAGAACATCGATTTTAATCATCGAAATTAATTGTATTAATATCTAATATTCAATAGCCTGGGATCCTGATGCAACAGTCGAGGAAAATTTAGTCGCTGGAATAAGCTTCTTATTAACCATTATTCCACTTCCAGGTAAATTGTAATGACCAAATTCACAGAATTTAATGATTAACTAATTGTTCTCAATTTCCAATTCAATCAGAAAATGACCGAAGCAAAACTATCGCTGAAAACGTTGCTAATCTCATCAATGATGCTTTCGCCTTAATCCCATTTCCAGGTAACAATCTTAATCTATTAATACCTTAATTGTTTTAATTTCAAGCAAATTGATTAACTGATTTACATTTAAATTCAGCTATTCCAATCGTAATCACAAGGCAACAAGTTAAGCAAAAAGTCACTGATCTGATCAAGCAAATCCTTGCTTACATACCAGGTAAGCCCATTAATCAAATGACTTATTGAATTGATCCGATTAAATTATCTAAATTGTGGTTGAATTAACTTTAATTGTTAGGATTGGATGTAAATAAAACACTTCAAGCAAATGTTAGATCTTATGTAAAGGAGATTCTCAAAATCGCCAAAGGTAATTAACTAATTAACATAAAAATGGACCAAAATCCTCTAATTTCCTAATTGATTAATTAAATTGAATTTTCTTTTCAACAACAATTTATATCCAGGAATCGACTCTTCAAAAACATTGATTGAAAATATTAACATTGCAATTGAAACAACTCTTGATCAAATTAAATTATCAGGTATTCAATTAACTATTCAATTGTTGTAACAATCAAACTAATCAAATGTTTAATTGTTCATTAGGTTTCAATCCGGATAAAACTCTTGATGCCAATGTTATTGACGTTTTAACTGATTTTTTTACTCGATTACCATTTTAAAGATTAATTGTTGTACCAATCAGTTGATTGTAATCAACAATTGATAAACTGAAAAAGTAAATGAATTAAAAAGAAATCATTTTAATTGCTACAAAAATCTCTAACTAAATCAAGTTTAATTTCTCGATAAATAATTAAATCAACTGATCCAAAAAGAAATGATGTTAATTATTACAAAGATAAAAATATAATTACAAACGATGATTAACTTAATTGTTATGATAATATTATCATATAATAACATTAACAGATTGAAATTTCGTATGATTAAAGATTAAACTGAATTTAGGTGTAAATTTAATTCAGTTAAATTATGAGATCATTTAAAAATACAAATTTCGATTAATATTAAAGGTAAATGAAGTTAATTGTTAAAACGGTGCGTTGGTGTAATCTAATTAAAAAAGATTAACAAAGATTGTGATATTAATAATTGCGAGAGTAAATTGTATTAATATTAAGTTAACACCCTTGATAATCATTGAATGAAGTAAACACGTTTAACCCTTTTAATTGTGATTATATAAAATGAAGCCATTCTGATGATTATGAACAATGCGATTACTTTGATTGACAATGAACATGTAATATATTTGCTGAATTGTAATGATTATCATGATGATCATCAACACCAGGAAGGAAAGGTAAGTTAATTTGATTTAGTTGGTGAGACAGTTGATTAGAGAGAGAGAGAGATAAACATCATGCTGATATTTTACAAGGAACTGAATCAACATGTTGATACGATTTCAAGGAACCAGAAAAGATGATGATGAGATGAAGATAAGAATAAGAAAATAATAAGAAGATCAACATGATTGAAGCCTCATTTGCTCCGAATTTACCGAACCGTTGACCTTATTTCTTAAAGACTATCATCATTTTCTCCACCTTCTTCATCTTCATCTTCATCATCATTCTTATTCTTATTCTCTTTCTCCTCCATCTTATATTTTTCTCTCTCTTTTTGTCTTCTTTCTCTCCTTCTCTCTCATTTTCTTTCTTTTCTCAATGATCCCAATAACAGAAACTTTGGATTCTCAGTTAATCTTAGGCTTCATCAGAAGCAACTTTAGTTATCTTTTTACAGGTAACTTTTAATTCACCTTTTTCTCCATGTTAAACTGACCATTGTTACTATTTGTGTCCTTTCATCTTTCTCTCTGTATTTAAATCTCTCTATTTACTAATCGACTGATTATCAATTAGTTTAATCATGTCGAAAACAAAGATTAATCAGTTTTACAACGATAGTAATTTAAAGTTCAACTTATTAACTGCATCATTTTGTCTTTTAATTGTTTGCTATTTAATTCAAATTGTTCATCTTATTGATGGAAGTGATGATATAATTGAAACTGGTAGGTTAACGATCATTGTGACAAGTTAATTACAATTAGTTAATTATCTTTCTTTTTTTTTCAATTGTTCTATTGTGCCATTGAATTTCCCCTGGTGATTTGTTGATTAGGTGCTGTTGAGGGAATCCCTTGTATATCTAATGGTAAATTTTACCGTAATCCTGAACAAATTGGTATTCGAGACTGTGCCAGGTACTATTGGTGCCCTCGGGGTAAAGTTCTTGAATTTCGATGTTCATCTGGACTTTGGTTCGATGTAGATCGACAAATTTGCGACTTCAAGTCCAAAATTCCGACAACAAATTGTGAAAAATCTCATGGTAAGCTTAATCATTTAGCTGATTAAAAATAAATTTCTTCCCTAATCCAATTTGATGATCAGTATAAACCTGATTAGATTTGAAATTTATATAAATATAAGATTAAAGAGCGAGAAATTGATTCTAATTGGTAGGAGTTTATTAATTAAAACACAAAAATGACCTTAGGTTAATCTTTCAAAGGTCAAATCGTATAGTTAATTATGATTAGGTTGATGGTCAACCAATTGCTTGACATATATAAAAACAATCAACAAAAGTTGATGATGGTAAATGATTAAAACCTGATATTGATTAATCAAGAATCTTAATTAACGAAACGAAAACGAAAACGAAAAAAATGAAAATTAATTTCTTTCTCAAAAGTTTATCGTTGATAAACAATTAATCATTTTCGTTTGTCTGTTAAAAGTTCATCTAATCATTTGATTAGTTGCAATCATTGGAATTAAATTGGTGAGATAATTAATTTCAATTAAATCTAATTAGATGCATCAACACCTCGACCACTTTTGGCTACCGAAAGTCCAATTTGCCCTGAAGGTCAATTAGCTTGTGCAGATCGTAAATGTCTTAATCGTGATGTCTTTTGCGATGGTACAACTGATTGTAACGATGGTTCCGACGAATCTTATTGTGATCCAGAAAACGATCCCAATGCACCAGGTCGATGTGATCTGAACAATTGTACTTTACCCGATTGCTTCTGTTCAGTTGACGGAACTCGAGTACCAAACGACCTTAAAACTGAGGAAACACCACAAATGGTGATAATTACCTTCGATGATGCGGTTAATAATGAGAATTGGGATATCTATCAATCGGTTTTCACACCAAATCGAACCAATCCCAACGGATGTCCAATCAGATCAACTTTTTTCCTCTCTCACGAATACACTAATTATCGACATGTTCAAAAACTCTGGAATGACGGACACGAGATCGCCGTTCATTCAATTACGTAAGTTAATCATCATTTGATATTTTTCGTTTAAAATGAAACAAATTAACCAGTTAAACGCAATTAAATTTTACCGATAATTATTATGTGATTAATATCAAGGTCCTGTTATAACCTTGATTATGTTTATCCTGATTAATTAACAAAAAACAACAGAAAATGATTAACTTGATTAACTTCACTCAGGTATTTCAACAAAGGTGCAATCGGTTGAAAATGTGATGATCATACAGAACTGATTAACTTGATTATCCTTGATTTTTTTTAATCAGTTGATTGATTTACTTCTAGTGAAACCAGTTACTCCCTTGGTTAATTAACAGAGACACTAATTAAAAGTTGGGCTTCTAATTGTAATAATTGTAATAAGTTAAGGATAATTGGTAAAACTAATTCCCAAAATCAGATTTACTAAAAAGAGGACGTAAATTAGTGTTTTGATTTTGTAAATCAGTTCACCAACAATTAAGAGACAGCTAATTGCTGGATGGAAGACAAGAGACAATTAACTTTTTGTATTCAAATTGTATTTAAAGCACTAATCCTAATTTAGTCATTGATTGTCTACAATTAAGATTTGATCATGTCTGAGAATTTTTTTTCGTAAAGATTAATCTTTAATTAACTTACTATTGATCAATTGATTGGCAACTTAATTGTTTCATTTTTTTCCTCTTGTTTATAGTCATCGACAACCTGAACTTTGGTGGACTTTCAATGCTACAATCGAAGATTGGTTCGATGAGTTCGCGGGAATGGCCAATATAATTAACAAATTCGCGGGTATCCCATTGGAGGAATTAAGAGGAACTCGAGTTCCATTCTTAAGAGTAGGTTGGAATACTCAGTTGATCATGATGAGAGAGTTTGGTTTCCTTTATGATTCCTCGATGGTTCCACCCAAATCAGATCCACCCGTTTGGCCTTACACATTTGACTTCCGTATTCCTCATAAATGTGCCGGTTCTCTGCAAAAATGTCCATCACGATCTTTCCCCGGCATGTGGGAAATGCCCATGAATCCATTAGATATCGAGGTGAGTTCTCATTTTCCGATTTAATTTCTCTCTCTTTTCTTATTACTGATCATTTGTCTTTTGTTTTCTCTTTCTTATTAGGGTCATACTTGTGCTATGGTCGATTCATGTCCAACTCACCTTTCAGAGGAAGAACTATTGACCTTATTCTTGGATAATTTCAACCGTCATTATCGAACCAATCGAGCACCGTTTGGACTTTTCTTCCATACAGTTTGGTTCAAGGATAAGAAAAATTTCAAAGTATTCCAACAATTTTTGGATGAGTTAATCAAGAAGCCCGATGTTTACATTGTCACCAATTATCAGGCCATCGAGTGGATGAGAACACCAACCGCTTTAGGTCAACTAAAAGATTTCGAACCTTGGAAATGTCAGAAAAACATTGAACCCAATCTAGTGGCCTGTAATCATCCGAAATTATGTAAATTAGCTAGTCGCCATTTGCGAGGTGAAAGATATTTACAAACTTGCTTTGAATGTCCAGAGGTTTATCCATGGGTCAAGAATGAATTTGGTCTTGAATTTAAATGAATCTCAATCAACCCAACACACAATTAACTGTATTTTAAAACTAATTATTTGTAACACTAATGTAATCAAAGACACAATCGGAGAGGTCAATAGAAACTAAATAATTTAACAAAAAAAAACAAGAAATTTATTACAATCAGGACAATCAACTAATCGCAACGACTTTTCCCACTTATCAACAATTTGCTCGGACAATCACTTGAGATAATTACAAGCAATTTATTCAATTAAAATTGTTGAAGAGGCAACAATTACTTTAAATCATATAATCCATTGAGGATAATTTGATTGATGATGAAATGATTAAATAATATTAGATTGGAAAGATGACCAACAATCAGAGACCTTGAATCAGATGTAATTATTATTAACTAGTGATTATCATTTGGTTATGGTTAATTTTGATTACAATATAAGAAATCAATAAGTAATGATACAAAGAAAATCTTAGTCTAAATCTCATTTCTGTTTGAATTGTAAACAGGAAAACTAATCATTAAAGACTCTAATTTGACTCTTTAATAGCAATTTAGCTCAAACAATTAACATTCTGATCACAGTTTTAGGTAAAACTCTCCTCCAGTAGAGCAAAGTTATTCAAAACAACTAAACGTGAGAAATTATGTTTACAATTAAAGATTAAATCATTTAGGGTATTAGTTGATTTTTTCGATTGTTATCATTTGTTGGAAAAAAATTCTAAATGACAATCAATAGATTTTTACATCGAAAACTTCATTCATTGCTCTCTGGAAACTTCGAAAGTTACTCTGGCATATTAATGATCTTTTTCTCGTTCGTACGATATTGGAAATAACGGTGAATAAAAGGTCATATATTGGTCAAGTTTCGTTGTAATTAAGTTTTAATTTTGTCGCAACTTCTCAATCAATAATTGTTATTATTTCTTTGCTTTGAACTTTTCGTTAATCGAAAGAAATGGACCGCAACTCCATCTGGTGGAATAGAAAAAAAAATTCGGTTTCTCGATAAATCGATTTGTTTATTTTTCTTTCTTGTTCCTTGTTTCTTGTTGAAAGGCCAAAGAGATTAAAATTAACGAGAAAGACTTTGAGTGTAAAGTGTTTATTCTAATCTGTTAAACTAATTGATTAACAATTTAAATTGTTGTAAAATTGATAATTTATTGTGTTTTCTTTTCTTAGAATGGAAAATTAATATCGATTAACATCGATAAAGAATATCAACAAAATCGGAACCCCAACCTCTTCCATTGAGAAGAGAAGAAGATGAAAAGACATTAGTGATTATTGTTAATATATAAAAATATATATTTTCTATCATTGGATTTCTGTTTAATTGTAAGTTGTTTCTCCTTTTAAAATCTAATGTTGTCAACAATTTATCTCTCTATTGATAGATGATTATGTTATTTTGAAAATTGTATCTTGACTTTTGTCTCTTTTTGTCTCTTTTGTTTTCTGTCTTTCTGAAAGTGAGGAGAGAAAAAAGAAAACATTTCATTTTGGAAAAAGTAAAAACAACTCAAAATGGCGACTTTGGAAAAATTAAGTGAAGAAGCCTTATCTCGTTCACCGGAAGAAGTTTTTGATATAATCTGTAAATTGGGTGAAGGCTCATATGGAGCTGTATACAAAGCTTTACACAAAGAGTCCGGACAAGTTTTAGCAATCAAACAAGTGCCAGTAGAAAGTGACCTTGGAGAAATAATCAAAGAAATATCCATCATGCAACAATGTGATTCCCCGTTTGTGGTCAAATATTATGGTAGTTATTTTAAAGGTAAAAATCAAGGTAGTGATCTATGGATTGTAATGGAATATTGTGGAGGTGGAAGTGTCAGTGATATTATGAGATTAAGGAAGAAAACTCTAACCGAAGAGGAAATCGCCACCATACTGAAAGACACTCTACTTGGTTTAGAGTATCTTCATGCTCGACGTAAAATTCACCGAGATATTAAAGCAGGTAACATATTGTTAAATAGTGAGGGTCATGCGAAATTAGCTGATTTTGGTGTTGCCGGACAATTAACTGACACTATGGCTAAACGTAATACCGTTATTGGAACGCCCTTTTGGATGGCACCGGAAGTTATACAAGAAATTGGTTATGATTGTTTAGCTGATATTTGGTCTTTAGGTATAACAGCATTAGAAATGGCTGAAGGTAAACCACCTTATGGTGATATACACCCAATGAGAGCAATTTTTATGATACCAACCAAACCACCTCCATCTTTCCGAGATCCTGATCGCTGGTCAACTGAGTTTATTGATTTTGTTTCCCGTTGCCTTGTCAAAAATCCTGAACATCGAGCATCAGCCACCAGTTTACTTAAACACGAATTTATCACTCGAGCTTTACCAGTTAACAATTTAATAGCCATGATCCAAGAGGCTAAAATAATTCAACAGGAACACTTTAAACAAGATTGGATCGGTGATGAAGATGTTGATGCATCAACCATGGTACCAAGTTCAAACAATCAAACCCTTAAACCTCCCGGTGAAACGGCCAATGGAACAGCTTCCAGCCAAAGTATTAGTACCAAATCAGGTACTGTTAAAACGATGACAATAGTTTCCGATGTGGAATCTGATCTTGGTACATTGATAATCAACGACGAATCAGATGACGAGACCGATCGAACCTTAAAACCAGCGTTTATGCAACACTTTGAAAGAAACAGAGACCAAGAAATGAAAGAAAATAAAAATAGTAACCATAACAATGCTGTTAACCGGTCAGAGATGTTCAGCCAATATGGAGATTCAAGTAAGGGATCAACGGAAACTACGACACCTAATTATTCAACCCACGATTCATCTAATCAATCACAGAGACAAATGCATGCACCTCATGCTCAAACTATCCCATTATCGTCTATTCAATCTCAATCTCAACAAAATCTTCCTTCCGTTCATCCGAATCAATCAACGCTACAACAACAACAACAACAATCTCAACATCATCAACAGCAACAACAACAACAACACTCTCAATATCAACCAATGTCTCGTGCAATTATGTTAGAAAGTGATTTTGAATTTCTTCGTTATTTATCGCTGGACGAACTTCGCAAACGAATGGCAAACCTTGACTTTGAGATGGAAAATGAGATCGAAGAGCTGAGACGTCGATATGCAGCCAAAAGACAACCGATTCTCGATGCTATTGATACCAAAAGAAAACGACAACAAAATTTTTGACAATAATCCAACAATCGAGCTTCCATTTTTCAGTCTATCATCATATTTAAACCAAATTATAATCAACTATGAGAAGAGAAGAAAAATAACAAGATTGATCAACCATCACCATCAGCATCATCAAAATCAACAACAATCAACTACAGTCCTAATGCCGTTATCGTTTAACTTTCAATCGAAACCAAATTATATGCACAAGAAAACAGAAAAATCTACAAGAGGAATTGTTTTTACTTACACATATTCTCACGCATATCAATTATTGTTTTTCATCTTCTATCATCATAACTGTAGTAATTAGTTACTACCTTTCTCTCTCTCTCTCTCTCTCTTTCATTTGCTTTTTTCCAAATGACACACTTTCGATTATCATCATCACCATAATCACCATCATCACCTTTTCCTCTTTTTCTCTCTTTTCTCTTTTTTCTCCTCCTCGAGTTAATTAGATATTTTTCTTTCTCTTTTGTGCTAAATCATAGTCATAACATAATCGATTCTAGTTAGCGTAATTTAGAAACAATCAATCCTCTTGAAGCGTTTTAATCATCTATTGATTCCCACTTAATATCTTTTTGTTTGCCATTTCTCAGGTTGACAATTTGTTCCTTATCAGTGAAAAAAAGTGTCTTGTTCATCTTCAAATCTTTCTCTCTTTCTAATCCAATCAATCAATTTAATCATCTTAACTAATAGATTAGTTTAAACCCAAAGGGACGCATGAAGAAGTGATCAAATTAATTCTTATACAGTTTACAATTAGATTGATTAATTACTCCTTTTTTGACAACTACAGAGCTCAGTTTACCTCTTTAATCAGAATATCTAAAACAAATTAGTTAAATCAAATAAACAAAATCAAACACAAATCAATTAATTATGATGTATTAGGACTTTAATTCTAATCACTCAATATTATACTTTTGATATTGATATTTAAATTATCTTTTTGTATGAATAATTTAAACATTTTTTTCTAGGAATTAGCAATAATTGTTACAACAATTAACGATCTCTTTTTTTCTTCTTCATACCTTTTGATTTGCCATCCAACTAAATCATAACAATTAGTTGATTATCCTGCTCTTCTTTCATTGTTCATTACTTTATCTCTCTAATTATTTACACAATCAACTTAATTATTAATCTTTTTACCTGAATCAATTTCTTTACAGATTATCAACCATATGAGAAAAAAACATCAATTTAGTCCTTTCATTCAACAATTTAATTTTAATTACCACCAATCTTTTTTTGCGTTCACTTAATTGTGTACAATTTATTCAAATTTACTTCCATCCGAACTCAACTTTTCTTGTTTACTTTTGTCTTTTTCTTGTCAATCAACTAATTGCTTCTTAAATGATCCAAAGATATTCAAGGAGAAGTTCAAGCGACATGATATTTGGACATTTCGATAAAAAAAACGTCTCGATCTATTTTAGTAAATATACTTTTCGATCAACAAATAAAGTTTATTTGTTGAATAAAATGTAAATTACTTTCGATTACTCTTAATTTTGTTGAAAATTATTCATTTTTGATGTTTAAACAGAGACTCGGAACTTTGATACAATTAAGATTAAGAACAATATAGATAGAAAAGCAATTCTAATCATTGACTAACAATAATAATCCAAGATGATCTATGGTGAAAATTTCTTTACATGTCTCATTTAATTTACATCTTAATCGTTTTACTAATCAGTTTGTGAATTTTTTCTTTATAAATGAAAGCAAAAAATCAACATGATTTTCTCCTGAGCTTGAGCTAATATTGATGATTTGAGACATCATTTTCGGAAGATTATCTTTTCCAGTTGGATAAGTTCATTAATAATCAACAATTGTATTCCATTTTTACTCTGTCTTTTCGTCCTTTGGTCGATTCACTGATTTGTCTGTTTTTGTTTCGGGTTGTTTTTCACTGGATTTTATCTCGTCCTTTGGAAGATCTAACATTTTCTGTAACATGGCCGCTAATTTGGCATTCTTATCCTTCTTTGTGGCCGCTTTAGCCTTGGCTCGTTCTTCCTCTTCCTTCTTGGCTAAGGCCTCTTGGAATCTTGGGTCAGATTTTTCAATGTTAAATCCTAAATATTCACGAACTTGGGCTACTAGTTTCTCGTTTCGTTTCTTAGCCTCTTCTTCTTCAGCTAATTTAACTGCTCTCTTTTCGTAGAATTGAGCAATAAGCTCATCTCTTTGAGCGAGACCTTTGGTGACAAGATCTTCTCTTTCCTTCTTGATGGCTGCAATTCTTTGCTTTTCCGCTTCATTATCTGCCATCAGTTTCTCCAATGATGGATAGAACGTCTTCTCAAATTTATCATAGAAATCTGCTTCTTCTACATTAGGCCAACAAACGCCCGGCTTTAGTCCACTATCTCTTCCATAATAAGCATAGAATTTTTTTACATTTTCTCTTTTATATTTTCTTAATTGGTAAAATTTAACAGGTCCAAAGAGTTGCCTTCTCTCTAATTCTTTCGATTCATCGTCCAAACCTGATCGATCACAAATCTTGGCAATTTGTTCATCATTTAAATGCTCCCAAAGAGCTTTAGGTTCCGGATCAATTGGTTGTAATGGTAACTCATCAACTGACTTTGTTTCACTAGATTTTTTGAACGGATTTTTAATAGGCCATAGAGAAGCTAATCCACGATTAAATGAAACCTAATTAGGTCGTAAAAAAATAACAATCAAATCAAATCAAATTAATTAAAATCCACAATAAAAAATAAACAGAGAAAACTGAGTAGCACATAAACAAAACAAAGAGATAAATCAACAAACCTTTGAAGAATGTGACACAATAGATTTAGACGAAGAAAGTGAAAGTAAACTCATGACTGAAAATTGATAATAAATTAGATTAATTCAAAAATCTTAATCAAATCATAATCGTAATTAAAAGTGTAACAATTTTAATCAAAAAAATTTCAATAAATGTGTTGATCAGATGATCAGTCAGGTTCATTTAGAATCCGCTAGATGGCTCTTCGATTGCTCTTTCATTTTGTCATATGAAGTTTCAATCAAAACAATTGATAATTTAATAAATTGAATTAATTTTTATTCAATTTCACCTAATTGAGAGATTTTTCAGCCAATTAGTCGTTTTGAAGTGATCGAATTTCCTTTAGATTTGATTAACTAAGAAAATCTGAACTTATTTTATTGCAATGAGATGAACAATAACTGAGAATCAACAACGATCAATGAACCAACTATTCAACAAGTACTTAATTGCTCTTTGTGTCCTTTGTATCAATTTGTAATCTAGTCAAGTTAATTAACAACGTGAATTTTGCTTAATAGTGTCATTTGTTATTCCTAATGGTTAGTTCTAAACTCCTTGATAGTTGTGATGGTTCCTTTAATGTCTTTCTACCGAGAGTTACCTCATTATCGATGATCAATAGTAACGGTGTTTTGTTTACTCAAAATGTTTCCAAGTTAACTAATCACTTTTGGAGACACTATGATCTCCGTTCTTATGAAACATCAACTCAGGGTAAACCGAACGAACCCAATTTGGCCTCCGTTAAACACATAACCATTCAAACCTGTGGATCTTTGTACCAGAATTGGAGAGAGACCAGAAAAGGTTATGCTGGTGCACCGAAACAAGGATTAACTTTTAATGTTGAATATGTTGATACTAAAGATTTTACTAATAATGATGAAGCTCCGGTTGTTCTTGCTCTTCATGGAGCTCCAGGTTCACATAAGGATTACGAATCGATGATTAAGCACTTAACACTTAAAGGAGTTCGTATGATTGTACCAAACTTTCCAGGTAACTTGTAGATTTGTCCATCAATCCAACAATTACATCTTTGAATTGAATTTACTGTTTTATTTTAATGTACTTGAAGAATATGATGTTATCCATTCTACTAAATATTTTCGACACTCAACCCATGAGAGAAAATCGTATATTTTGGACTTTCTTAAAGCGATCAAAGTTGATAAGTAAATTGAAATACTGTTAATTGTCCGAACTATCGATAAATATTTCGCTATTCCTTCAGATTAGATATGCTGATAACTCATAGTAGCGGCATTTATCCAGGTCTCGATATTTATGCCAATGAAGGTTTTCCAATGAAATCAATAGTTCTGATAAGTCCAGGGGGACATCGACGTACTCGGGCCATTAAGCCTTCGTGGTTTGCCGATAATATCGCTCGAATTGGGCTCAATCCGGTTGGTAGAAAGATTTTCAATAAATTTGGTAAATATATTCTGAAATTCGGTCGTTCACCAATGCGTCTCGATAATCTCGATGGTGTTTTGTTCAGCGCAGTTATCATGTTTTTTGCAGAATTTGAAAGAGTAAGTGAAGAATTTGCAATTTATTGTTGATTTACAACGAACTATTTATTTAATCTCGATAGTTAGAGGGAAATTTACTAATTGTTGAGAAAAAAAGACCAAAATTATTATTGATATTCGGCGACAAAGATAGAGTCATAGAGAAAGAATGTTTCTATGAAATGGCCTCGATTCTTGGTGCTAATCAATCACATTATTCCAAATACGATGCCAATGGAAATTGTCTCATGAAAGGTAAGTTTCATTCACTTTAATCACTCAGATCATTTACCTAAATTCACTTTAATCATTTGAAATCAAGGAAAACAAGATGATTGGATTAACGTGATCGAGTTTATTGACGGTGGACATTTTCCATTCAAACAATTTCCAACTATCATTAACCAATCCATCGAAGAGCAATTAAACAAAATAAGTCGATAAACTAGCCACAAAACAGCAATTTATCCACTAACAATTAACCAAAAAAAAAGTTAATTTAACTTGATTACCAAACTTTTGAATTTCCAACCCAATAGATGGCTCTGCATCTCTTAAATACTTTGCAACAACAATTAAATGAAAAAAAATCAACTACAATCAAAATTTTAATTCACTTTCACCTTTCACCTTAAAAATCTTCAAATTGTCCAACTAAAATGATTAAACAAACGAAATTATGTAAATGTCAATAACCACCAGGAAAAATTAGAAAACCAATCAAACTAATCTACTAATTAAATGCAACAAATTCAACTGATTAATGATTCAAAAAAATGGGTTATAACTGAATTGGAATCCAATTTACTCCAAGGTAATTTTCTTCAATGCGATTCAATAACTTTGGCGGGAGCGAAATTTTTATTATCTTTGTGTGGCCTTAACAATTTCATTTCGAAAAAAAGTAATAATTATTCAAATTGATTCTAATTATGTTTTCTTTCTCAAATATTTAATCAGGTTCTCAAGATGATTGGATGAAAATAATTCAATTCCAACGAGGTGGACATTATGCATTTTTGAAATTCGCAAATATTGTTAACCCTGCAATCGAACAACTTCTCGGTGATGTTACTTGACAACAGAAACAAATTAAACTCGAAGTAGATTCGATCGGCTGTCAATCGAAACAATCATTGGAATATTCTAATCAAAGTTCAGAGAAACAAGAAGAGCAGGAGAAACTTGTTCGTAAAATGAGATTCTAAGATATTGTGATAACTTTTTCTGGAAAACGATAATCAATTATATCAAGAAATTAACTGTTTTTTAAATGACCAACTTCGAACGAAGTTTTCCAGAAAGCAAGACAAATGTCCAAAAGATTGCAAAGTGATTAATATAAACAAAAAATTAAGCAATTAAAGTTAATTTTCTATCCAATATCTTTCTCGTAATTCTCTGTTTCCCTGAATATCTACAATTCTGACTGATTTTCCGCAATTAAAGTTTTCACCTTCGATAATCATGAACGAAATCTCATTGTTTTAGATTCGAGATCTTAAAAAAACTCATCAATCGAAAATAGTAAACGTATTGTTATCGATAATTAATTAACTGAAATAACCAGAGGTGATGAAGAGGAGAGACTAACAATTAAGTTGCAAAAACTTGTTGATCAAATGATTAGTCTATTTATGTTCACCATAATTCAAATTGATTTGAACCCAAGCAATTAACAACAATTTAAGAGGAAAAACTTATGAATGAGTGAACAAAATATTAATCGTTAGATTGATTGTTTGTTGTAACCAATGAAATGAATTTAACAAATGATTGAAAAGAGATTGTTATTGTCACCTTACCTTTGTCATTTGAATTAAATCAGTTGATTAGATAAGATGACAATTTATTTTGACAATTGTGATTAACCATGGAAAAGGAGAAACAAAAAAAAGAGGAAATCAAAATAAAGATTGAAGATTTACCCAAACAAATCGATCAACAATCAATCTCATCGGAAGATCGTGTACCAAGAAAAAGAAAAATTAAGGTAACTAAATCGAACAACAATTTAAATCAATCAATCAAGTGTTAATTTCTTCTTCTTCTCAACAGTTACATTGGTCATATAAGATCTCCATTTGGTACGGTTATGTGACTACTAAGTTTAGATATCAACTTTTATTTGCTAATTCGTTGTTCCAATTTTCCGTTTGGCTTCATAAATTGTACGAGGACATTGGTCAAGCAAACGAATACAATAATAGCACTGATTTCATTTATTTATCAATCTCGATTCTCATGTTAATCTTACCTACTCTTATGTGTACCTTTTACCTGCTATTAACTCACCTCATTGATTCTCAATTTGTATTTAAACGGAAAAACATAATCGTCCAATTGGTTAATGGCTTCATGTTGGTACCTTGGCAAATCAAACAGTGTCTAGATACTTTACATTATTCTGCCCAACGGATTTGTGACCATGTTTGGTCAGTTTATGAGAGGAAGAAAGTGTTTAACATGGGAATCAATTGTGATCTACTCGAGTTTTTTGAGGACATGTTTTCGGGCTTTCTCGGTATTTCGCTTCAGGTTTACATCATCTTCGTTAACATCGGGTGGACTGGGGAAGAGACTCAAGATAGTAAAATGGGTTTGTTGATGCTTAAAATAAGTTCCAAATCAATTATGATAATTTGACTCTTCTCTCTCTCTCTCTCTCTCTCTCTCTCTCTCTAATCCAGTTACCGGTGAATTAATTGGTTCCATATTAAGTTTACTTTCCATGTTGGAAGCGATTAAACGTCGAGATGATGGTTTCGTTAACGCATCTCTAGCTCGTCTTGGATGGATCTTCATGTTTACCAGTCGGGCTTTGGCCTTTTGTTTGGCTACGACTGTTATTAAATTTTGGATTATTATCTTCATTCTGGTTCATGCAGTTACTTTCAATTGTTGGGTTTTCCATATTGCTCAAGAGTCTTATCTTGATGTCATCATTAACGATGAAAAGGCGATAATCGATTGGAGATGTGGCTCGAAAAAAGGTCAAGTTCTCCTATGGTTATTATCCTTTGTTATCTATGGAATACCATCATTAATTTATTGGCCTTTAATGTTTCAAATGAAAGACGCTGGACGAACTTATACATTTTTACTGATCATTCTCATCGAGAATATTTGTCTTGCCGGAATTTGGACATTTGGTGTCTTCTTTTATCAGATAACTACAATCACCATGTATAACTTAATCTACATGAACTTTACCGTTCTCACCATGACACTAATTTCCATCCTCTGGATTCATCTTTACATGAAAAGAAAACCATATAATGCCGATAAACGAGTTTTACTTGATATTTTACAAAAAGCGAACGAAGCTCAGGCCGAATGTGCCTTCGATTATGGAGTCAGCTACATATTCTATTCAAAAGTGTTCGCTCTTCCAACTTTGAAAACACTTTGGAAATCAGTTCCACCTTATTGTAATGAGGATCGTCTTCTATTCACCATAGAAATTGATTCGAGTGACAATGAGCACGAAAAAAATGAAAATTTCTTCGAATATGAACCAACGAAGATACAAAAGGAAAACAAAGTTAACCTTAAAGAGGAAACAATCAACAGTAATCAAAATCTCCACGGTTATATTAATTATCTTTGTAGTGATGGAATCAGTGATGCCGATGATGAAGATGAAAGTGATGACAATTCACCGAATCCCTTAATATTCACAAGATCGAATTGTCGATCGAAAGTTTCATTAGAATCACTATCCGATTGAGAAATCGAATACAAATAATTAACCTTTGTAGAAATCATCTTCTTTTCCTGTACAATATTGTAACTAGAAATTAATTTAATTACTTTGCCATCAATAAATTCACATCAAATCTAAACAATTAACGCGTAACAATTTCAATTTTTACCTCCAAAAGTTATCAACCAATGGAAAGTCACTAATCAGCTGATTAGCAAAATGTTTGTTTTCATTTTAAAGTGAAAGTTTTTTCTTATAATTTTGGTTAATTGTTTGAATTAAGTTAATTCTTTTTTTCGAGTGAGTCAATTGATCATCACAATTAATCCAATCGATGGCTTGGTGGAATCATATGAACCCAAATTTACTCGTTTTCGGAGTAATCACCTTGGGAAGCGCTTGTCTTGGTTACTATAACTTCAATGAACCTTTAAAAAAAATGGCCGAAGAGCTGAAAGAGGAAAAGGAAAGTGAAAAGAAAAATTTCACCATTTAAATTAACCCAATCAGTTAATTAATCACAGGATGCGATCGAATACAATTTTGTTTTCATCTAATTATCTTAATATTCATTTGGTTGCTCATGGATTTTACATCGAGTAGTTTTGTTTTTGTCTCTTTCAAACCGAATGGAAAACAATTTGATTATTAATAGAATAATAATTGTAAAAGTTGATGATCACTTAATTGTATAAAGAAAAAAATGTCAACTAGTCTTTAATTGTTGCAAGCCAATTGTTCAATTGGAATCATTTCAACAAATGTATGAATTAAACTAAGTGAATATAAATGTTATACAATTGAAGAAACTATTGGCTAATCAACTGATTTGTTATTTTAATGGTTGAATTATTTTTCTCAATAAAATTAATTAAATGATCTGAGACCGTTGATTGTTACTCGATATTTATGGTTAGTTTAAATTTCCTTGGTCTTAATGATCTATTAATAGTCGAGGTTTTGATTAGTGACTGTTGATTATTACAATTGTTTGATTAGAGTTTTTTTATTATTAAATAAAGAGTTTGTTTGATTTGATCATTTTGTAAATAAATTTAGTTTTCCTTGGTTGATTTGATCTTTTTGTTTCAAATGGCAAACAATTCAATTTATTGAAAGGGATTTAATTGCAATTGATCACAAATGACGGAGAGAAAGGTAATTAAGTTAGGAACTAGGAGAAGATATAATGGTTCAGATAATTAGCATGATTCATTTTTCATGATTAGCTAAAAGTATGGAAGCCAAAATATCTCATTAAAATATCCAAAGGAAAATGTTAATTGTGTGATGCACACGGAGAAAGAGATTAAACCAAGTCTAATCAGAATCGATTAAGATGAAACTGGAATCACTAGAGAAAATTAAAATAATGTAATAAGCATTTTGATTGACTGTGAAGTGTATTAACTATTAATAAGATGATCAACAATTGACACGAGAGTCAGGGGAGTCTATGGATCACTGAGAGCAGCAACACCGGGTAGATTTTTACCCTCCAACAGCTCCAACGAAGCTCCTCCGCCGGTGCTAACGTGGCTAACTTGGTCTTCGGTGCCCCATTTAGCGCAACAAGTGGCAGTGTCACCACCTCCGATAATCACAATGGCTCCAGCGGCAGTAGCAGCGACAGCCTCGTCCATGACGGTTTTTGTTGCCTTAGCAAAATTTTCCCATTCGAAAACACCAATTGGTCCATTCCAGACAATTGTCTTAGCTCGTCTAATCACTTGAGCAAATATCTCAGCTGATTTAGGACCACAATCAAGTCCTAAGCAACCATCAGGAATACCTGATTCAACGGTTGCCGATCCAACATTAGCATTCTCATCAAATTTATCAGCTGTAACGAAATCAACCGGTAGGTGAATCTGGACATTATTTGCTTTCGCTTTCTCCATCAACTTGGTCACAATCTTTGCTCCTTCCTCATCAAAAAGAGACCCACCGATTTTCATATTGTTTAATACTTTAAGGAAAGTGAAGACCATTCCTCCTCCGATGATCATTTCATTAACTTTATCCAAAAGATTCTCAATCAATTGGATTTTATCAGCAACTTTAGCACTATTGAAAAAGGAGAAAAACACAAAAATCAATTTGAATTCTAGAAATATTTTCTTGGATATTAGTTTCAGTGAGATGATCATTACCCTCCGAGGATAGCTAAAAATGGCCTTTCAGGATTGTCTAATGCTTTAGCGAAATATTCTAATTCTTTCTTCATCAAGAAACCAGCAGCTTTTTGTGGTAAATTAACACCGACCATCGATGAATGAGCTCTATGAGCAGTTCCAAAAGCGTCGTTAACATAAACATCACCGAGTCTCGTTAAACTGGCTCGGAATTGTTTGATTCCATCTTCAGTTGCCTTGAAGCTTTTACCGTTAGCATCTTTACCTTTACCTTCCTCTTCAACATGGAACCTCAAGTTTTCAAGTAAAATCACCGAACCCTGATTCGGATTAGCACAAGCTTGCTGCAAAGTAAAACAACCAACGTAAATTAAAACTCAAAAGGCAAGTACATGACTGAGTTAACTAACCTCAACCAAAGGACCAACACAATCTTGTAAAAAGATAACGTCACGAACAAGTAATTTGCTAAGCTCCTTAGCAACCGGATCAAGTGAATATTTATCAACATGCTGTCCATCAGGTCGACCCAAATGCGACATCAGAACAACACATTTAGCACCATTATCGAGAGCATATCTAATGGTATCCAAAGCAGCAACAATACGTTGGTTATTGGTAATTTTACCATCTTTCATGGGAACATTGAAATCAACCCTAATCAAAGATGAAATAAAACAAAATTAGAAACACTTATAATTAAACAATTGACAGAAATTACACAGAAATTATCAACAAAAACCTTAATCATCATAAGACAAAAGGATACGATAAATTGAAAGCACAAAGAAAATTTCTTTACCAATTGAAAGAAAATAATTCTCCTTTTTTCTTACCTGATTAAAACTCGTTTACCTTTAAGGTTCAATTTATCGATAGTTAATTTTCGTAGGGTCATGATGGACAATATGGAGAAAACAATTTACTAATTGTTGAAATACTAAACCAAATTAAGGAGAAAACAACAAACGCCCTTGAAAACAAAAGCTTTTCCCTTGTGAGCAAAATCAACAATCCGGTTGAGGGTAAATTCATAAATTACATAACCGAAAAGGGGAAAATTGAGCAATTAAGAAAATTAAGATTCTAAATTTGATTTAATTGGAATTAAATTAATTTTCAGATACTGGAAATGATTGAATGGCAAATTGTTGCTAATTGCGAAATTGATTTAGATTTAGATTTCGGGAAGAAAAAAATCAAATCTATACTGGAGAAAATCAATAAATCAATTGAATTTTGTTTCTTCTCCTTTTCCAATCAATTGATTGTTTGAGACTTTGTTGATTGTTAAATTGTCTACTATTGGTTAAATTTACTTTATTTGGTGTTTCCTTTTTACCTGTTCACTTGTAATTACACCATTAATTACCTAATCAATAGCTTATAATCATCATCATCATTTGTATCAAGTTAAAGGTTACAATCAATTTTGATTGTAACTTATTATCATCTGACTAATCAAAAATTAGACAGAATCAAATCAATGTCAATCTACTGGTAAATAATTAATTGCTAAGAAATTGATTTCGTGATGATCATCATAAAGATTATCCTAATTGTAACAATCACTTTGATTGTTAATATTAACTCACGATCAGATCAAAAAGTGGCAATGATTAAAGACAATTGATTGATAAAAAAATGAGATCACAATTAAAAGGATCAAATGATTAAATCAATTTCTGTTTAACTTGAAACAATTAACTTTACATTGGAAATTGATTATCACATGAAAATTAGATTCAATTAAATTGTGAAGATTATTTTTTCGTCTTGTTAATTGTCACTTCGAGATGAATACAATTAAGATTAATCTTTAATTGTAACAATGATAATCATTCAACATGATTAAGATGAGTAAATTGTAGATCTTAATTGTGATTATAATTTTAAAAAAAGGTAAACACTTCCAACAATTTATATATATAAATATACACCAGAAATAGTTAATTATGATTACGATAGTTAATGATTAAGAAAGGAAAACAGTCTAATCAACAATCATAATAACAACACAATCATAACAATTAAGGTGACATTTTAATTTCATAACAATCAAGATGAACCAGAAAGGAAAAGGTATTAAGAAAATTAAAGTTGATTCTAATTGTTGGGTCGTTGACGTGATTCTTATTCAGATTAACAATTTACTGGAAACAAAATTAAGTGACAACAATCAACCAATTAGTTAAAATGGTTAATTTATCCGCATTTGTTTAATGTTACAAACTGTTAATTGTGAATTAAGATAATCAGTCAACTGTAATTGTACAGAACGAAGTTTATTAAAAATTAACCTTTTCCTTTTAAACTTTTCTTTAATCATTTGATTTAATTTTTTTCCTCAATTTTAAAGTAAATTAACTTTATCATTTATTTAATTGTTATTATTTCCTTTTCCATGATATAAAATCATCATTTACAATTCAATAATTTAGATGTAATTTTATTGGAAACGGCAAACAATCAATAAAAACAATTAACTAATTGATTTTCCAAATTTCTATCTACTATTATGGTGAAAATTAAATAATAGATTAACAAATATTAATTATCAATTAATCTGTACAATCAATTAATTTGTTTATTATTTTTTGTTTTTGACTTAATTGTTGGTACATTTCAAATTAATATAAGATGTTGATGAGATACAATCTTTTTTTGTACATATTAATAATTGTTTTACAAAATCAAAATCAATCCAATTGATTACAATTAAATTACAATCAATTTGATCAAGTTTCTTAGTTTTTTTTTTCTCCAGCCATTTAATTGTTAATTGTTTGATATTGGCTAGTTTAGGTAAATAGAATATAAAAAAATGATGATTAATTACCTCGGTTTGGTATTAATCCAATTCTTAATTGTTGTTGTGTTAATCTTTCTCAATTTATGGGCATCTTTTAATTATCATTTGGTCTCAATTTTTGATTAGAAATCACTTGGGAATAATTAGTTTTGATTTGCTTTGATACAATTTGATTTTAAATTTTCATTTAAATCTAATTGTTCAGTTCAGTTTTTTTTTTCACTTAAATCAATTGGTAATAAAACAAAAAAGTTAATTGATTGTTAGACCTTATTTACTATTGACAATTTAATCTTTTTAAATGGAGAAGAAAAATTTAATTAACCTTAATTGTAACCAGAAAGTGAAGACAAATTAACACAATTGAATAGAAAAATTTTTTTGACTTTGGCTCTAAACTAATTGGGCTTTTTGTTTAAGCAGAAAATTTGATTGTTTGATTAAATTAAATCAAATCATTGATATATTTTTATAGTAGAAAATGTTAAAAAGATTTAGTTTTTACAAATATTATATATTCATTAATAATCTCACAATTTACTATTGAATGATTAAACGAAATAATCAATCAATAGTAAATTGATTTAAGTTTTTCTCTTTCTGGTTACGTTTACATTTTCACATGAGATTATGTTTCTGTTATTGAACTAATCATGATTATTATGATTATCTAATTTTCCATTGATCATGCTGATGATGAAAACAGTTATCATCAGAAATAGATTGTTGTTGTTATGACAATCAATGAAAAATAATCACAATAAACACAATCAATCTCATCTTGATACCCTTAACCTAAACTTTTGTTTGGACAATTAGAAAGATTAAATTGCTATAGTAGATATAAATTTTGTGCTAACAATTGAACAATTAACTTTATTATTATTACCATAAGCAGCATAATAATAATAATAAAGGTAATAATAAAAGAAAGATGATTTCCTGCAGTGATTTGTTTTCTAATTGTTGATTTAGCTGATCTCATTATCACCATTAAATGTTTTTCTTTAATCAATTAATCAATCGTCATCTTCGTCATCACTTTCCCGTAAATCTTTAACTCCATCAACAAATATTGCATTGTGGGCAATTTTCAGAATTAACCAAGTCCAAATGATGTGTAAAACTTGAAGTGCACATAAGAGACCATTAAAAATATAATATGCAGGGAACATTGGAAGGATAAAGAGAGCATAATATGTTGAATAAGCTATCACCCGGGTTGGTAGGAGACCAAGTCTTGAGTAGATCCAACAGACGAGTAGAGCGGCGAATACAATATTAGCTAGTACAGGATTCCTCAGGTAACGGGCAATCTTGGCTCCTTCTAATGGAATGTCGGCAAAATCATGGATGATTAACACAAGAGTACCAATTCTGTGAAGATTACAGGCCCAAGAGAAACAGAGCAGTAAAACAGTGACCACATGATGGATAAACATTTGCCAAAAATCACTATATTTAACGTCAAAAAATTGTGATATGATTAAGGAAATGTAAAAACCCAGTTCAATATTGTAGTACCACCAAATCTCAGTGGACACTGAATGATGAGGATAATCAACAAAACATTCCATAGAGTCCCATGTCCATGGTTTATCCCAAAGAGCCCAAACTCCGTAAACAAAGGTGAAAGCATAAAAAGTACATCTCCAAGATGATTCAGTAAATCTGGTTAGAATGGTGGGTTTATTGTAGGATCGACGACGTTTAAACCAAAGTTCAACTTGTTTAGCCGATAAATCAGACTGTTTAGATAATCCGATGTAGGTTGACTGTGGTGGACGATTATTGATCCTAAAAGATTTCTCTAGGATCTCATTTGGTTCAACTTTCACCCTTTGTTTATCACTAATTCCTAAGGCTTTTCCAACTGGTCGGAATATTAAACGTTCAAGGGTCACCCTAATGAATAAAATTACGATAGCAGTTAACAGGGAATAATAGATATCATTAAATTGGGCGTAGTTAATCCCACCGGCACGATCACTGTAGGTTTTCCAGGTTACATTTGGAGGTAACCAAATTGATTCCGACCAAAAGGCATCACTTAATCTGTTGATTGTATTTCTGACTGAACCCATGATTAGTAAGGTGACAAACAAAATAATTAGTATTTACTGAGAATTTGTTTTTGATTCAAAAATCACATTTAATTCACCTCAAGTGATTCTCTCAGTGAATCCTCATCTCATAGTGATGGACACAACAGTCTAGAAAACAAGAGAATCATCGATGTGCGCAGACTCAGGCGCATGCGCACAAATTTCAATTTCTCATTTCAATTCAACTTTTCCACCAAAGTTATTAAATTAGAATCGACTAATGATTTAATTTATCGCAACTCTTTTTCTCTCACATGCAATTGATACCCTGGTGTAGGGCTTATTTTATTTCACATGATCAACTTTTTTAGAATCATTTTTTTGACAATCTCAACATACTTAGTATCATGAGCAATTTTCTAGACTGGGATCGTTAATTTTTCGATGGGTTCAAGTGACAATGTTTCCGAAAATTTGATAATATTTAGATTTTGAGAGAGTTATCTCACCAGAGATTGAGAATTCACTTGGAAAGCCTTTCACATTCTGCTCGCCACCGATAATAATAAATAGTGAAACTTCAAATGTTGCAGTCCAAACCTCAACCGTAGGCAAAATTCATTCAACGAGTGCTGAAAACGCGCAATTTGCGTCGGGCCACAAAGTGAATTTGGTTTTGAAATGATCGGAAACTGTAAACATTAAGAAAACATGAATTAAATGGCCTTTTGTTAGCATTAGCATAACAAATCGACGAACTGTCGACTGATCGACTGTCTCAATCGACTGGCTTCGGTGTCTAATTGTTAATACTCATTTAGAACCGTCGAAACACCAGACATTGACAGTAAGAGAGAATTAAAGTCACATGTTCTTTTCCTTACTCTCTCATTCGTTGTTATTCTCTATTTTTTTTTCGATTCTTTTTTCCTTCTCACTCCTTTTCTCAATCCGATTTGTTGTTATTGAATTTTTATTCTCTTCTTCTTATTCATCTTCATTCTTTTGTCTTCTTCATCATATCATCGTCATCATCTTCCTCTTTCCATGGATTCATTTTATCATCCAAATGAACAAGAAACAAAAAGATTAACAGTAATTTGATTATATCACCAAGAGAATAATAATTTACATCTGCTTTTTAGTACAAAAGTAATAACCTGAAGAAGAGACAATTTTTCGTGAACAGGGCGGAAATTATGAGAATTCTGGTGAAGAGAATTTCTCATCTTCATCATCATTATCTTCCTGTTACCTTCCATCATGATAATGATGTTTGGTGACTTGTTGGAAGCTTGGGTTTGCCCTTTTTTGTTATTCTCTGTGGTGAAAAAACAACTTTCACCTTCTCAATGAAGTTACATTTGTTTTCTCATATTTAAAGTGATAGATGATTAAAGTGAGAGTTAATCTGATCCTTTAGGCGTGTTAATGACATTGAATGACCTTTTTATCCCATACAATTGTCATGATAAATCCTTTGGTTTTATATCTCATCAATTAGTAATGAGAAACATTTTGGTTTCTTCATTTTACCTTTTTGTCAATCGTTTATTGTCAATTTCACAATCAAATTGATTGTGTGTATGGTGCAGATTTAAATGGGGAAAGTTAATACAATTTGATTGATAAACAATAAAAGTGAAAGTATTAAATAATATATAAAATAATGCAAATCAAATCAAATGGAATCATGAAAACAAAAATGAAACGGGAAAAGTTTTACAGACAAAATAGAGCAATTAGCCTGAATGCTTTGTTTCAATCATAATCTTGATTAGTATTATGAATTATATATATACTTATTATCAGAATATTATCAACAATTACAATTAAGATTATTGTTAATTGTTCTTTCTCTCCTTGAATTGTGTTTATCCATTGAAAGGACTAACTTAATGATGAGGAAAATATTCTCAACAATAATTAATTTATGGATTTAACATTAGTAAACATTATGCAGTAATTAATATAACAAATTGCGTGGTTTTCATCATCTAATCAACATCTTAATCATAATCAATGGAAAATTTAAAGGATGGAATGAATGTTTTGTATTCGTAATTAGAACCAAATTGTACCTTGTAATGTAAATCGAAATCAACAATTGGATTGTGTGATTGCCTTTCGTTAAATTGCACCAGGAAAAGTAGAGAATCCAAGATGATCAATCATCAATTAGAATATTTTCAATTAAATTAATTTCTTTTTTGATTAATTAGTCTTTTAGAGCTGCATTTGTCTAACTTGTTCCAGTCCAGAGGCTATTTTATGAGTAGAAGGTAATTTAAATACGATATCACAAAATTCGTAGAAAATTCCGTATTGTAAAGCATTAGAAGCTCGATTATTTGTCCCATCGAGTCGAACCAATGTTGGCGCGTCCATAGTTCGAGATTGTTGGATCTCGTAGAGAACCACTTGATCGGTATATTTGGGCTTACAAAAGACATACATCATTAATAAGAAATCACCTGAAAGAGTAGCAGCAACAATACCGATGATGAAAAGTACCAATGAATCGTTGAGATGAGTTCCCTCATTGGACATTAACCAAATTAACCAAACACCGAGAAGTAATAAATTTTCAATGGTGGAAACGAGTAAAAATATGAGAGGACGTTTACCCTCCTTCAATTGAAACATTATCGGCCAGATGAGTAGAGAGGGAACACCAAAGAATAGGAAAACCAGAACGGCGATTGATAAACGTTTCCGTCGACTTGACCATTGGGCATTTGTAACATTGGAGGATGAACTTGAGATTCCATAAGATTCAAGGGCAATGTTATAAATCCAAATGGAAAACACGAGAACATGGATTAAGCAAAGGACAACCATCCACGAGTGAATGACCGTAGTGACCAGAGCAAAGACAAGAACCCGTGAAGAGATAAATGATAACCACCCGAAAAAGGAAAGAAAATGAGTTAATTTACCATCATCTCGACGACGAACAGCAATCATCATCGATAGAACGCTGAGTATTGATCCAACGAAAACGCCGGTTACTTAATATGGAGAAAGAAAATTAAAGTTACTTCTTAATGGAAACATTTTCATCAAAACAACAATCAAAATGAGCAAACTTAAGATTTTAGTCCATCACAATTAAGCTCAATTCAATCAGCCTACTCAACCCAAATGAATTTAACCCCTACACTAAAGTGAAATCAAGTCTATGATGAATCAGATTTTCATCATGAAACAAAACAAAAGTATTTCAATCAAGTCTCATGTTCATCTTTCATCTATTGGTACTAATAAGTCACTGGTCATTTTCGTCATTGAATTAAAGTGACTTACAAGGTTTAATTTTGAGTTTGTGCGAATCGATCCAATCAACGGTACCGAGGAAAATGTAAATTTGAAGGACAATTTGAAGAAAACCAGCGTAAAAGTCTTCAAAAAATTCTAAAACTTCAGCGGACATTTGAAGCTGTTTGATATTCTGATTCTCATCTTCATTGGGTGTTCTCCAATTGCAAACACGTTGAGCTGAGAAATGTAACACATCCAAATGGCGCTTAATCTGCCAGGGAATCAATAGAATACCATTAACGGTTCTTGTTGAAACTTCCTTTTTATCAACGACATCATCTTTGGATAAATTGGCTCCAATTAGGAAAAGGGCGTAAAGTATTGGTGGAGCGATTAGCGAGATAATAGAGATGACAAGAAAATTGTAATCTCTCTGATCTCTGTATTCATAAGTAGCACCAAAATCTTGATACAATTTATTCAAATAAATTCCCAATCTCATCAGGGAAAACACTAACATCCTCTGGAAAACTGTGGTCTTAAGAAACGCCATTGGTCCGGATGGTAAATTAGCTCGAGTAGCAACAGTTGGAATCTATTGTTGATACAATTATATAATTCAATTTAGAATAATAATAAAGAGACAGTTTTGGTGAAACAACTTACTTGGTCGATATTTTCATGATTAGGCCCATGATTAGCCTGATTGGTACCAACAGGGTCATTCCAATTGATCCTTTCAAGGCTTAATTGTTGATTCTCAAGAGGTTCAACTTCAGTAGCCATTGGAACCAAATAACCAAATATCAACAGAAACACAAACAAATAAAATCTGTACCAAAATTGGAATGAGAACACAAACAATTTAGATCAACAGTCAATCAAAGGATCGCAATTAATTTTTCAGTGATCAACAATAAGGACAATTAAACAATTTACTTACTATTATTTGAGAATCAATGAGAAATCATTTGTAAACAAAAAGTAAAAGGGTGTTGGTGTTGGTGAGAAAATGAAAAGATTTCAATGAAAAAAGGACCAGTCAGGATGAGTTGGAATTTCTTAAATTCATCAGTCGATTAAACTCAATTGAAACAATTCAATTGTCCACAATTTAACCACATTGATTAGAATTTTAAATAATTAACTCAGAGAATAAAATTAAAATGGTTAATGACACAGATTATGATGAGAGTTTGAAGAAAACCAGAATGAGGATCAACCAAAATAGAAGCGAATTGCAAACTCAAGGTTAAAGTTGTTTTCTCTTTTTTTCTTCTCTCTCTCATCTTCTCACTCCTTTTATCATCCATCTTATTTTCTGATGATGATGAGGAACAAGTTTAACAATTTACATCCTACTGAAGAAATAAATTGTAAGAATCGTTGACGAGATCAATTAGATTAATTTCTAAATTGAGAGTAAATGTTAGTCACCATTGAAATGATCAAATTGAAAGTTTTTACATTTTCATCCAACAATTTAGGTGGAAACAGCTGATTGTTGATTCTTTCAATTAATCTCATCAGATAATCAGAAATAAATTATCGCCGTTAATCACATAATGTACAAAGTTTATTGTAAAAACTAATTTTATCATCAAAAAAAAAACGGGTACGTAAACTAAAATGTAAATATATAAGTTAATAGAAATTAAGGTTAATTGTGATCAACAATTTGTTAATTTATCTTTACAATTTGTGAAATTGGATCAGTTTTTTTTGCAATTTATCATATATTCTGATTTGTATCATGTTTTTCCGATTTTTTTTGTGACTATAATTATTGGTTATACGACATCAGGAAAAGCCAGTTTAAAGATTTGCTCGTAATTGTCAACGAAATGAACTTCTAGGCCACTTTTAATATAATCGGGTAAATCGGAAAAGTCTTTACGATTCTCACTTGGTAAAATTAGACAATCGACATTGGCTCGCTTGGCAGCGATTGTTTTTTCACGAATTCCTCCAACTGGTAAAACTTTGCCCGTCAACGAAACCTCACCGGTCATTGCAAGATTGTTTCGAACTGGTTTGTTCAATGCTAAGGATATTAGAGCGGTGACCATGGTGCATCCAGCACTCGGTCCGTCTTTAGGAGTTGCACCTTCGGGTACATGAAGGTGAATATGAGCTTTATGAAGAAAGTCATTGGTACTGTCAATCTTGGAGACAAAATGTCGAGCAACTGAATAAGATATATCAGCTGATTCTTTCATGACATCACCTAAATGTCCAGTGATTTTTAATGATCCATTCACTTTTTTAGCATCTTTGCCTTCTTGTTTCTTTAATTGTCGATATAAAGAAGTCTCAATGTACAAGACCGATCCTCCCATCGCCGTCCAAGCCAAGCCCATAACTACACCGGGAGGTGTAATCTCGTACATTCTGTCCTGAGTGAAAATCGGTTTACCAACAAAATCTTGTAAATTGTTTGGATTAACATCTACTTTATTTGATTCCTTTTGTACAATTTTAAAAGCGGCTTTTCTCATGATCTGTACATTAAAACGAAAATGACAATAGTTAGAGACGAAAATCAAGTTTAGATTCGATTGATTACCTTTTCTATGTGTTTCTGTAAATTACGGACACCACTTTCTCGGCAATAGGAACGGATTAGAGATTGAACAACTTCTTTGGGTATTTCAATTCTTTCAGAATTTACTCCACACGATTCTTGTGCTTGTGGAATAAGATATTGCTAAATTTGGAGAGAAAATAAATTTCGATTATGATGATTGAAAGATATTCATAACTGGTTTAAAGGGAGAGAAAATTACCTCTGCAATTGCTAGTTTTTCTTCAGCGACATAACCAGTCAACTCAATGATTTCCATTCTATCACGAAGAGGTTCCGGAATTGTATCTAAAACATTTGCTGTACATATGAAAAGTACTTTGGAAATATCGACTGGTACATCTAAATAGTGATCTAAGAAATTGGCATTTTGTTCAGGATCAAGTAATTCTAATAGGGCTGATGATGGATCGCCTTGATAACCACGACCTATCTTGTCAATTTCATCAATTAGTACCAAAGGATTTTCGGTTTTTGTTTTCTTTAAACACTGGATTATTTTTCCAGGCATAGCACCGACGTAGGTTCGTCGATGTCCTTTAATTTCGGCTACATCGGTCATTCCTCCAACACTGAATCTAAAATACTGTGAATAAGAAAAGGAAACAGGACAATTAGATGAAAGTGATGATTCGTGGTTAGCTAATTAATGAACTTACTTCTCGATTCAAAGCTCTAGCTATTGATTTTGCTATACTTGTTTTACCAACACCGGGAGGACCATGGAAACAAAGTATTTTACCCTGAACTTTACCTCGAAGTGAACTCACAGCGATAAACTCGAGAATCCTTTTTTTAACTTCTTCCATACCATAGTGATCTTCTTCAAGGACTATTTTCGCTCGATCAAGGTCAAAGTTTTCCACGCTACTTTTACCCCAGGGAAGATTAGTTAACCAGTCGAGATAATTACGGGTAACACTGAATTCTGATGAATGATTATCCAAAAGAGATAATTTGTTCAGCTCTTCATCAATCACATCCATTACATGCTTTGGAACAGTAAGATCTTTGAGACGAGAACGAAATTTTTCTTCCAAATTATCCTTGTCGTCTTTTTCTAGGCCCAATTCTTTTTTAATCAACTTCATCTGTTCGTGTAACATTTGACCTCGATGTTCCTCTTTCACCTTTTTCTCTACTTCTTTACCAATCTTTTGCTGTAAATTACTTAATTCTAACTCTTTTTTCAACAGATTATAAGCTACTTCCAATCTTTTGGGAACATCCATTTGCTCCAATACTTTTTGAAGTTCTTGTTGATCAGCTCCCGTTAATGCAGCACCAAGATCAGAAAGATAATCTGGATTATCAACAACTCTTTGTCCTTGTAACATTTGAGCTAAGGAATAGCGATACAGTGGATTAAGTTCAATAATTTCTCGGATAATCTTTCCAATCTCATGGGTTAACTTTTTAATCTCATCAGTCATGGTGAATTTATCGGCAGTCATATTTTCAACCTGAACCATTAGAACATTGGAAATTTCACCATTTTCACCTGAACCATCTACAAGAAGCTTTCGACGGAAACGTCGTTTCCTCAATTTATCACCATTCGTATCAATATCATCAGGAACTTGACGAACTATTTTAATTCGTCGATGAGATTGGACAACCATTTTCAATCTGTTCCCAAGATCTTGTATTTCAAGAATTTGGACAAAAGTACCAACCGGGTAAACATCATCCAAACTTTGAACAACCTCAGATTGACTATTCTCATCTTTACGAAGAAATATTCCAGCATAAGGTTGATTAAGTCTCACTTTACGTTTGATTAGAGCAGTTAACATGGGATCGGTAACATCAATGATCTTTAAAAATTTAGGAAAAACTGGTGTCCCTTGGATAGCAATTAAAGGTACATAAGGCCAATAATCAGGAACAACCATAGTAGCAAGAGTATTGGGAACAGTTTCGGGAATAACCAGATCAGGTTCGTCAGAATTTTGATCAACAGCTTCCTTATTGTAAACTCCACCATCATCATCATCGTCATCTCGTTTAGGAGCGTTACAAAAATTTCTTCTCACATCATATACTATAGAAGAACTTGGAGATGCAATTGTTATACCCGATAGACCATAATTTAATCGTGAAAGAGTTGATGTTGATCGAGCTAATCGCTGGGAGGAAGACATAAATGTCCGATTCATTAACAACCATAATCCAACCTTGGAGGGCTCATTTTTCATCAATTGTTGCAACAAATTGGTACAACAAGATAACCCCCGAGATCCCGATAATTTAGAAATAATCATGGACAAAGAGAAACGCAAATTAATCACAATCACAAAAGGGAAACAATTAAGAAATTGAAAAGCAAAACCGGTCAATTGAATTGAATCAAAACATTGAGAAAACAAATTAAACTTCAATTCACCACATGGGCAGTTGCCTAGCAACCGAACGCGGGATATTTGAAATGCGAAAAAAATGAAAAAAAAGTTGATCATCTTTTTGATTTTCACAATTATTGAAACAATTAAACAAAGAGAAAGAAATAAATATTTAATTTTTCGATAGAATTGAGTTAAAATTGATTTAATTATGATGAGAAAAGTTTAGTCAACTAAAATGATCGATTTACTTTGTTTACAGTGAAAGGAAAAAGTAAAAAAAAAATTTAACATTAAATTGAAAGATTAACTTGATTGTTTACAGAACAATTTAAAAAAAAGTAGTAATCAAAATAAAGTAATTAAAGAGACAGAGATCACAAATATATCATATGTATTAAGAATATATATTTGGAAAAGCAATTCAAGTGTATTAACTTTGGTGTAGCAATTAATTAGTTTCTTAATCAACGTTTTTAAATTGTTTTTCTTTCACTTAATTATCCAAATCAAAAAGTTAAACAGGAAAAATATTATTAGTTAATTTATTTTTCGTTGTCCATTTGGTTCACTTCGAGTTCAAACAAAAATGATATTCGAAGACGTTGTTGGTTTGTTCAATTGATTAAATACTTTTCAAGTAATCAAAAGATGAGATTGTAATTAAATCAATAAATTGTGACTCTGTTAACTGATTCAAGAAGAAAATTATTTAAGATTATTGTACAAAAATGTAATTCAAATAATTAAGAGGATGAGGATGAATATGATTAAAGAAAATTATCAAACAAAAAAAAGGAATAGATTTTGATCTAATGATCAATTTAAAATGTTGACAATTAAATTGTAGATTTGTAATAATAACAATAATAATAAGAATCATAATTAAGAACAAGAGAGATAAAAATTAGTTAATTGTAACAGTTAATCAAACAAACGGGTCATGAACATTATGAGAGCCTAGAAGAGAAATAGAAAATCAAAATTAGAATTAGAATTGAGATCAAATGTTAATTATGGTTAATTGTTAGTGGAAATAATTAAAAATTAACTGACCACTAGAAGGGTAAGACTGCCCATGATTATGGTTGATAGTTGGAAATTAAAACATTGGGTAAATATCCCACCGAATGCCGGTCCAATGGCCTCACTATTAAGGATTAAGAAGAAGACAAGATTAACAATTAAGGTGAACAATTAAATAGATGATTAGTTAACTAACCCCAATGAAAAGACTGCAGTGTAAAGAGCAGCAACCAAGGAATAGGTTTGTAGGTTACCAAATTTATCCTGTTCGACTGCATGTTCGAGAAGAGCCTCGAACGAGGGTATGAAGGTCAACGAGTAACCGATTCCCATGAAAACCATTGAGATGCAACTATTTTGAAGGTTAACCTGAGTTGAGGTCAAGAACCAGGGTGGACCAAGAGAGATTAAACTGAAGCCGCTGATCAACAGGCCGATACACATTAAGGTATATTTATTGACCCTCAATGAGATTAAACCAACAATAGGCGATAACATGGCGAAAGCTGCATTCATTAGGAAAAAGGTCAAGGCCACTGACGATTCTTTGACACCGTTATTGTAAAGATGAGGTTCAACCGTTGGATCGAGAAACGTTTGATTTTGAGATATAACGATTGTGGCAGCGCAAATGACCAGCGTTTTATAATTGAATAAAAGTTTACCGTAAGTTAATTTAGGTGTGTCTGGATCGTCACTTAAATGCTCCTCAAATTCTGGTACAATTTCTGTAACAATTAACATCGAAATCTTGATAAAAAACGTAGCCATTACTACAAAATGGTCAGTTTACAATCATCTAGAATCTAATTGTCATTAATTAGTCACTTTGATATTTAAAATTAAACTAAACCATTATTTTTAGTGATTTTTCCTACTAATTAATTAATCATTGATGTGTGTCTATGAGTAATTAATATTGGTGTTTGGGGTTGACTAATTTGATATTGATTAGAGTTGATTGTTAAACTGAAAGTTTAATGGTTATTGGATTTAATTGTTTACCTGAAATTGGTTTAATCAGATAATAGTAGAGGATAATGTTAAGTAGATTAACGGTTCCTAGAATCCAGAAAGGCATCGGAAAACCGGCCCATTCGTAAAGTCCACCACCAATCATGGGCCCGAAACTGAGGCCAAAACCACAGAAAGTTTCAACTAAACCGAAAACGGTTCCAATTGATTGTGGATATAATTTGGTTATGTAAATGTTGGCCGAAGTGTGGAAAACGGCAAATCCAATAGCACCGAAAATCCTTAGGACAAAGGAAAGAGCACCAAATAGTAAAGTGTTACTTATGTAATGAAGAAAACCAAATGCGATCATCGAAAGTCCAGTTAACAAAATACCCGTCATGAGAAGATGTTTGATCTCAAATCGGTATAAAGCTTTACCAATTAGAGGTGAAATTAACATGATGGTCAAAGCATGAGAGGAGAACACTAATCCATAGATGGACTCGGGGATACCCTTGTGTCCAGCTTCTTGAGGGTAAAAGGGAGCGATGATGGAGAAGACGGAATATAATGAGAAACCAGTGGTCAGTAGACAAAGAACGATCTTGTTTCGAGCTAACTTATTGGATGGACTATTCGATTCTTCAATGATTGTCTCAAGGAAGATATTGATGAACCGTAAAGTTTTTCATTCTCCTCATCCAAGGTGAAAACGCTGTGAGCTCGATTTTTACCAGTACCAACCGAAGATGCCGCCGATCCACCGCCATAAGAACTAATTGATTGGTAATTGTTTAAACTTTCGCTGAATAAATGCGATTTTTCACTCGTTATACTGTCTCTTGGTCCAAGTCGAGATTCATCATCATGAAGTCCCTCTAATTTAGCGTGGACTTGTAATCGACGAGCGACACTTTCAACCCTTTTAATTGTGAAATTATTCTGCATAACTAATGGCTAATCAAATTGGAAATAGAAAAAAAAAGTTAATAATCAATTATAATTGGTGAAATTCTGATCAAGGGTAAATAAAGACATGAGGTGAAAATTTGGTTCGAGTAACAAATTGTCAATCATTAAGTAGTTATTGTAAGTAGGTGAATGAATTGTTTGACTCTCTCAGTAATCAATAGTTTGTTAATTGTCAGCTATTAACTTACTTCGATAGGATCAAGATCAACGGAACCACTATTACGGATATAATGATGATGAGGATGAGTTAAGTGATGATGTGAGTGACCATAATAGTGATGGTGATGATGAGGATGAGAAGTGGAATGACGATGATTAGAATGATGGTTTTGATGATTATTAACATGAGGATGATGATGATTTGTTTGTTGTTGAGAATGATTAACACGAAGATGATTATTATAATGATCGTTGGGTAAATTACCCGATTCAGCGGCCATTATATGTAAAGGAAAACACAACAATCAACAGACCAACGGATATAAAACAGAAAACAAAATCAACAGAATCAAATGAGTAATTAAAAGCACCAAAAAAAAAGACAAAAAAGAAACTATGAAAATGAAGATTAAAAGATTATCCCTCAATAAAGACAATATATTAAGATGAAAGGTTAAATGTTAAAGGTTTTAGGAGGTAAAGGATTAATAAATCCGCCGGTGATCAAATGACCGGTGGGTTAATTGTGAAAGGATAACGAGTTGAGACAAAGTATTGGAAACAAATTGTAACAGTTAAGATCATTAACTGGTCTTAATGGATAAATAATATATTGTTGATTAGCTGTTTGCTTAATCAACATTTGCTAATTGTGATGAGAGAGAGAGAGAGAGAGATGATGATGAGGAGGGAAGATGATAATTGTCACTCTTTGGTGTGAGAGATGAAAAGTGAAACTTGAATGACAAACTATTCAATTTATATCAATGATAAAGTGTCAAATTTTCTGATGATACGAATTAATTGTAACCTCTGATGATTTGCTGTTCCTATTTATCATTGTTACCTAATAATCAACTAATCAATTAATCTGTAGTGATAACGGTAAAAATGAGAAAATTTTGATGATTAAAAGGATGAGCTGTTTAATTGTTATCACTTTGATTAACAATTTCCAATGTGTTTCCCTTAGGTTATCATTTCCAAGGATTAACTTTAATTTGAAGGTTTCACTTTATCATTTGTTTGTTTGTTTGTTTTTAATTGTTTTGCTTTTAATCATCATCACTGTTAATTTAATTGTTTCAACTATTCATTAAATTGTGTGTCAAGTTTAAATTTGTTGATTAAATTGTTTGACTCATTAACTTGATCATTTATGGTTTTGGTCCTTTTCAAATTGATTAATCAATTTGGATCATCATTAATTCAATTATTATTATCCATTGGTTGGTTTAATTGTGATTAATATGATATAATTAGATACTAATTAGTGTGATAATTAAATTAAGATGCCGTGTGATCATCAAACCTTTTACTGGAATAGGTTAATCAACTGTTAAACAATAATCATCAAAGTAAATCCCAAAAAAGGATGTTAATCATCAGCTAAACAATTAAATACTCATGATAATTTAATTGTGTTGGTATAATTTTAGATTCAATGGAAATTATTAAATTACAAATCAGTCTGATTGATTGAGGAAAAGTTTTCATGATCAGAGTTAAATTGTCACAATTTTTAACATGCTTTTAGTTTGGATAACAATCATTGAGATATAATTGTGATTAACTTATTAATGGAATTGAAATGAATTCCAATTCGTAGCAATTTAATTAATATTCAATCGCTGTCTGAACAGAGACACAGTTTATTATGACTGATTGTAAAGTTAATTAGTTAATCAGTAAATTGAATTGATCAAATGATCAACATTTTATCAATCCATTTCTAATTGAACTACAATCAGTCAATGAAATTGTTAATTGTCGTCAATAAGATATTTGAACATCTTATTAACTTTTAATCATTCAATGTGATTGATTTGACAGTAATTTTCATAATTAATTGGTGATGATTTAAGTTACTCAGAGAATCAAAACAAAATCATTCAAAGTCGTAATTTTATAAACAACAATTAGTTGGATAATTAAAAAGACTTCAAACCTTTCCAGTGTGTACAAAATACACAAACTAATTGACAATTAAGAGAAACCAAATTTTCCAACAATTAAGGTAACAATCAAATGGATAATCAAAACTTACCCAAGTATAAATCGCAATTTATCAAAAAACAAAACACACCAAGAAATCAGGGATTAGGTTAATTTTGAAAATGATCAAATATCAACAATTTGTTAATCAATTTAGTTCCAAAAATTTCCTGTTGATTGTTGTTGATTTAATTGTAACCACAAGAAAAACTGTATTGAAAATGCTAAATGAAAAAACTAAACCAATAAATTAAGATTCTGGTTTTGTCTTTTTTTTGTCACTTGCACTTCAAATAGTTAATTAAATTGTCTCAATCTAATCAATAACCAAGTGAATCAAGATAAATCAAGATCAATTTGATTGTGAATTGTGTACATGGGGTCCAATTGATCAAATTATCTTTCAATAGGAAATTTTGGTAAATAATTGGACTCATTGATTGTTGATTGTTTTCTTTGCGTTGAAAGTGAGATGATTAATCAACTTGATTAAGAGCATTTTGTCAATGAATGAATTAAAATAACACCAGAGATTGAATTTTAAATGATACAAATTTAATTTGTCAAAATTACTCTCAGATTATACAACTAAATGTTCAAACAATTTAAGGTAGAAAGCATTGATACAATATGTATATAAATTAAAGGAATTACTTTTTGGTTAATTGAGAGTCAGGAGTAGAAAGTAATTAACTAATCTGATGATTGTAATACTATTAACAAAGGATAAACTTTCTAAATGTAACTAAAGTTTTTTACAATTTTTTTTTTCTTCGATACAATTTGAAAAATAAAGTCATTGCTGTTAATCACTTGAGTTGATTGTTGAGAGTAATCAATCAGTACTTTTGTTGAGCTTTTAATCACCAGTATTTTCAAGCAAATTTAAATATCCTAAAGATAATCAAATTATGCGAATCAGTAATTTCAATTGAGCTGCTGCTTGTTTGATCTAATTGTTGGGTCAAAAAATTTACGATTTCGTAGTAAAAATCGTTAATCTATCAGCTTTCATGATCATCAATTGTTGATTCCAAATCATCGGTGATCAAAATATCATCATAAGAATAAGTTTTCTCAATTGTGTAAATCAAAGCTTCCAAAAAGTAAGGATGTTTTCGCCATTCTTCAAAATCATCACGATCTTTCATCGTATTAAATGCTTCCTTAATCTTTTCGATATCATAGAGACATAAGTTTAATCCATTCGTTAATTGTTCCTTAGTGATTCCCTCTAAACTTTGAATATATTGATAAGTCCTTTTGATTTTATGGTTGTCACTTAAACGGAAATTGGGATGTCGATGAAGAGTCTGCACGATTATTGATTGGGGTACATTAAGTTCACGATTGAGTCCACGTAGATGAGCGGGAATTACATCGGCTTGAAGTTGAACTTTCTTACTGGTCATCTTGTGATATTCATATACAGAGGAGACATCGGTCACGGGGAATCCGTTGTCTTTCATTTCCTTTAAAAGCGATGAAATTTCAGCCATGTCGAGGTGTATAAGAGATAAAATTGATCGAGCATCTGATGATCCAAATATTGAATATAAATTATTGATTCTTTCCTTGAGTTCGTTTGTTTCGATCATCAAACAATCAGGATAATTATCGATTTCAGCATTGGTGAAGCCAAAAGTATACTTGAGAAGGTGCAAGTTTTCCAGTAGTGTCGATGAATGGGTTTGTAAAATTTTCGGATATTTAAGCAAAATGAGCAAAGTATTTTCGTCAAAATCTCTCGGTATTTCAGTTATAATCTCTTCCAGGTTATTGGGGTCAACTTGGAAAAGTGTTAATAAATCACTAGAAGAGTAACTGTCCATTAAACTGTAATCGGCAAGAGCGTTGGATAAAATACTAATTCCTTTGATTGAAAGGTAACGTTTACGATTCTTGGATTTCCAAATTTCACCAGAATTTTCCAACTTTTTCAACGAAAATGAGATGACTCTCTCATAGAGTTGACCCAATGTTAATCCTTGGATTGTTAGACTTTCTCGAAGATGACTAGATTCATTATCGGTTAAATTGGGTAAGTGTGATAAAAGTGAATCAACAACACAAACATTAGAATCAAGTAATTTCAAGTGTTTAACTGTCGGTTCACTTAATGTTTGAATTTTGTCAAAATTCAATAAATGGCATGATTTAAGAGATTTGAAACCACACTCTTTGAGAAATGATATTCTGTACTGAGCTACTCGTAATGAGAGAGTAAATAACTCAAAAGAATCGATAATATCATTTCTGGTAAGATGTTTCTTGAAAAGTCTCAATAGATTCCGTCTTTCTCGGATGAATCTCATTTCATCATATTTTTTCATGATCGGTTTGATCCTGAGAAAATTCAAATAACCATCAGCTTGTCGATGATTCAGGTCCAATTCCTCTGAGATAACTTTCACCAAATTCTCACGATATTTTGGAGTAAACAACAGTTTAAAGGTAGAATAATTTCTCATGGAAACATCTTCACTTCCAGATGAATCCCATGCGGTATTAGCCAATCTATTCAATCTTTCGTCGCCATTATCATCAACATCGGACCAGGTATCATCGGTGAATAAAAGGTTGGGCCAATGTTCATCGGTAATCAGTGAAGATGTTCCATTTGGTGTTCCAGTGGGTGATAAACCAAGATTCAATTGAGAAAGTGATGCTGTTGATCGGGATAATTGGTTAGATGAAGAGATAAACATTCGATCCATAAAGAACCATAATCCAACCTTGGATGGATCATTTTTCACCAATTTTTGGAATAAATGATTACAGCAAACCAAATGTCGAGAACGAGTTAATTTGGAAACAATCATGGACAAAGAGAAACAATTACCCAACAAATTAGAATCAATTTAGAAAATAAAAGAAACTAAATTAACACCAACAATTAACGAAAAAACAATCCGGTCAACAATTAATTCAAAGAGAAAACAAAAACAAACAAGAAGCGCATGGAGAACATTGTGGTGCCCTCTGGCGGAAAAGAATAAAAATCGAATTGAAAAAAGAAAAAAAATTTTTTTTTAATTACAATCAATTTCTTTAATTTAATTGTGTGTTGTTGTTTAGATTTTGTTTCGATGATACAATTTAACTTGCGATCAATTTTCTTTTTGTCCTGATGGTAATTTGATTGGAAAAATTTGATCTTAGTTGTTAATTATTCGGGATTGATTATGTTTGGTTAATTTCTGATTTTTTGTGTTTCTATTGTTTTTGATTGTCCATTTTTTTTGTTATTGATTATTTTTTTTTCTTGTTCTTTTTGTTTTTAATTAGTAGTTGGCCAAGAATATATCTGGTGGTCCTGTTATGTTGTCATCGAAATTATTTGGAAATTGTGTTGTATCGGGTAGTTTAATTGGTCGAGTTAAATCTTGTATAGATGTTACGTTGAAAGCTAAATGATTGTTGGTTGAATTGTCATTTGAACTGTCGGTTCCATTACGATGAACCAATTTACCTAAACTAACCAATATCCGGTAGAATTCATATTCAACGAAAGCATCAACAATCCGACGATTCATTGATTTAAGTGTGGACACAAGAAGATTATTCAAGAAAATCTCATACAAAATCCGATCAATGATATTACCCTGTTCAGGAGGTGGTGGTGGTTTAGCATAAGGATTAAATGGATCATCACATTTATTTAGAGTAAAAAAATTGGAAACAATTAACAAAATCACTGGAAGTAAAGTTTTCATCGACATCATCACCAATCAAAGCAAAATTAAACCACAATTCAACTTGAATCAAACATATAACCAAAGGACCCCTATAAAAGTGACAATATATTGGTTAAGATGATTAGGAATTTCCAACTCAATCAAATCAAATGCAAATTTCTCGCCAATTTAACCTGATTCTTATTCCTCAATTCAACAATCAGTTAATTGATTGAATCACATTTAAATACATATCTAAATTGTGACACGAGAAATTTAAGTCAACACATATCACAGATTAATTAATCATATACTTTATTGATAAAGTAAAAAAAAGATGCACAATTGAGGATTTGGTTTTATTGTGTTTACAATTAAATATAATGAACAAATGAATGAGGATATAATCAATAATAAGATGATCAGTATGGTTAACTAGAGATTGAGTTAAATTTTGACTTGATTTAGAGTTTGGTGTGTAAATTGTTACAATCACATGTTTGCACATAAATCATCAGAAATGAGAGAGGAAATAATATATTAGGAACAATAGTGAATATGGAAAAAGATGAAGAGGAAAAAATTAAGTTTTCATAAGAAGAAGAAATAAAATTAAAAGGGCGAAAATGAACAATCAAAATCGAAAGAAATTAAGTCCATCAATTGGATTAATTTCCGTTAATTGTTGGATATGTTCAATTCTATTTGAGGCACGCTTCCAGTTGAATAAACCATGAGATCGACTTGACATCAAATCGTTTCAATTTTTGGTTTTCGTTGATAATTTTCTCATCTCATACTAATTGGAATATGAAGAGAAATTTATATATTTTATAATTAAGAATATATAATGTGGAAAAAGAGATGATTAAGATTAATTGTAAATGAATGATGATTGGTGATATATATAAGTTTAAGTTGATAATTGTTTCGTTCTCAGAATAAATTGTATATCAACTTTCTCATATTTGTATACAAAAAAAAGAAAGTCCCATAATAGATGAGATTTAAATGTTAATTTAGATTATTATATGATGGAAAATAGTTTTCTAAATATAATTAACAGGGTTCCATTTTGATGTTTTGAATTTCTGTTGCTTCAATCATTTCAAATGGTTCCGAAGTGATATAAAAATTGTGCCCTGATAGATGTTGATTAGATGTTGTTAAATAATCGGGTGTAGGTGTAGAATACATTCCAGGAAATTCATAATTGGAATAAGTTGAATCAGTTTGATCGAGTGACGGATGATTAACATAGGAACCATTGTGCATTGGAGATGCGTAACTAGTACTTGCTATTGATTGGGTGAGTTGAGGTGCAAGTTGTTGTTGTTGTTGTTGTTGAGCTTGTTGTTGGGACTGTTGTTGAGGTTGAGCTAGGTGATGATGGTGTAGATGAGCATGATGGTGAAGATTATGTGTTTGAGGTGCTAAGGTCATCTGTCCATTAGGCGAGAAAGAGGGAGTACAAATCATCGTTGTAGGCGAAACTTGATGAGGTGGACTTCCCTGTGACTGTTGTTGGGATGGAGAAAGTTGAAGTTGTTGTAGTTGGTGTTGAGGTGGTGATGGGGATGAATGTTGTTGCTGAAGTAATTGCGGTGACGTTGAAGATGTTGTTTGTAACTGTTGTTGTTGTTGTTGTTGTTGTTGTTGTTGTTGTTGTTGACCAGGTTGATAGGTTGAAATAGGAATTTGTGGTTGGGTTAATAAGCTTTTAGTAGCATTAAATGTACCATTAGCTCCTAGAACTGAATGAGAAAGCGATTTCCGTGGTGGGACATGTTTCCGCCATTTAGCACGTCGATTTTGAAACCAAACTTGTACCCTGGATTCACTCAAATTCAATCGTTCGGCCAACTCTTCGCGAGCGAAAACATCAGGATATGGAGCTCGTTGAAAGGCCTTTTCAAGTTCCTCTAATTGGAAACCAGTGAACGTTGTTCTATACATGAAAAGTAAACAAAAAAAAGAATACAAATTAATACCAATAAAAGAACAACAATTAAAACAATTAGAAAACCGAATCCAAATAACAATGAAAGAGAAAAAATTGAAAAATCATTTTCCCTCTCATCTAGTCAACAGATGATTATCATAGGTAAATTTTAGATAAAAAAAACGAAAGAGGGAAATTTGATTTAATTTCCAATGGAAAATAAAATTCAACTAAACAAATGGAACAATTGGTTAGGTTCTATTCTAATTAAACACAATTAACAGAGAAAATTAATCAATCAACAATGAAAGAGAGAAAAAAAAATTATGAATAAATTGTTACAAAAGAAAGAAAAGAAAAACCAATAAACAATTAAGGTGAAAATTGTTGAATCACTTATGTTTAAGGCTCTCACATAGGTGATCACATATACAACATGATAATTGTTTACAAGGCTTAAATTTGTAAATAGAAATGGAGTAGAATAGAAAATGAATGAAAAGGGATAACAATTAAATGGATTGATTACAATTAACTTACCTTGTTTTCTTCTTCTTTGATGGTCCATTAGCACCATTTACGTTATTGTTTGTTGTTGAATTGTTTGAAATCGGATTTGGATTGACACTATTGGAGATCAGACCAGAGGCACTGTTGTTGTTGTTCACATTGTTGGTTACGTTGTTCTCGTTCCCCATGATACAAGGATAGATAAACACACACATTCACGATGTTTAATTAGATTCAATTAATTTAAGTTAATTGAGTTATTAAAGATTAATTAAGAATAAATGATAACTAATTAAGAAGTAAATTGAAGTAAATAAAAAGCAAGATGAAAGGAAGAAGACAGAGAGAGAAAGAGAGAGAAAGAGAGAGTGTGAGTGTTTCAGAGAGAGAGAGAGAGGAAGAGATAGAGAGAGAAAAGTGAGAATGTGAGATTAATAAATATATACACCGAGTGAGAGGATAGATGATATTGTTTAGAATGATGAGAAAAGCAATATTACTAATAATCAATATGTGTATGAGTGAGAGAGTGGAAATTGATTGAAGAAGTTGATCAACTTTCTGACACTGGATGACAATTTAAAGTAACAGTCACATTTAAGAATTGGAATATGAAGATGATGAAGGAGAGAGAGAGAAGGATGATAATGAAGGAAGAAGAGAAAGTAAGAGAGAGAGAGAGACTATGTATCTTTGAGAGAAGATAGAAAAAGATAAGGCCACTTTTCGAGAGAGTTGAATAGAAGATGATGAAGATAAAAATGAAAGGCGGGAGTTAGAACATTTTGATGAGAAGAAAACGTCGAACCTCCTCCTCTTCTCCTCCCATTCTCAAGAAGATGAACGAGATGAAGATAAGAAGAAGAATAGATTTAGTGACTAACCAAGTAAGAGAGAAAGAGAAAAGAGAGAGAGAGAGATGAAGAAAAGGTCAGTCCAATAACATTGGCGATTCTTTTATAGGAATACCATGTCAACTCCTCCTTCGCACTCACTCAATCATCGCTCTCTCGTAATTATTACCATACAATCAATGAACTTTTTTTGTTTCTCTTTTTTTACTTAATCATCGGTTCTAATTGTTAGAAAAACATTGATGATGATTAGTTAATCATAATGATCAGTCTTTCACGATCCAATGGACAATAGGTAATAATCAATATTCAAACAATTAATCTCATGTCGATTTTGTTTTCTTGACCCTTACCCAATTGTTTTTTTTATTATTATTATCTCAATGATTAGCTAATTGTTACTGGTAATTTAAAGTCAACCTTCAATTTCATATTCATATTTCCAAATATCAAAATGACCATTGAATTAGTAACTTGTCCATTATTATTTAATAGATTTAAATCTGATCTAAATATGCGAAACGATATTGTTATTGATCTGATTTGTTGATTGTTCTTGTTGATTGGAATCAATAATTTGATAACAATTAGTTGATACATGGATTTGGCTCTTTGTAATTTCACTCCCACGGCAATGCTAATCTCTTATATCTTCCCACCCAAGAAAATGTCATCTTGATTATCATCATTTACGAGGATAATGATCACGATTAACTGATAAACATTTGATACTTTTGATTATCTTTACTGTTTATCAATGAACACAATTAACTGTATCCAATACAATATCCCTCTGATTGTAACATTTAACCTCTTACACAATTAAATAATTGTCATTGACTATCATGAGATAATTATTATCCAATTGTCGAAACAATCTAATCCATTATCCTAAAGTTAATCTAAGGATTAATAAGATTAACGATTAATCCATAAGGTGTTCACATTGTGGTTTAATTGAATAACAATTGATTTAAATCAATTTAATTTTATCCAATTGATTGAGAATCAAATTAACATAAAACTTGAAAGCAAATTTGTTTTCAACTAATTGCTAATTACTGTTAATCTAATTGCTTTTTTTACATATTAATTTACTCAATTAATCAATGAAATAAGTATTAATACAAATGTACAAATTAATACTTTAATTGTGACTTTAATTTGTCCAATATTTTGATTGATAAACGCAAACCTTTTGAGTTTAATCAATGAGTACAAATTAGACAGCAATTTAATTTACATCAGTTGATTGTTATTAAAATCAATCAGTCTAATTACAATCAGTTACTGTTACTATTGAATGAATTGGTAAATTCACTAATGATTAAGTTTAATTACTACAAATTTGGATAATTATTTGAGTGAAAAAAAAAGATAAAATTTCACCATCAGAATGAAAAATGTGAACATGTGAAAGTTTTCAAGGCTCAGAATCCAAGTAATTACTCAGACTCATGCTCAGAATGATGATCATGGTGATATTATAGGAACTGAACTTGGAAGATGATAAATTATCATTACTACAGTTTCTTTGCTCTTCCTATCATCATTTTCATCTTGATGATGATAAAATTTTTCCCTATCAAAGTTAACTTACATTCTGCTGATACAAACATCTTCTTGCATCACTTAATCACTTTCAATTTATTTCAATTAAGATTAATTTAAGTTAATTTACTTCGTTTCCTCAATGATGAACAATAATCAACATGATACAATGGATAAGAAAATGAATTGTAACAACAATCTATAAACAAGAATTGAACATTTTCCCCTTTTCATGAGAAAATCATATCAACTTAACTTTATATCAATTCCATGAAGATAAAACTTCATATTATATTCAACAAGGAATATCATCATTATCATCATCACCATGATACTCTGAATATAATTCATTAATTGTGACAGAATCACAAGAATACAAGTTGAGACGAGAAGAAAAAAAAAACTTCTTAAATATAAAAATGAGAAACGATTAGACAAATTAACTAACCATTAATAATAAAAACACAATTAATTGTAATTAATAGGAATGATAATAATCAATGAATATCCCATGAGAAATGATCATCATGATACTAATCATTTTCAACTTCAACTGTAAACATATTCAATCAATTGTTATCTCCTCCAATGAACACTTAATTTAAATCATTGTAATCAACTTAAATTGTTATAATAACAATACTAATCTAACCAACAATCAATGATTAAGCTTTTCAATGGATTAACACTCAAATTAAACAACAAACTTTTCACAATTTCAATCAATTTTAAATTGTGTATGTTGATTGTTGATTGTTGAATATTTAACATGATATTTCATCACCTTTATCATACAAATTATATTGGTAATGATCAGTAATTATACAATTGGGTAAATGTTAATTGTTGATCATCAAATGGGACTTGAAGTTAATAATATTCGGTGTATGTGGTTAATTGTTAATCGAGTCAATAGTCCATGAAATAATCCAATTCGAGTACAATAATAATAATATTAGCCACGTGGTCTTTTTTTTATCATCTTCTACTCTTCTCATCTTCTCATCTTATCATCCTCATCTTTTGCTCTTTACCTTATATTTGTAAATGCCTTGGGGCTATTTCTCAGCTTACTGATTGATTCCAGTGAAAACTTTTTGTCTTTTCCAAATAATTTAGTAAATTTGTTCGGCTAATCATCACCTTCATGTTACCTTTTAATTAAAGGTTATAATTTGTATTTAAAGGTCAAGATGAGGGATAAAATTGACCTCGAATGGGGTAACTACCTTTGACCGTTTTCTTTGGTCCCTGTGAGAGACAAAAAAAGTTGAAGATAATCCGTCATTTGTTTCGGATTAGTTGATTACTATTAAGAAATCAGGAGTTTGTACCTATTTTTTTGTCTACGAATTTTATTACTTGTTAACTTGCCGACTCAATAAAATAACAGAAAATATAATAATAATTATTATATTCTATTGGTAAAAGAAAGTGATGATTCTAATTGTCGATATAAAATATTGATCACAGAGATGATTGGCTTTGGATTCTCATTCCCAGGCAATTGAAAGACTAGATTATCGTCTTACTTTTCTTAATTTTTTCCTTCTTTTTATCCATTTACAAGGAATCGAGTTGTTCAGCTTTAGATTGAGAAAACTTTCGGTGCTGGTTAAGTTGCCTTCGTGGCTGAGGTCACACTCCAAGATCAAGATCACTTAAATTCAATTGTATTTAGTGTTATCTCAAGTATCAATCAACATTATCATCATCATAATCAACAAGAATCCAAGGAGAGAGAGAGAGGTGACTTTACTGGTTCCTTTTCTAGAGGGAAACAAGACTTTCTCTTCCTCTTCCTCGTCATCCTCATCTCTCTCTCTCTCTCCTCTCTATTACATTATCATCAATATTATCATTGACATGATTATGATTACTATTATTACAACAGAAATAATAACAATAATAATAAAATATAATAACAATTGTAAGTGGAACAATATTTTCATCTCTCTCTCTGCTATTTTCTTGCCTTCTTGGCATCTCCTCCCTCAAAAAGACAACAAATGATGAAGATGATGATGATAATCACCGTATTGAATATGTCAATTAGATGGTGATGATGATGATTAGGGAGACAGAGAGGGTGATAAGGAAAGAGGTTACTTGGTGGGAGGGTGGGAGACTAAACTTAAGATGTGAATCCATAATATTTTTCATGGGAAATCATTTCAAGTTACTTTTGGTCATTTAACCGGAGGGCCAACACATTTAAAATGGACTGAGTGTCTTTATGAGTGCCTATGTGTTGATATACTATCAACCCTATTGTCCGAAAGTGTTTCTATGGTCATTGAGTCCAATTGATCAACTTTAACCAGAGGGTTAAATGGTTAAAGGATTTTCTCACTTTTCCAATCTATGGTCATCATAACGTTTACATTTGCAAAGTTTATCTGTCCTCAGATGATACGAAATCATCTTTACAGGTCAACTATAGGCCGATAATCTCGTCCGTCAAAGGCCATCACTTATACTTAGAAGATTCCTAAATCTTGTCGGACTTTTGACTTTACAAAAACAATAATCGTTTCTCACGAAATCGCCAGTATAAGTCACCGTACCTTCGGGATATTGGACTTGAAAAGGATTCGAATTGATTTTTGTTACATTTCATTGGTTTATTTCAATTCTTTTTTACTGTTAATTTCATGATTTAAGGTTAGTTAATTGTCGTTAATTTGATGATGATGGTGTAGAGGTTTCAACTTTTTGATCAGTTTTATCACTTCCTCCTCCTAACAGGGGATTATTGATCCTGAATCCATTCATGAGACTTTGAAATTGAGATTCCAATGCTTGTAAGGCTTTCAATGGATTGATATTACTATTTGCCGGAACCGGAACTTGTTCAAAAACTTTTCTCATTCTGGTAAACAATTGACTCATTGAGTCCAGGACATTGTTGAATGGATTTTGAATTGATGTCAATGGATTAGAACCAGATTGAGTTGATTCTGGTGTTAATTTACCAGAATCAATGGCGATTGGTTTCGATGTAACTGTGAAAAGATTAAGAGGATTAATTGGATTAACGTTTTACTGGATTTCTTTTTGAAAAACTTACCCATTTGACTTTCAATCAGTTTTGCAAGATTTTGATTGTTAACCGAAATCTCTTTTAATTGTTGGGTTAATTTGTCCAAATTATCGGGATCACCGGTAATCTTTTCAGCAATTTTCCGTAAATCTTCAAGTAAATCATCAGGAGGTCCGTTAATTGTTGGAGTCGTTGATGGTGATTGGTAAGCAATTATCACCGATACGAGGGAAAACATCACAATCAATTGTAATCTAATCATTTTTGCCTAATTGTGTAAAATATTGAACAATCAAAAAGTTGATTAAACTTGTTAGTTGAATGATTAAAAGTAAATTGTTTCAAGTCTTTCGTATTGTGATTAAGTAGCAAATCCAATGATACGGGTGAAAAGATGATTAAGTTTAATTGTTTTGCGAAATAAAAAAATTGAATCTAATTAACTTTTCATCGGTTACAATTGATTGATGCAAATTTATTATCAATCAATGTATTTGATTCAATTTCCTTGATAATAATTAGATTGTTAAGTGATAGTCACTCTTAACTAAATTATTTTAATTAGAGAGGTTAAAAAACAATAAATAGATACAATTTAATTACATTTAGTCATCTAGATTAATCTAATTAAAACAATGAATATGCTGGTAATTAATTATTTTATCCGTTAATTGTGGATATTTACAAATCAGATCACCAGAACAATTAAATGTTATTCATAATGTTACACTAATCATCCAGTGTGTTTATAACGATCAATTGAATTGTAACTTTAATTGTTGCCGTTTATTTTTTCACCTCTTCAGTTTTAACCAAATTAAATTGTCAGCGAAAGGTTTAAGTTAATTAAAGGTAATTAAAAGTGATGAAATTCCTACTATTCATTTGCGTGTCCATAGTTTTCATCGGTTTGACCACAACATCAACTAAAGACCCCGAAGGCGATTCGTTGCCTAAAGTGACCAATGTAATCACCGATGTTCATGATAACGATAAATTTGACACCGACGAGCACGGGGAAAGTGTCTCAGGTCCAGTTGCCCTCGATTTAACTGTTCTACCTCGATTGGTGAAGGAAGCCTATGGAGGGATTACTCGATTCTATGTGAATATATTGTACATTTTACTACAATATTTACGAGAGATTTCAACCAATGCTACAGCTCAATCGGTCGATGAGGCCAAGACCACTGCGGAGCGGATACTTCGAGGTGGTGTCGATTATCAGGAAGAATTGTCTCGAATGAGTCATCTATTGGGTGATATTCAACGACGAGCTGCACCAACCATGCAACCGGATACTGAGTATTCAACTACACAGGGTGTCCCTCCAGGCGAGGAAATTGTCCCACCGATTTCTGAACAGATTCCAATCTCGAAATTGATACGAAACTTTTGGAGTCGATTGACCAATTGGTCAAGACGATTAATTGGCCTTAACAATACAAGACAATGTTGCGAACCTGAAAAAATTATCAACAATAATAGTTTATGATTTTCGTGTAACAATTAACCTTTAGTTGAATTAAAAAAAACGATGATTAAGATTCAATCAAAATTGAAGAAATTGTTTTTCAAACTTTTCTATCACATTAAAGTCACAATATCTATTAATATGTAATTGTGAAAATTAAATCATCTCAATTGTATGTTGAGTATGTGGTTAGTTAATCAAATATTTACCACAATTAACTGAAGATGGCGACTAATTTGTTTAGAAACCAATCAACTAGATTACAATTAGACAGTAAACATTTACCTTATTAACCATATGATTCCATGTGAATATAATTGTTAACTAATCAATCAAAAATAACGTGAACAATTTATGATTAACTAATAACCGTATCAGTCTATGATGAATATAATAGTAAATTATTTCTAGGAAAAAGTTAATCGATTACAATTAAGATTAAACAAACAAACACCATTGAACTAATAGTAAGTTAGGTTTATAGTATTTACAGTTAAAGATTTACAGTTAGTGAAAAAGGTGAACAATTAGTTGATCGTTTCAAAGGGATTGTTGTTGATTGTTGGACAATTAAGATGCCAGGTAACCATAATAATAAGATGATTTATCTTTGACATTAACTCTTAACAATAAACAATAAAGAAATGATAAAAGTGAAGTGATAATTGTATAAATCATAATTTCCAATTGGATTTGATTGTTTTTCTTAACCAAACTGAATAGGAATCCAATTAACGAAGCTAATGCAAAGAAAAATGTTGAATTAAAATCATCTGATAGAACTGATATAAAACCGATTACGAGGTAAATCAATGCCAACGACAATTTAATTTGAAACATTTCGAGTTGTAAATTAATCAGAGTCTGTTTATATTCAGATGATCCCGATGGATTAGTTGATTGTGTTGGATTTAATGAGATTGATGATGGTGGTGGTGGTTGATTAGCATCATGGTTGTTAATTTGGTTAGAATTAATTGTGGAAATTGTTGATTCCAATTCGTTGGTCGCTGATTGTATCCAAGCCTCTTGATTAACCAAGAAAACACAAATTATGATGAACAGGAAAATCGCTGAGAGAGACAATATGATTAACAGAAAATATTTGATTGTGTTGAACAAAATTAAAGGATAATCCCGACGATATCGAGGTGGATTAGCATAATCAACGAAATCCATTGGTGATAATTTGTATTTTGGGTCTTTTCTTGTAACAATTAACTCACAAATTCACTTACAATTAAACTGTATTGGTGTGGATCAAACAATTTAATGATTGTGATGATCGTTGATTTAGTCTTATTGTTTCACCCATAGTTATATTAATCACTATTGATTAGTAACTCAGATTAAATTAATCAGTTTAATTATCGTGATAACTTTTTTGCCTCATTGTTGTTTCACTGATTATTAATTGTTTCAACAATTTGTATTTACTTTTCCCATGAATCCTTGATTGTTGATTAGTTGATTGATTTTCACCAATTCACCATAATTCAAGAGCAATTAAACAGTTAATTTATTATGTTTATTTTTGGATTAACAATATTCCGATTCCCATTAATTGTTACACCATGATTAAGAAATTAAATCAATGATTAGTGAGGATAAATAGGAAAAGCGAAAGTTAATTTATAATTATCGTCATTAAATTGTTGATTAATCTCATTGATTTGATAAACCATGGTACCAATTAAATGATCGGTTTGAATAAAAATCACTAATTGATTTAGTTGTTGATGATAATTGTTCAATCTATTATTATAATCAAATCACATTTTGTATATAAGACAATAATTTAATCATAATGAGCCAAAAAATTAGTTGATTATCATTAGTTAATTGTGATTATTTTCCGATTAAAACAATCCATGGATCTCCTCGGTCTCGGTGTCAATGTCGATATCAAAAAACGCTGGACGAGTTGGTAATCCAGGCATGGTGAGAATCTAAGGATTAAACAATTAGTTAATCACAATTAAAGAAAAGCAGTAATTAAAATTACCTCTCCAGCCAATGGATAAACAAATCCAGCACCAACAGAGACTCGAACATCAATGATGGGGAATTGGAAATCCTTTGGTGCTCCTAAACAAAGTTGAGAAAATATTGAGAATTTTTTTTCCTCCAACAATTAGAACAACAATTTAAACTAAATCAAGTTACTTACCTTTAAGTGTTGGATCATGGGAGAGAGAGAGTTGAGTTTTAGCAATACAAACCGGCATCGAACCATAGCCAAGCCTTTCATACATCTATTTGTTTTAGAGTTTAATTGTTAACAGATTAGTAAATTGTGACTCTGAGAATCCAATTTAACTTACCTCGATTTTACTTTCAGCTCTTTCTGAATAATTGATTGAACTCGCACCGTAAATTTGCTTAGCGATTATTTCAATTTTTTCCTGTTAATTCACAGAAAACAATATTTACATATTAGTAAATACACTAATCTCTATTGACAACATTTTCTTTAGAAAATTAAAGAGTTAAGAATAGTCTTTGTGTCTTGTAATTGTAAATTTGTGACAATTTGAACAGCATTTCTATCTTACCTTAATGGTCAGTTTAAGGTCATAAAGAAACTTGCAGTCTTCATTTGGCGATTGACAGACTTTAAGAACAGAATTAGCAAGATCTTGAGCACCTTCACCACCGAGTTCCCAATGTTGGGCAATCTGAGCGTCCGAAGCACCGGCCTGAATGGCTCGACTTCGAACGAAATCAAGTTCTTTCTGAGTATCGGTAGAAAATGCATTTACCGCCACAACCACGGGAAGATTAAACCTTCTGATATTACGAATATGAGTCTCAAGGTTAACTATTCCCTTCTCAAGAAGTTCCATATTCTAAAAATAGTCAACAATTAACAAACAATTAGAAAATTTTTCTCTCTCTATCTCTCTCTCTCTCGTTAACCTCTTGTAAATAGACTGCAGGAACAGTCGCTCCAGGAGTTATCGGTGGTCCATTACCATGAGTTTTAAGAGCTCGAACTGTGGCCACAATCACAACACAATCAGGTAATATTCCCGAGTTTCGGCATTTAATATCAATAAACTTCTCCAGTCCAATATCAGCACCGAATCCACATTCAGTTACTATTAACGAAACAAACAAGAACAAAAAAAAGAGTTAAAAATAAACTTTAATTGTAACAATCAATATGAACTTACAAACATAACCATCAGGACCAACCAATTTAAGAGCAATTTTATCACCAATAACGGATGAACTTCCATGAGCAATATTAGCAAATGGACCACAATGAACAAGGACCGGTGTGCCCTCGAGCGTTTGGATTAGGGTTGGCTTTAGCGCATCTAAACCAAAAAAAAAGGAAAACAAAAGAATAGTAAACAATTAGTCAATTAGCTAATTATATTCTATTGTAAATTAATTATCACCAACCTTTAAGCAGAACCGTTGCTGCACCAGCAACACCTAAATCTTCACAGGTTATTGGTGTTTGTTTATCGTCTTTAGCATTTCCAATGACAATTGATCCGATTCGTTGTCGAGCCTCTTTCAAATTGTTAGCCAATGAAAGAATCGCCATTAGCTCACTGGCCACGGAAATATCGTATTGAGTCTGATAATTAAAAAAGTCAACAAAGAGCCGAAAGGATGACAATTAATAACACAATCGTATTGATGAAACAATTAATTAGTAACCTCTCGACTGAATCCTTTCTCTGATGGTGACAGGCCAATTTTAACTTTCTCAAGAATCTATCATTTAAATCAACAACTCGATTCCAATTAATTGTGTCAACATCTAAATTAAGCCGAGAAAATTGTTTCTTCTGTTCAATTGTCAATTTATCTGGATCAATATTAACATCGATACCAAGCTTTTCCAATCGTAACGTTTGGCAGTTACTAAAAACCCGAGGTTTACCAGGCTAAAAGTATAGAACAAGAATAATCAAACAATTAAGTTAATTGTGTTTTCATCAACTGACCAATTGATGGTCAACTTACCTTTTTAGGAACCAATCGGTTGAATAGAGCGATGTCCGATTGAGTTGATTCATGGAAAATTCTTGCATCGATTGCAGCAGCAATCAAGTTATGAGCAGCGGAAATTGCGTGAATATCACCTAATTAATCAACAACAATTAGTTAATTAGCTTATTTTTTGATTGAATTTAATTCCCAGAAAGTTTATATATGTTACCTGTAAAGTGAAGGTTAAATGTTTCCATAGGAATAACTTGTGAATATCCACCACCAGCAGCTCCACCTTAACAATTAAGATTAAATTGATTAGTTGATTGTAACAATTTAAGATAAATGATTACCTTTGATACCAAAGGTTGGACCTTGGCTTGGTTGTCTTATAACAGCGACACATTTTTTATTCAACCAAGAGCCAATTGCTTGAGCTAAACCGATTGTAGTTGTACTTTTACCTAGAAGATTATTAAACAATTTAGAACAATTTAATTTTGGTTAATTAAACTTTTACCTTCTCCCAGTGGTGTTGGTGTAATTCCAGTGACAACAACGTATTTTCCTCTCTCCTGTCGACTTAAATTGGCCGGAATTTTCGTCTTAACTTTGGCCATGAATGGTCCATACGATTCGAGCTCATCGGGACTAAGACCAAGTTTACTTGCGATCTCACTGATCGGTAAACATGAATGAGCCTTGACAATTTCGATGTCACTTTAGAACCACAATTAAAATTAATAATAAACATTAGAGTTCACAATTTTTTTCTTTGGGAAAATCAATCATCTTACCTTGGAACGGGAGTTACTCGATGTAATCGGGACATGATTAGTTAATTAAATCAAACGAAACTAAAATTAACACTGGTTAATACAATTAATCTGTTATTGAGAAACATAAAATCACAATTGAAAAAAGTCATCATATTAAGTGTTTATTTTGATTTCTCTCTCTCTCTCTCTCTCTCTTGATTATCTTTTAAGAGATAGTTTTATCTTAAATCATTGATTAAATTGATGATAATTAGCTAATTGTAATGACGATCAATCGATGAGGATAAAAAGCTTAAAATCAATATTTTCAAAGGCAACGACTTAAATTTCAAGTTTCTTCAGTTAATTGCAAATAAGTGATTCAGATTTGATTAGATTAAAATTCATCTTTTTTACATAAGTTTAACAATTTAGCTTAATCACTCATTTAATAACCCATGTTACCAGTTAATTGTTATTACCGATATCCTCAATAGTTGATCAAGATACAGTTAGTTAATTGTTACTCTCCTTAAGTGGATACATAAATGAACGTGACTTTCTAATCATCAGTTATTAAAATACTGTAATTATCATCATCTTGTTTAATAGTTGAGTTGTTTATCTCACATCTTAAAGTACAATTAATTAAATCAAATCAATAATCTAATCATTTTGGCACAAATTTGTTTTTCCATCGTTCTCATTGACTTTATCTTCATCTTTCAATTCAATTGGATCAGACACTTAATTACAGACATGCTCATCATCTTAATCATGATCATTAGTATATTTGTCGTTAAATAATAGCAATTAATTAACAATTAAATTATTTGAAACTCTTAACAATTAAATGTCTCAAAGTCTCAATTCAATTAATGAAAATTTTTTTTTCATCATCAACTTATTTTCTTTCCAATAGGTGGACCCAGTGGTCGATTCAAGTATTAAATCAATTGATTGTAATTAAAATAAATTTATCATCAAATTAATCAGATTAAATTGAGCTACCAGATTGGTCCTAAATTGTTAATCTTTTATTCAATATTTTCCGTTAAAGACAAAAGTGATTAAATTGGTTCAGAAAACTTGTAAATGTCAATCAATAAATAGCCACAAATCAAATTGTCAGTCTTTGGATTGACAATCAATTTGATTGCTCTTAATGCAATATTTTGGTTAATTGAGTAAATCAAAGATTCAGTCATTTATTTGATTATATTTTAAATGTAATGAACATTCATGTAGTTTAGTTGTGACAATTGACTTGGAATATGAAACATTGGTAAAGTCGATTGAATGAGAATTTTCATCTTTGATTCGTTTTTTTCATGATAATTGAACATGAAAAGTTAATTGAATTTTTATCGTTTTCGATTAACTGAACGACGATGAATGAACCAACTTTGAACTTGAGATTCGTGTAAATTTAAACGATAGGCCAATTCTTCACGGACAAAGATATCAGGATATGGACATCGGAGAAAGGTCATTTCAAGCTTAGCCAATTGTTGAGGTTCCATTGGTGGACTGAGACAATTGAAGAGAAAACAAAATTATTAGTTAATCGGAACAATACAAATGAATAAATGAATAAAAATATCATCGTAATTTTCATTCATCTAAAAACTAAACTCGAGTGTCCATCTTGTCACCTTGAACACAAAGTCCAAGTAAGGAAAAGTGACCTGAACCAGTTGACCACCTGGTCAAGCGAAACAAAAAGTAAATATTTCTAGCAAAGGAAAACTGGTTTATTTATTATCTTTCATATTATTAACCTTACTGACCCTTAGCAATACTCTTGACCAGTGAAAGTTTGAGGGTTAAAGTTGAAGGAGAGGGAAAACAAAATTCACAAGTTCTTATTTGAATGAGTACAAATATTGGAAATTTTTGAATGGAACTAGAAAATACTAATTGTTATGAATGAATTTTAAGGTTAGAGTAACAATTTAGAATTTGATTTTTGGATAAAAGAAAATGATCTTACTATTTCTTCTCGGGTGCCCATCTATCGGCCCTCGCGTTGGTGTCAAATTTGATTACTGGAAGATTTGGTTCAGCTGGATTCTTAATCGGTTCTTTCTTATCAGAATCGACATCAGCACTCGAAACACAAGAGGACAGAATCCATTGGACGAAAGATCTGAATCCTGGTTGACGCATTTTGATAGCGAAAAACGGAAAAAGCAAAAACAAAATAGAAACAATAATCACCTCGAATTGTTGAGAATTGAAGTTGAAAGTTTGACGGACTTTTTGCAAATGGACTCAAATGTTTGGTCAGTTTCGAATTGAAAGATTTAGGAAAAAGGAAGAGAAAAGCTTATCCGATAAGAAGATTACTATATTTGTCCATTTTAGAAGAAAAAAGATGAAAGATAAGAGAGAGAAAGTTAAATTTCTCAATGGTCAATATTCTGACCTCGATGTTTATCGATACCTTTCTGTCCATTTGTATCGATAGTCGTTATCGATCAGTCGAGAGTCGATATTCATTCATTTGCTCAAACGATTTTCGATTGATCAAGAAAACGATTTGCAAGAAAAAAGTTCTAATATTTTGACAAAAAGATTTGGAAAGATTTCATTCAATTGGATTTACAGAGAAATTAAGGAAAACGTTAACCATATTAACAGAAACATTTGATTACAATTAGAGCAAGAAATCAAATGGATTTGGGTTGTCTCCATGATCCTCTCGGCGGTAAAGCTCTGGGCTTTCGGGGAGTTTTTTTGGACACAATTTTTGATTTGATTGTTGATTTACGAGATTTTCCCTTAGGATTGGTTGTATTGAACTCAATCAGAATCGATTTGACTGATTGCTTGATTACTTTTGATTTGTTCTTAGTTTTTGAGTAACTTTTCCCACTTTTCGTATCACAAAGTGAAAGTCGAGCTCGACCAAGACCAAGTGATGAATCACTTGATTCAACGATAGAATAATTTTCCGGTAATGATGAACTTTTCTGACCATTGCCAATGACCCCAACTTTAGAATGTAATTTACCCTTTACCCGACGGGCAGTTTTCTTTCCCTTTAACATAGATTTCAATCTCTTCCTATTAATTATACTATTATTATTAAGACTGGAAACGGCAGTCGAATTTGATAAAAGTCCAATCCTATGAGGAGATCGATTAGCGATCATCTCGTTAATCTGGTTCCTGGTGAGAATCCGCTCCTCTAAGGACTCTGAATCCGCCGACAGAGGAGGCATGATGAATTCAGCGTATTTTTCATAATCGAAATCGTCTTGATTAATAAAAGCTGAATTCGGTGCCAAAAGGTTTGGTGCTAATCGACTTTTAAAACGGGGCAATTGCTGGTGATGACGATGGAATCGCTGCCATGAGAAAGAAATAATCATTGAAACAATTGCTAATAAAATAAAACCAATGATGGGAAATAAATAATTGTAAGCAAGAGGTTTAATTGTGAAGAAGTCAATTAGATCACTTATATCAATTGTCGGCGTTGGTTCGGTTGAATTTGTCGAGTTCGTTGATTGAGAAATGATAATTGTTGAAATTGCTGTTTCATTGAATTGGTAATTCTCCCCATAACTGATTGGCTTCTTGATCCTCATTTTTTAATCATCAACAAGGGATTAACATTTAAACGATGGATAATTATTGATTTGATTGGTTTTAACTACTCTAAATGGGATAATTAATATTGAACCTTATTTAGATTGTTGTTTTTGTTTAGCATTTTCAATTGTTTTCCTGTGGTTTGGGCAGTCATTTGAATTGTATTTGAATTAAAGTTTAATTTTTTGGTCATTACAGGACTTAATTGTAAAGTATATGAACAAATCATTTTGTGATTTAATTATTTACAAATTTTTCTTATGCCATAACAATAGGAAGTTGAAATTTTCTCGTTTGAAAATTAAGTAATTACAATCATTTTAAACCGAAATCAAATTAGTTGTATTAATCAAATGGTCTGGATTGAGATTTGCTTGGTTGATTAATCACTCTATTGGAAGATTTTAATCATATCCATTAAGATTGATCTTTCGAACCAAGTAATTAACAGTTGTAATTGTGAGAACTCACGAAAGTCAGGATATTGTTGAGATCCAAATGATTAGTATAATATTAGATTGTTGTTGGCGTGAAAATCTGATTGTTTACTCTCATCTCCTTGATTTGATTTGAATATAAACTCTGTGTTTAATTATATGGCACGTTAATCCCACATTTTCACTTTCAATAGTAATTAAAATGTTATTTTTTCCTTTGGATAGATTGACTGAATAATTAGATGACTTTGGGTGAGCAATTAACGATCACAATAGAGAGCATAACTGGGTATCATTGTAATTAGATCCATTTGGAACTGTGGCTATTTTAATCAAGTTTTTGGTAAATTGTCCTTCTTTTGGATAATCTCCTTCAGGCCCATGAAGAGCCGTTGCCTACAAAATAAACAAGAAATTAGTTATCATGATTAAGAAATTGAATAAATCACAATTGGTCAATTAGCTGAGTGCAAAGATGAACGGTATAAACAATTAACCAACTATCGAATTGCCTAAACTAATTAACAACTCGGCGAAAGTTACCAAGATTTATACTTTAATCAATGGATCAAATTAATACCTTTATGAAGTTGATAACTTCTTGTTTTTTAACATAACTCATTTCCAATGAACATCCCCAGGTAATCAGAGCAATTGGATTATCAGGGCTAAGGTGTATATAAGGTGTAATTATGTGTTTCCTTATACAGTGTCGCACGTAAGCTCGTAATCGATTGACTTGTGATGGATGAGCACATGGATGATACAACATGACAACAGCTCCATGCTAAATGTACAAAGGAAACAGAAACGGAAACGGAAAATATTAATTTAAATGAGAGATGAGCGAATAAAAAAAATACAATTGCCACACAAACACAATAATCAAATCCATCAAATGATGGACATAATTGGTAGACATGTAGAGCAACAATTAACTTACTTCAATATTATGAAGCCACCTTTGTGGTGGGACATATTTATATTCACCGAAAACCGGCCAAAGTGGCCTGTGGTCACCATAAGTAGGTAAGGTCACATTATAAGTAAGCTTTTTGTCCATACAAAAGTGTTGAGGCTAAAGTAAAGAAGTAAAGAATTACAATTACAATCTAATTGACGATCGTAAGTACATATGATCAGCGAATTGAACAGAAAAAAAGGACGAAATTTCTACTAACGAAATAATCTTTAGGAAGATCGATACATTTACGGATACTTTTCGTCTTCTTAACAGGATAAGGATTTTTGGGATGGAAACAAACATAATCCAGGGGTGAACCATCCCAATCAAGTTCTAAATTAGTCTATCGAGAGAGAGAGAGAGAAAAAAAAAGAATAATAATATAATTGTTATTCAGAGATAAACCATGAGATTATCCGGAGGAAACGGATGAAGAGTCAAATCAGAGAATAATAAAGGAAACGAAATTTACCTTAGCATCGTCACAACCATGAATCACTTTACCCATTTGAATTCCATGCTTGGAATCGGAATAATTTCCAGGAATGGAAGCAGATTGAATCAAATTGAATGATGTCAGGTACAAACAGAATAAATATAGAAAACTGGTAACCATAATTATCCACAATCGATTGATTATTATTGTTAATTAGAGGAGAAATTGGTTGATTTAAAGATGGGAAAACTCTAAAGATTTACTTAGAGATTAAGGTTTTCCTTTGTTGAACAATTTAAATGAGAAATTGACTTGATGTACTTTCACTTTTCTTACTCAAGGAAAACCAGTTGATCAACTGGAACTGGTAACCTCGATCAACTGGAATCAACAACTTACAACTTTCAGTTGATTTTCTTGTGGCCTGATTTTGGGTTAACTGGTTGTTCCTTATCCTCCTCTTTCTTTTAGTCTTTCTTTTCTTATAACAAAGAAAGAGAAAACTGGTAACAATTAAATGAAAGAAACACTTTGATTGATTGTTGTTGAAACTCTTCTCATTTTGTTGCTCTTGTTGTTGTTATTGTTGTTGTTATCCGGTGAAGAGAATCAAACTGAATTGAAATTGACAAATGAAAGAGATTCTCAAAGAGTTGATGGTATTGTTGACGTCGAGAATCAGTTAATTGGATACAATTTATCTTCTTTCAACTGATTTAATCAGATAATCACCAAGGAAGCTCCAGAAATAGATTAACGATCGTAAAAAAAACTAGTCATTGGGAAGGAGAATAATGAATTTGAATAAAGTTGCAAACATTTAATATTCCAGGTACTGGATGATGATGATGATGATGGTTGATTATTCTACTGAAAATAAAGAGAAATTTAAATTAATCTTAATGTTTAAATCTGTTGACAACTTGAGATTCACATGGCGAGTTAATCTCATGCATTATTTAGCATGAGAATTGTCAAAAATGATTATGTTGATGTGACCAGAGAGCAGAGGAAATTAATCAAGACTTGAGTCAATTTAAGTACCAATGTCCCTATAATCAAACATCAAATTGTGATTATCAAGCTTCAAACAATTAGAATCATGAAAAAAAACAAATCATTGATTACTCAACATGAATCAAAGTAAACAAACAAAAAATCAAAATGGTCAAAATACTCACCTTGTTTAACGATTGTAACACAACATTAATTTAGATAAAAATTATCTATTAATAAACATCACACATCTTTTGATAGGTAATCAGTAAAATCGTAATCTTTAAATGATTCAAATTAAATGAAAAACTATTGGCAATTAAGATTGAGACAAAAAAATTAAACAAATCAAGAAAGTGAAATGTCAACAAACTTGAATGGAGAAAACTAGTTTTCTGACCAACAGATGGAGCCACAAATCAAATTAATCAACAATAATTGTTTAACAATTTAAATTAATTGTATCAGAAATTTGAAAGAGATGAGATTTACAGAAAGAGAAATAGGAATGACAGGGAAAAAGAAAGGATTTGTTTCTGTTTTTTGAAATTAACTTTAATATTATGATCGAATAAATTTCGAGAAAAAAGTTTCGAACTCAGATAATTTTATTCTCAATTCTGTCAAACTACAAAAACGTAGGAAAAACTTATCCTTTGTTCATCAGAATAGATGATCAATCTAAATGAGAATTAAATTGAGAGTATATTTTATTGAGATGAATTGTCGTCTAAAGTTCAACCTCAAGTTATTGGTGACTTGAGATTGAACTTCTATCTATCTAGTAATATCTACTAATCTTACTTTGCTATATCAGATTTTGAATTAAGCGACTTCTCAAATTGGACTCATCTTCAGTTTATTCAATGAAAAGTAAACTATTATTTACCAAAAAAAGTATGAACTTGACATTATCGTTAAACATTTTCAGTTATTGATTAACTGTGAGTGTATTTAGTATTTAACAATCAATGGAAAAATCATTAAAGCCTTGCTTGAATTATTAATTGATTGTTGAACTTGGTTGATTAATTGAAGAGAAAAAGTTCTGTTATATAAAATGAATTTTATGTGAGTTATTATCATCATTGTGCTCAACTCAAAGAGTAAAAATCTCTTTCTATTCTTAGATTCACTGTATTAATTAGATTAACTATCACTTTCGTACATAAGAGCATATCTTAACCAAGATTCCAATTGAACTTGTTGAAACGTCAATTGTAATGATAATTAATATCGAGATTGATCATGACAATCAATAGTTATCCATCCAACAGTTCACATTGAATCCATGAATAATCTTAATCGATTCACCTGTTAGTTGATTGTAATGACATTAAACAAAAAGATTGTGTTTTTTTCTTGCTGTTTGGTTGGTTGTATTTACCAATTAGCGACAGTGAGTTATGATTTTTTTCAATTCAAAGTACGAGCTGAGATCACCTTTGAATATCCGAAGGAAATTGAAATTCCTGACATCGATATGCAAATACCAATAACTAGTCTACTGAACATGAGTGCAATTTACATGAAATACACAAAAGAAATGGTGGAAATTTGTAAAGATCTGGTCGGTTTATCGGTGGATGGAAAAATCAATTCGATTGATCAATTCAACAAATATTGTTCATCTCTTAGTCAACTAGCTTATTTATCTCCCATCAGAATATTGCCTCTATTGACCATAGGTGATGTTCAAAAATTGACCCTCGACCCGAGAGATATGATATTAAATGTTTATAGTGAAAAACTTGGTTTGGATCTATTGAAAAATGGTCTTTGTACAATCAACCGATATAATAATTATCTTAGTATTCACTTGAGAATCTCCTGCCGACATAACTCCAATCCATTTGTAATGAAACTCACAGAAAATGGCCTGGGAGATTTTTATCTATTGAGGATCATAATAGAAAAGCTTCCATCGTTCAGATTTCGTCTCGCTAAAGCAAACAGCTCATTCTCTGATCATCCTTACAATTACAATATCGTCGGTTCAGAACCTAAGAAGATGAAACTTGTTATTAATCAGTTTCGACGTTTATTGAGCTATTCGTTGCCATGGCCTTACGAGACATCATGTAGGCACTATGATAAGTCTGCATTTCTCTTGGAGTGTATTAATCAACTCTCAATGAACTCTTCGAATAAAGCAATTTACAAGCTAACAGCAATACCATTTGATCAACATGAATCTAAGCTTAAATTTGGGGATCCGAGGCAATTTGAAAGGTTTTTCAATGAATGTTCAAAGTTAATCAAACAACCAGAATGTGAATCGACAATTTTTTACTCACACACAGATGAATACGTTGAAGATACATTAAATCCCAAGTTTCATGGGAAATTATATCTCCTTTTATCATCGCCAAGTGACATGGACATGATTTCCAGAGTTTTACCTACAAGTACATATATTGAATATCTAATCTACATTAGTAGTACCTTAGGTCTCTGGTTCGGAATATCAGTTTATGGTAAACTCACTGACCATTCAAATGAAATTTACAAAGCTCTCAAGAAACTTGTTCCTTGTTCATCTACGCTCATGAACCAGAAAAAATGCAAAACTGTGAGTACTGAAAATATCTTTTCTCATGTAACCATCTTGAAAAAAATACAAAATTTCAAGAATACCCCTTGAAACTCAGATAATTATATTCTTAATCTGTTATTATCACTTCAAGTTCAATCTAACGTTATCGTTAATTATAATTTCAGATCAAAATTGAGGCAAAGCAATTGACTTGGTAACAAGATGCTTATTAATTATGGATTTTAATATTTACTGTTTTATATTCAACACGAACAATCAATGAGAAAACCGTTAAAGTTTTGCCTAAATTATTAACTAATTATTGGACTCGTTTGATTAATCAAAGAAAAAAAGTTTGGTTATAAAATGAATTTTTTCAAAAAGATATTCATTTGAATTATTATCAACTTTGTTTATTATTAAATCATAATGATAATCAATACCAAAGACGATGAAAGAGATCAATACTTAATCATTGAATATAAAGACAGTTCGAGTAATTGAGCAATTATCAAATCACTAAGTGATTTAAATCCTTGATTTATCCTGATTATCGTAGTTGATTAAATCATCAAGATGTATCAAAAAAGGCTTTGAATCTAATAATTAAAGTTTCATATTGACAAATTGACCGATAATCATTAATACAAAGTCAATTTCAATTGATTATTAATTCTAATTACAAACTATCAGATATATAAATTGTTAATTATTGTAATGATATTCAAATTATTAATAAAAAGGTTGAAAAAACTCATTCCTTGTAAGTATTTGTTTCTCATTGGAAAGTTTCAATCAATCAATTAATTTCTTAATTGGAGTTATCAATTATTCAATTGATTGTTGATCATGTTGGCGATCAAATTTCAACTTATAACCTGAATTAATTATAAATTTAGTTATAGATGAAGGATAATTGATTACCTCATGTTGTTTGATTGTCTAATTTAAAATCAATGTTTACAATTAGTGAATAATTTAATGAAAGTTAACTAATCATCATCATCATTTGAATGATTAAAACAAATGATTGTAAAGTGATCATTAAACAACAATTTTATTAGTTTATTGTGTTGATATTTATCATTTAATTGTTTACATCATCATATTAGTAGGTTAATTGATTGTTTGGTCGTTTTAGATTTAAATTAGTTGTAAATGTTTACAACTACATTGGTAATTAATTGTCTTTCCATCTAGTCAATCTTAATATTTACACAATGGTAAATAACAATTACGATGTTAACCTTAATTAAAACATTTGTCCAAAGGTTTTTTTCAGATTAATTGTCATTACAATTACATTGATAATTCACATTTTCGTTGCAGTAATCAAAACGACTGATTTGATTTAGTTAATTGATAGTACAATATAATAATAATAAGCAGAATCATTTACAGAAATAGATTGAAATTAAAATTCAAAAGAGAAAACAAAATGTATATAAATTGTAATAATAATAATCAATCGTAATAATAATTAGTAAATTGTTTCATTAAAGAAAATTGTATTAAATTCAAATACAAATAAGTTTTTTTTATCATTTCCTTTGGTTGATTGTTAATTGTATTTCGTATCTTTCAATTCAGGTTCGTTGATTTAATTAACTTTAATCAGGCACAGTTACGGTTAGTTAATTGATTAACTTGCATTTGATTTGATCGATATTCATTGTAATCTAATTGGAATAGAAAGAAAAAAGATAATTAGAACAAAAATAATTACAATTAACACATTTTCGTCATATTGATTTGGATCAATGTTAATTCATGTTATTTGGAAATTTATTCAATAACAATTAAGTTCCGAAATTTTTTCTTAATACAAATTACTCCCAATTAACTCAATTTACTGATCAACGTCAACGAATCAATGGTTAATTGTGATGAATTAAAATCTTAAGATTATCGAGAATTAATTAAGTTATGAAACCTGATCGATTAGCACTTTTTTTGATTACTGTTCAATCACTAAAATCAAGTAGCTTAATCATTTTGCATCTTAATTTGATTGTAACTTTTGTTATACTATAACTATTGATATTTACTAATCAAATTGAACTTGATCCATCCAACTAATAGATACTTAATCAAATCACAAAATCAAATTAAACTCAGTCTTATATCAAGTTAATATCGTTAACAATAACATGGACCAGTCATTGAACTTTAATCAAAGTAAATAACTTTTCAAATGATGATTAATAAAACGGTAATTTCATTGATTGTTAATTCTCAATAATCAACGATCAAATTGATCAAATATCAAATTGTAGAGTCACTTAATAGTAATTGTAAACTAATTACTCTATTATTTACACAATAATACCATTTGTTGAAACTTTTGTGAAAGATTGAACTCAATAAAACAATTATTTTAATCACGTAACAATCAATAGTTGACCAATAGATTGACAATAATTTATCAATCATTTCTTGAGATGTTAATTGTAATAACTAATTTGACGGATAAATACTGATAAAAGAAGACGGGAAAAAGTAAATCAGTAAATTATCATTACCTGTTGGCAATTTATCCATAGAATTGGTTGAATATTTGGCATTTTGTTGATCATTTTGATTGTTCAACGAATCAATTTCTTGTCTTAATTGGGCTACCAATTCTTTCAGACTTTCAATTGTATTCAAATGATTAATTGATTCCATGCAAACTTCTTGGAGAAGTTGATCTTTTTCTGCCAATTGTCTATTCAACTCTTTTATAACATCTTCTTCAGTTCCAATATGAGAAGTTGTCAGAGTTGAATGTTGCTGATTATCATGAATTTGTAATTGTAATTGTGATTGGTGTTGATGTTGTTGTTGCTGTTGATGATTATGATGCTGGTATGAATGGTAAGAGGGTAGAGGTGTTAAAGGTGGTGTAGGAGGAACTGAAGAGGAGCAGGAAAGTGGCAAGGATACTAAAGATGAAGCAACTGATGGACCTGATGAGGTTCGTTTACTTGAGATTTCATCAGAATAGCATGATGATGATGATTGTTGATGAGTATGATGGTTATCATGCTGTTGATGATGATGATGATGATGAAGGTGGGAAGGATAATTATTCTGATTATCTTGGCTCATTATTAAAGATCCTCTTCTAGAATCAATTGAATCTTTTTCTCGATAATCCTGATTAGAACCAGAATTGTTACTATTATTGTTATTATTACTTGAAGAATTGTTTGAAATTAGTTTTGATGATCGATTTTTGGATGATGATGATCGTCGAAAAGCTTTCAGAAAATTAGCTCGTAACCAACTTGACGAATTACCATTTCTATTTGCTTGACCATTCACTGAATCTTTTGAGGGTAATGAAATGTTCAGCTCTCTCATCGCAGCATAAATTGCTTCCTCAGTCAACCGCACGGACTGAATTTAATGACGATGATGATAAAAAAGAGAAAAAAAAAGAAAACAAAAAGAATAATGTAAGTATTATGATTTAAATCTTATATCAGTTGGATGAAAGTAAAGTCATACATGCAAGGTGAAGGGAAATGAGTGGATGAGGATGATAATGATAATGACGATAAGTAAAAATAGTGATAATGATAATCATTACACAACAACACGTTCAAAAGTACATCATGTATATGTTTTCATCTGTTGATGCCTCGTTGATTACTTTAAGAACTGGGTGATGTAACTAATCACAGGGTTTCCTATTTATCATTATTGTGTCGCCATTTAAATTTATTGTAAATTGTTCAACAACCAGTTTACCTGAACAATCAACAACATCATGATAATCTTCAGTTAATACTTTTAACAATCTACTCAATTGTTTTATAGACTGTTAACAATCAACGAGAAAGTAATATAACAACAACAACGATTATTTCAACAAAAAAACAAATAATAGTTTTAATCATCATCATGATCACAATATTTTGTAGTTTTTAATTAAAAACAATGGAAAACAATTCATTTGCATTAAATGCAAATCAATTGTAATTAGAACAGCGTAGATTTTCAGTTGATTATCTTTAATAAAATCTAAATCTTTTCACAATTAATCATTTTAAGATTATTATTATTGTTTAGATTCAATTAATAGTAGGAAGTTGATTAATTTACCCTTTGATAATGTCGATTTTTATAATAACAATTTAGAAAAAGTAATGAGAAAAAAAGTCAATTATTAGTACTAAATTGTTAATCTTAATTCAGTTAATCCATCGACTGTGAACAGGAAAGTCAATGAACCATTAACTTATTACCATTATTATTATCACAATTAGTTATTAAATTGTTATCAGGCCTACACACATACAAAATGTTTAAAGTAAACTTTAAACTAGATGATGTTTTTTTTACCTTAAAAAGGTTTAATTTTAATCAACCAACTGTTGATTGTTGATTGTTGCAGTTAAATTTGATTTAAATTAGATAGCAAAGCAAAGTGATTAAAAATCAAAGGGAAAAACAAATTGCAAATACTATTATTAATGTTAAACAACACGAATCAGAAGCATTAAATGTTAATCACAATAAACACTTCAAAGTTAACGGTAAATGTTGTGGTTGTTGTTTACAAGTAACAATAAGAAAATGATAAAAAAAAATATATTATTATCAATTCAATTGATACTGACCAGTTAGATCAGCTGAATGAACAAAAAATTATATAGTTAATAATAAACCTTCAATATAATTGTAATCAAAGTTATTATTATTATATTGGTCAGTAGGTCTTGTCAAATGTGTCCCACTCACTCAAGTTGATTATAATCAATTAAGTAAACAATCAACAAGCTTGACCAACAGCTACAATTAACTAACTAGTTAAGATAATCAACAAAAAAAAAGGTTCAACTTGATTGAATTTTTGACAACAACCTTAATCATTAACAACATAATTTAGTATTGAAATTAAATGACAATTGATTGTTGGTAAAAAAAAATTACCATGACAATTGACTTTGATAATGATAGTAACAATTAGTTTTAATAACAAATATCAGTTTAATGATAGTTTTTCCCACGAATTAATTAAAATCAATTGCAATGTTAATCAAAAAATGATAATAAATAAATAAATGTGAATAAGATGATGAGATTAGTATTAAAACAGTTACTATTAAGAGATAATTAAATACTGTAAATAATAATAACAATTAAGTGTGTAAAGTAAAACTCAATTCAGAATTGATATCTAATGGACACGCAATTAAAAGCGATTAACAGGATTTGTTAATCAAATGCTTTTCAATTAAGATTTAAATTTCCACCTTTTATCTAATCAGTTCAATCGTTGATCAACATTTAAATAATCAAGAAATAAAGATATAAAATTTGCTTGAGAAATTAACTTAATTTAACAAAAAATCAGCATATTAAAAATGGTGACACTAATGTAAATATTATCAGTAATACTAATCATTTCAAATTAAGTTCATTACCTGCAAATGAGAAACTAAACTATTCAGGTTTTCAGAACCCAAAATAATATATTTCATGAGAGAAAGGTGAAACATGATTAACTTAATCAAGTCAAGTTCATCATCAAATTCACCTTCAATTTATCAATAATCATATTGAATAATCAATAATCTCATCAAAGTGAATCTTAAATGTAAGTAAAGCCAAAAAAATAAAACTCATCTAAAATAATACAACAATCAACGCCCATTGTCAACAAACTCTTACCTTTGATGCTTTTTTTAAGGTCAAATGATGATAAACATCAATCAGATTGATCAAAGTTAATATATTGTAATGATTGTAACTTCAAAAGTTAAATAATAATAATAATAAGGATGAGGATGAGGATCCAATACAATCAAAGTCTCTAGATTAGAGATGATTATTAAAGGAAGTCTAAAGCCAACACTTTGATCCATTGACCATCTTTAAAACACTTAAAAGTTTAAACTTCTTGTGGTCAAGCTGGTTACCAATCAATAATCATCATCTTACAATGACCTCCATCAATAATGGAAACCCAATTTTAAAAGGTCTAAAACCTGGTGGCACGCGATCAACGTGCTCATCTCGCTCTCTCGCTCTTTATTCTCTCTCATCTTCATTACCTCCCCTGTCTGGGTTTCTCTTCCTTCTATGTGCTTATATTTCCTCAGTGAGCTGGTTTTTTTTCACAACATCAACTTGAGAGCTTCATTTTCAAGCGTGAGAGGAACTTGGGCTCAAGTCTAGGCTAAGATTTACTCTCATATAAAGCAGATTGTACTTTTTGCCCTTGTACAGTAAAAATAAAACAGTTGCTTGTAGTTAGACCTACAATCAGATGGAACCATAAAAGCATATGTTGATTGGTCAGTTGTCTGTTATATGGATCAATTGTCGGTGATAACAAGTCGTGTGGACTGGTCACTTCTCTTTCTCTACCTTCACTTTTCCTTCATTTTACTTTTTTTCTACTACAATATCTCTTTTGCCTTTAGGTATATTCACCTTAATTGTAAATTAACATCAAACCCCAATATTAACCAGCGAACAACAATTAATCTTGATTCATATATGAGATAAGTAAAAATTCAACAATCTTGTCTGAGTTATATCAAAATGTTGTATCATTTTTTTGTTATTATTTTCTCATTATATGTTAACTAAAAACCCACTCACACACAATTGAGTGAACCAAGTTATCATTAGCAAGAGCAAATCAACAAAACATTTTCATTGAAATCATGATGAAGATGGACAGTCTTTCAATAGACTTTCTTTTTATAACATTCATTCATAGACTATTATTAATAGTATTCCATCTGATTCAATACTATCATCACAATGAACGGTTAAACCTTTCAAAAAAAAAGATGAATCTTTGAAAGATACACTGATGATGGTGAATATCATGATAATTGAGTGTGTGATCAGCATCAATTGTTGATTCTCATGTGGGTTTATTGTGGGTCATTGTTGTTCCTATCAAGTCAATATCAACAAAGAGAGAGAGAGAGAGAGCTAATAATTAGACTGAAACGGATATTAGTTAAATAATCATGATAATAAGATGATCAAGATTAAGATTATGATATTAATTTAGTTACAAAATGAAAGCAAACAACCTACTCGTTTTTTACACTGCAATTATAAGTTGCTTTTCTTGTCCGGTACAAAGTTAATTGTTGACAATAAGGATTCAAATTGATAGCATATAATAAACTTACTATCAACAATTTAAATATAGTTTTCAATCAACCACAATAACAATAACAAATGTATCAACAAATTTAATCAAAATTTTCTAAATTCAATTGTTAATTGTTTGAAAAAATTGGACAAAGCTTATTATTCAAGTTGGGATTAAACGATTAGCTATAATCAAGATACATATAAAAGTTCAAAGTTAAATCAGTTAATCATTTAACAACAAAAAAATTCATCTTCATAACAATAAGAAACACAAACAATCAACAGTTAATCAAAGTAAAAGAGAGAAATACTTAAATTATAATGATAATAATTTAAATGACCAGTTTCAATGTAAACTGTTATTCTCATTGAATAAGATACATTTCTCATCCTCATCAGTTTTGTTTATGATAACATGTTTGGGTTAGCAGATTAAGATTTTCTTTCGCAAGATTAAAAACATCAAATTAATCAAAAAATTTCAAGGTTATATTTCATTTAATCGTAAGAAATTCATCCATCATCATCAGCATCAGCATCCTCATCCTCATCATCAATTATTAATATACAGAAACTTATTATATGAACACTATTTTTTTGTTCCTATTGGTTTAAACATCATGTATTATCATCATCATCATCTTCATCAATTTGTTAATCTAAACGATTCTAGCTGTTAGCTATTAGATAAACATGATGATAACTTGTGAAAACGGGTCAAAAAGATGAGATTAAAGATAAATGGTTAAGTGAGATTAACCAGATTGATCAACTAAATAATCATAATGTCTACACATTAACAGTACAATTAATCAATATGGCTGATGAACGGTGGATAAAAGTTGATTTTGATTGATTAAATGATGTCAATTGACAAGAAAACAATAGCAAATCATCAAATCAGTTGCAAAAAATTAACTTAATCATCACAATTAACAGATAACAATGATTGAGTGGAGTAACCATTTAGTTTTTTTTTTCAAGTGTATCAAAGATTAACCAAAAAATGCTTGTTTCAAAGGTCAATAGTGTTAAAGTAAGAAATAAAAAATTGGATACCATTTAAAAATAATCACAACAATCAACTAATTGCTGTAGCCTCACAACGGTTCACACACATAAACAGTTAATTGTTACACAAAGTGATTATGGTCAGTTTAAAAAATGATTAAATGTATTAATAGAAAGTTAAATTATATCAAGAGTAAATGAAAACTTGACCAATTGGAATGACCAGTGATCATTATAACAGTGTCATTGTCAATTTGACA